GGAACAGAAGGCTCTCCAGCAAGTGACTCTGACCACATTGGAGCCAGACCTTTAAAGCTGTGATACCACTTTAAACAGTCAAGGAGCACACACACCCAGAGAATTCTGGGAGCTGTAGTTCCTTAAGGGTGCTGAGAGTTGTTAAGCAATTGCTAGTCCCATCACAGAGCAGAACACTGACCATGCTAATGGGAGCTGGGAGTCCAACAACATCTGGAGGGCCACAGGTTAGCGCCCCCTGGTGAAGTGGAGGTTCAAGTCATGGTTCCAGTGGTATCAGCTCTCCTGGGAAACACTAGCTCGGCCTTTGCAAAGTCGTTTTGCAAAGCTCCAGGTGTTTGGGGCTACGACTTTCATCAGACACCAAGCCAACACAGGAAATTTGAGGGGCATCCAAAACAACTTGGGGCATGACATTGAACAAGGCTGTGCCACAAGATCTTCATCATAAATGTTAACACCAAGAGGAAAGCAAACGATCCCCGTAAGATCTTTCCGTCCAGCAACTGCTGGGGGCATTCAGCTGAGCTGGACATTTGAGCCTTTTGAGGTTCAGCTACTTCCAAGTCCTGAGGGATAAATTCTCATCTCTCTCCCTGCGTGTGGGGCTTTAATTGTGCACGTCCTATTAGTGCTAATGGGACTTGTGCACCTAAAGTCCTCTGTGTGAAATGAGTCCAATAAATCCAAGGTTACAACCTCATTAAAGGCAGAGTTGCTTATTTCATGTGTAATGGGCCTTCAGCCTCCATGATCTGGCAATTCGTGACTTTTACGCGTCTCCTTTGAGAGAATTCTTCAAGGTTCCTTGCTAATAAATATTTTTCACCATTCTTCCTAGGGTGACCGACCCCCTCGTGACTCTAGCCTGGCTTCACAATGCTTGCACCAGCTAATGAAACAAGCTGCTATCAGGTCAGCCAGAAATGTGTAGGAGCATTCCTGAGGGAGAGCTGGGCTTCACCAGCTTCTAATTTCCCATTTGAAATGGCTGGCAAGTCAGCCACCCGCCTCCTCTACTTTTCTGTGGTGCTATTAGCTTTTGAAAATCCAGCAGTATTCAGCATTTTGTTGTTGACTGCACATGCCTTGAGGGAAAACTTTCTTTCCGCACCCAGAGATCTAGAGTTAAGAAGGAAAGGTGTCTCTCTACAGATGGAAAAGCAGTACAGTGGTACCTCAGGTTAAGTACTTAATTCATTCCGGAGGTCCGTTCTTAACCTGAAACGGTTCTTAACCTGAAGCACCACTTTAGGGGCCTCCTGCTGCCGCCGCGCCACCAGAGCACGATTTCTGTTCTCATCCTGAAGCAAAGTTCTTAACCCGAGGTAATATTTCTGGGTTAGCGGAGTCTGTAACCTGAAGCGTATGTAACCTGAAGCATATGTAACCCAAGGTACCACAGTAGTAACCTTGGCTTTTAAAAAATAGCCCAAGAAGAGAAATTGTTTTTTAAAAATGTGGCAGCTAGACTGGTGACTGGGAGTGGCCACCAGGACCACATAACACCAGTCCTGAAAGATCTACACTGGCTCCCAGTACATTTCTGAGTACAATTCAAAGTGTTGGTGCTGACCTTGAAAGCCCTAAACGGCCTCGGCCCAGTATACCTGAAGGAGCGTCTCCACCCCCATCGTTCAACCCAGACACTGAGGTCCAGCTCTGAAGGCCTTCTGGTGGTTCCCTCACTGCGAGAAGTGAAGTTAACAGGGAACCAGGCAGAGGGCCTTCTCGGTAGTGGTGCCCACCCAAATGAATGACCTTCCATAGACATTTGAAGGCAGTCCTGTATCAGGAAGCTTTTAATTCCTGGTGCTCTGTTGTGTTTCTTTATATTATGTTGGAAGCCACCTAGAATGGCTGGGGCAACCCCGTCAGACGGGTGGGGTACAAGAAATAAATCATCATCATTACAACTACTACTACCACCACCAAATCATTGATGTCTGGAGAGGCTTTGTTGCAACCAAATCAGGACCAAAACCCAGAACATTTGTAGTCTGAAAAGTTACAGGACTTCAGCTTACAGGATGTGCACCGATTGGAAGAGAAGCGGTATGACCACCCCAAAAAGGTGGGATCATATATGACGAACCTGATAGCACCATGAATGAGCAAGAAAAATGGCATCTGCAGGGTTCCTAGGAGTCTGCGTTTACATCCAGCTATCCAAACAGTTGCTGCAGGGACAACTTGAGAATGTGCAGGAAATAGTGAAATACAATCAAAGATGGAAGACAGCTCCACCATTTAATTGCATTCCACTCCTGTACTTTCCATTAGGAGTTATGGTTCTTAGATGAGGGTGGGGTTTTCTTCGCTAACTGCCTGGGTTACTAGCACTCAAGGTAAGGGGAAGAGCTGGGTGTTAACATGCTTTGGTATAAAATTATTAACAATGAAGTAAATTCTTTGGTGCTGGCCAAAGTAGTTACAAGAGGGCTTTAAATGTGGAAAAAATGACCAAATTTCTTCTTTACAGCAGTATTAAAGACACATCAGTGTGTCAAGTAAAACAAACAAGGATTAAACATACACTTGTCTATTAAAAACAAAGTGAAAAAGGCCCACCGTTCGCGTTTCACAACCTAGAAAGCAAATTCTTGCCACAAGAATTTAGATTTTGACTTGTTTCCCTTCAAGTGGGCTCCTTTTCCCAGGTCCCTTGGTTTGCAGATCCATTCACATGATGCATTAGGCTTTCAAATGAACGCTTTCCCCATTAATATAAGTAATACCCTGTGAACATTATACCAAAGTACCCAGTATTTCCAGGAGTCGATGGATGGGATTTCATCTTCAGAGCATCAATAAAACTGACAAGAATGAATTTAAGTTCTCTTGTGCTGAAAAGCGAACTAGGACTTTGCGGGGGTTGTTGTTTTTTAAGACTCTCCTAGGTTGGTGTGTCTGAGACTATCACACCAAGCCAATTGCATGGGCCAGGCCATCCAGTGGTCCTGCTACGCTGGAGGCCTTGTGTATTTTGGATACAGTGATCTCCCAGAAGCAAAGTCATTAGCAAAACAACACTGGCTTTGAACAAATGACTGCAGCGTCTTGGAAAACTCTGCTGCCACCCAGCCGTTGCATGGCTGCATACAGACCAACTAGCTCCCGATTCAGCGCAGCTGCAGGAGCAAACAGGTGCAAGACACACACACGATCCGGCCTTCACAATCTCCCATGGTCCAAGTCTACAGACCCAACCTTATAGATCAGGAAGTGGAAGGTGCTTCTTATATAACTCTAGCCTCATGGAGCAGTCTTTGGTGTGCAAGAGCTATTTGGTTCAAATGTCGATGTGGCCTCCTAGACTATTTTCAGAAACCCTGGAGACTACCCCCTCTTGTCTACGAAGCCTGGGTTTTCTATTATAAAAAGCTTTAATTCCTTGCCAAATATATATAAGAATTTCGCTCAAGGTTCCTGGACGTGATTTCTGTAGAATGGCGGTACTCAAGAGCAGGGCACCGCGCAGCGTAACAGGATATTTAATCAGATTCAACAGTTTAGATAAGCAAGACTGTAGAAACAGTCCACTCTGAACTTTGAAATACCACGGCCCGCTCTGACACTTTGCCAAGCGCCTGAGGTTTGCAAACAATTTGCATATACATTTACATAATGCGAACAATCTCTATAAAGTTAAAGGCTTCGGAGTTGCTGAGGGTGGGGGACAAAAAGTTTCCATTCTGACAACTGGATTTAACACTCTCACAGCTTTATCTCTCTCAAACCACTCCCTGCCTCCCTTTATTCTGTGTGCTTGTCCCCTTTCAGAGTTAATTTGAATTAATCCCCTTTTGACATTTTTGGCTGAGAGCAAAAGCACCCTTAATTTCCCCAATGCAAAATAAATATATCCCCATCCAAAATAACCCGATAATGAATTAACACTGAAACACACCGAGTAATTCTGCTTCTCGCCAATTATCCCCCTCTCCTTTTGAATACACAGGCTTTTGGGGGAGAAAAATCACTGAATATAGCCTTTGCAATCTTGCTATTTTCTTCCCTTTTTTTGCCTTAACCACTGGGAAGAAAGGTGTTTGCTTAAGTGAGAATTCTCCAGTGTTAAAAGCCACTTATGACATTTAGTCTATTCACATTTTAAAAACATGGTCATGGCAACAGCGAGGAAACAGCCAAAGGTGTGAGTCACTGTATCTACCAGAAGCGCCTGTTGTGAGTCCCACATTTTGGATCTGCTATCCCATGATTTTTGCAAACAGTAAATGTAGCTGGGCAGTGCCACAGGGCAAGACGGCAAGATTGGGGCTGTGTCATTAGCGTTTTGTTCCAGCACCATTTTCCTGACTGCTATTTGTCCCACGGAAGAAAACTTTCAGATAATGTACTATTTCTTTTCACAGGGGTAAAGAGAAACCTCCCATCCTTCAATGGTGTGGTCCTAATCTGAACTGGGGCCTCACTCATGGCTGCAGACAGTGCTTTTTTTCTTAAAAAAATGTTTAGGGGTATTCTCATTTTGACTCAAGAAAACCACCATGTTGTAGTTCAAATCGGGGAAAATAAATACAGTAAATGGACAAAAGTACAAAGATTCACAAAATGTTTAGGGGTATGTGTACCCCTGCATACCCCCAGAAAAAAAAGCACTGGCTGCAGGTACTATTTTTTAAATATTTTTTTTAAACCTCACAGGAGATCCAGTTCACAGATCTCTCCCAGCATTACATCCAAGTTGGCCCCTGAACTTTGGGTTTCAGTCGTTTTCAAGCAGTTTTCTTAACTTTTTTTTTTTTAATGCAAAATGGGAAATCCAGTTCAAAGTAGCCTTGGCTAACTCTGTTGAGAAAGGGTATTTCTTCTGTCCAGTCACCTTTGTCACTGCGCAGAGGAAGCATTTTTTCCCCTACTGCAACGGCAAGTTTAAGTGATCTCTTAGATCAAACACTCATGTGCAAGTTACAGTACGTGGCATGTAAAAAATCCTGGAGATAGCCGCCCAACAGTCAATAAGAGCACATGCTAAAAAGTTTAAAATTGGTCGTTTATTTATTTATTTATTTTAGAAGAGGGATAACTCTACTCAAAACACACGAGGCAGTCTAGTTCTTGGTTCATTTTGCAAAGAGTAATGGAAAATGTCTTAAGCAAAAACGAGCTGAGATTCAGAGCATCTCCTCCCTTGGGCAAGAGACTGTTAAACACTTCATCTTCCTCCCTAGTTGTTGTGCTCTTGAAGTGCCTGAGCCATGAAGAGTTTGCCCAGGTTCTGTGCAGTGAACTCCTTGATGTTCTGGCTGTAAGTATTAATTTGACCTGCAAATGAACAAAAAGTGGGAAGAGAAAGAGAGAGCGAGAGAAATAAAAATTTAAAAAACTGAACACAAACATTCTCTCGCACTTTATAGCATGACCAAGAAACAGAACTCGAGAAACACGTTTGCAGACAAGAGCTAATATATGTCAAAGACCTGTCAAGTTGGATGGGAGGCAGAAGTTAAGAGGCTGGGAGAGCCCCCAAATTTTCTCCATCCTCTTCCAAACATTTGGCCTCCCCATCTCCACAAACATTTTGCCACACACCAAGAAACAGAATGCCAGCATATAGGCAGGAGCACCACTGAGTTTTAGAGGGTGAAATAAAAAGGGGTTGCCATGAGGTAACCCAGGGATCAGCAACCTTTTTTAGCTGTGGGCTGGTCCACTGTCCCTCAGACCATATGGTGGGCCGGACTATATTTTTTTTGGGGGGGGGATGAATGAATTCCTATGCCCACAAATACCCCAGAGATGCATTTTAAATAAAAGGACACATTCTACTCATGTAAAAACATGCTGATTCCCGGACTGTCTGCGGGCCGGATTGAGAAGGCGATTGGGCCGCATCCGGCCCCCGGGCCTTAGGTTGCCTACCCCTGAGGTAACCTTTCCCTTGGGCTGAAAAAGGACCCCTGGTGTGGGTGGTTGTGTGACATGTGATGCTTTCTGCTGGCCTATGTGGCTCACATTTGTTTGGTTAATTGCTCAACATGAATTGGAGGTTTGCTGTTAAAAAATGCAAGGTTGTGTTTGTTAGAATCCTATCGAGGCAGCACTACTGTATGTAACATGCTCCCAGGACTATGCAGGATCCCACATTATTTGATACGCTACAGGGATTTCTGGGAAGGCTATGAAGAGAAAAATTCAGACTGTCTCTCTCAACTGTGGACCTGGAAACTATGCTTGCTTCATCCACCTGACATTTTGTGGGTCATGTTTTTGTTAGTTCCCTCACATTATTAGTAATTTCTCGAGCCAGCAGGCTGTGAAGGCTTTGTCTGAAGTGCTGTACAAATCAAAAAAAGTGTCTCCACCACCCCATTTTATTATTATTTTTGTACGCACTCTGCCTCTACAGTTCATTTCTCTAGCTAGTCAGGAAGAGCAAAAGAAAGAGAAAGAGAGAAAGACAAAGCCGGATTATCAAAATTAGAACTGCTTAGCAGACTAACACACTTTCAATTTAATGCTCTACTTTAAAAAGTTTCTAAATGCCTTAGAAGCAAAACCACCCAAGTCTCAGCTTTGATCCCCAACTTAATTCCGCGTGCATTAAAATAGTGAACGTTTTCAGGTCTTTTCCTGACTCTGCTAAAAAGAAAAGCATTTTGGCTGAAGGCTGTTAGAGCGTCAATTGGCTGCTGCTTGCTTAACTCTAGAAGATGGTAGAGGTATAACCCACCAGAAAACAGACATAAACTGAAGCATAATTTTTTAAAAGAGCTGGGGTGTGCTTTTTCTTTAACAAGCACTGGGTTGCTGTGAGAATTCATTACCAGAATTTAAACCATACCCATTTGCAAACAACAACAACTACAAAAAGGTGGGGGGTGGGGGGGTTGCACTACATGGTTGCACTTTAAAATTGTTCACTGTGTGCTATTTGTGAAAAAAGGGGGAGTTGCAGCATTTTTTGTGCACATTAAATTTCACTCCAAATTTTGTTATCAATGTGCCATCATCAGCCCTTGCTCTTGAGCCAACCTGGGATAGGGGATAGAACTGAAAACATAGCATCATAGAAATGTAGAGTTGGAAGGAAGTCCAACCCCCCGTAATGCAGAAAACATTTGCCCAATGTGGGGCTCAAACCCACAACCCTGAGATTTAAGTCTCGTGCTCTACTGACTGAACTACCAAGGTGGATAAAAATGCTTGGTGGGTAGTTTTCAAACCGCTGGTGCAATTACAGTGGGCGCTAGGGGTTGTGAACGTGATCCGTGCAGGATGCACATTCACAACCCGCAGCGGTGCGTCTGCGCATGCAAGGGTTGCGATTCGGCACTTCTGCGCATGTGCAAAGTGTGATTTAGCGCTTCTGCGCATGCGTGACCGCCGAAACCTGGAAGTAACCCATTCTGGTACTTCCGGGTTTTGGCGGTGCTAACCAGAAAAAATGCAACCTGAAGCATCTGTAACCCAAGGTATGACTAACAGAAAACGGTCCATGTTTCTGCAGCACGAAAAATGGTTCTCTCGCCTTGCCTGTTCATCCCCTGTCCATTTCACAGTGTACCTACCCTTCTGCCTTGAGCTGGGATTTGTGTGCCTCTTTTTTCTAAAGGCAAAATATCAAAGAGAGAAAAACCATGCACTACCTGTTGCATCTCACTTTGGCCACTTTGGATGAACAGGGAAAAATGTGAAGATGCTTTTAATCCCAAACACTACAGGCTCAGCTAAACGAGGGAGGGCAGCCCAAGGAACTACTATTAAAACAACTTTGCATCCTTCTGGGAAGAAGGTCGGCATGTGGGGGAGGGGGGAGACTAGATCTGAAAATCTCGCTGGGATCACCAGCCTGACGTTAAAGCTCAGTTGTGTAGTTCCAGGACATGGTATGAAGGCACAGGATAAAGCCACCTTGCTAGATGGGGAACATGATGCCTGGAGCTCCATAGAAGAAAGGAGGGGATATAATGAAACGGAAAGACACACACATACACACACACACACACACACACACACACACGTTATTATGGTTCTCATTTGGATATAAAATCAGGACTCATTGCCCTACTTTGCAGCATTTTGTTGATTCTCTGAAAGCATTACTCAAAGAAGTGCAGGGCCGTTGAAAAGTCACAAAGAAAGAAGAAGGCTGCAAGTGTTACCTGCAATCAACAGCGAGTCCATCCTGGGAGGTGGCTGTGGCGGCTTGAACAATTTGTTCATGTCCTCCTCCGGAAGGGGGGGCTCTCCCCTACTTTGACGCTGCAAGTTCTCTTGCTGACGTCTCTGCTGGTACTGGAAAAGGAAAAGAGGAAACATGGTGGTAAGACTCTTTCATCCAAAGGGAACCCATAGGATTTCTCTAAAGAATGCAGAGGAGCTGCCTTTCCACATACTGAGCTTACTTCACGCAGCTTAAGCCGGCTTCAAAACGTTCCATTTTGCTTGCACAAAAATGCTGTTAATTGTTGTTGAGCTTTAAAATGAAGTGGTTCCCATCTTGTTTCTCCCCAGGCTAAGGAACATGGCAGTTCCAACCCCTCTCTCACTGGGTGATCCATCTACCCAACCTAAATCAGCAATGTGGTCTACAAAAGAAATTGGATTGGGTTTGCGGGGTGGGGTGGGGTGGGGTGGGGTGGGGTGGAGTGGAGAGGAGAGAGAGGCCATTGCCTAAATTTGCATCACTGGAGATGCTGCTGGACTGGGGGCCTAATCACCATTTGGCCTGGCCCCAGAAGCTTCTGAAGCAAAACAGGCTTCACTGTGTATGCTGCAAAAAGGACTACCGTGGTACCTTGGTTTATGAACAACTTGGATGAAGAACGCTGCAAACCCGGAAGTAGGTGTTTTGGTTTGTGAACTTTGCCTTGGAAGCAGAACATGTTCCGCTTCCTGTTGAGTGTGTTCCATTTGTAAATTGAGTCCCCCACTGCTATGGGAAAGCACGCCTTGGTTTAAGAACGCTTTGGTTTAAGAATGGGCTTCTGGAACAGATTAAGTTCGTAAACCAAGGTACCACTGTACTGAAACTCAGAAGCCACCCAAACTTGTGCCCAACTCTCTGGATTCCGAGAAGTTCAAAAGCAGAACACAGAATGGGTCCAAGAAGTAGACATTTATGCGAAAATCTTAAGTCCATCCATTTTTTCCTGAACTGGGTTTTCTACTGCCAATTTTGCAAGTCGGTAACTTTTACCATGGGATCAAGAGGCGGAACATTATGATTAGCAGCGGAGAGGGTGGATATTGGGTGGGAATAGAGCCAAGAAGTCACACATAAAACTCTGCAAAATCCTTTGCATCTCAGCGCATGTAACAACTCAATAAGGTTGGAGGAAGGAGGGGAAAGTGGTACAGTTTGCCGTCTGTTTGAGAGAGACTGAACAACTGTTCTGGCTTTAGTTATGTAAAGCATGAATCTAGTAGCACTTCCAGAGCAGCATTTTCAATACACCTTAACCTACTTATTTAGATGCAAAAATGGAGCAACTGGCAGCAAGGGAGACAAGGCAGTTAGCAAAACATTTATTCTCAATCGTCTCTAATCTTTAAAGGAACAATAGTGTATTATTATGAGTTACTAGGAGAGCAAAAGGTACAAAAACCTCTGGTTTGTGAAGGACTCATAATTTGCTGGTTTTTGCTGCTCAAATGGCATTTTTATTTATTTATATTTTAAAGCTGGGTTCCTTAAAGCTTCTGACTGTTGAGCAAAGAAATGTGTGTGGTGACATTTTATTGCTTGATAGCAGAACCAAAATACCTCCAGATTTAGAAAATATTAGCAAATAAGAGCTTATAGATCTGTATCTCAGACAGAACGAAAGCAGAAAGAAATCGGGGAGAGGAGAGGAAGAAGAAGATGGATATCAGATACATTTATTTTTTATACTTTGCACTGAGTAGGTGCATTATGTACCAAAATTGCTTGCTCTTGCGCAGAACTGTTCTATAGCTCAATAATGAACAGGCTTGGTGCAATGAGCCACATTTACAGCAATTACTGTATAAGTTAGGCAAGAACTGGTGGGGTAACAATCCTGGATTTCCACCACCACCCCTCCTTCAAATCACTTTTTCCATCTCCAAAATCTTCTCATAAATTTGCCCCTGCAGATTTATGTTGGCAAGCGAAGGAGCTGGAAGGAGCCATAGCTCAGCCCTTGCTCTGCATGTAATGAGCGTCTAGGATACAGAGATTAGATTTCCGAACAGGCTTGTGTATTTAGGAGATGCAATTCAAAGATCCTTCAATTTGCATCTATTACAGAAGCCACATAATGTGTCGTTTCACCCCCAAACAGATGTGATTCAGCCCCCCCTCCCCAAAACCAACCTGGTGTTTCTGCTGCTGCTGCTTGCTGGTGTTCCTTAGATAGGTGTTGTATTTGACAATATCCTGGCTCATCTCATCCACTCTGTCCATCAACAGCTGCAGGCTCTTTCCAAGGTGATTACTGAAATACACAAAGAGAGATGGCATGGTAAAGGTTTGCAGCAGTGACGACTGGACACAGTATTTTGCTTCTGCGGGAATATTAATTGATGCTTCTCTGTGAACTCACAGCAAGTTTAAGCCCACTTAAAACCATTTAGGAGAACAGCTCTGGTAATTTAGCTCATGCTCTAAATAAGAAATAGTTGAGTACAACCACCTGGGCTTGATGTATTTCTCTCAATGCATCCTGTACACCACCTCTGTCAGGCCCAGAGGTCATCAGAAACCCTACGTCAGTGTTGGCCAGACTTGGGTCTCCAGCCTTTTGGGGACTACAGTTCCCATCATCCCTGACCACTGGTCCTGTTAGCTAGGGGTGATGGGAGTTGTAGTCCAAAAACAGCTGGCGACCCAAGTTTGGCCAACACTGCCCTAAGTGGTCAGTGGTTACTTCAAGGCCACAGCTAAATGCTAAAGCTCCTGATTCGATCCCTGGTATCTTCCGGTAGGACGGAGAGATCCCATCTGAAATCTTGGAGAGCTGCTACCAGTCAGTGTAGACAGCGTAGACCATATTGAGCTTGGGGGGCCAATGATCTGGTTCGGTATAAGACAACTTCCTATGTTCCTGGCTTTGTTACACAGCTCACCGATATCCTATCTCTCCTATGTCCGCTCTCCAATTACACTCTTATTATGCTCAAATACATTATTTCACGTAGCCCAAGGCAGGATCAAGTTCCCACATTGGAGTTTAGTCTGACTTACACTTACACACACACACACACACACAGAGAGAGAGAGAGAGAGAGAGAGAGAGAGAGAGAGAAAACAAAGAAAGTGACATCACCAGATTCTTGCTCCTAGATTGGCTGAACTCACAACCTGCCCCCAATCACAGCAGCCTTATAAGATCAACTGTCCCATGCTGAGAAAGTAGGGTTTTATGTTGCTGCTGTACCGTATTTTAATTGCTTGGTTTTCTAACTGTTCTCTTCCCCCTCCCACTGCACACGGGTTTATTTATTTCATGCTTTTTATTCTTTGACTGTACGGGATTTAATTAAATCATATTTCATGAATACTGTGATCCAATAAGGGGGCTCCAGCCACTTAGTAAAAGGAGAGTGAAAAGCTAAAATTAAACTAAATTAACTGGGATTCAAAACAGAACCAGGTATGCCTCAAGAAGGAAGCTAAGGCTGCTCCGCATTGTCTCCTATTCACAGGATATTTCCCTTTAAAAACCAATTTCCTGCTCAACCACCTGAGAATCTGTGACATTGCTTGCTTAAGCCAACAACTGATTTTCTAGTAACAGTTCATCTCCCTAAGAGAGGGTCTCAAACAAACAGCAAAACATTCCCAGGACTCAAGAATATGTAGCAGTATTCCACATTTAGTGTTCTTTTCTTATTTAGTGTTCTTTCCCCATCCCAAACTGCCTTTTTAAAAAAGAAAAGAAGGTAGGCTTGTGGGCAGGGTTATTAACCTGATTCAACTAAGGCAGAGGCACAATGACAACAAGTGTCTGTCCACAAGTAGAATAGACTTCCATTAGCACAACACAACTTTTCCTTCCTCTTGCACCTGCCATGCCCCCCCCATTCTGCTCCAGAGTAGATGGGGGGGGCAAGAGGAAGAGGACATTTTGGTACTTAAGCATTATTGGGTGTGCATGTATGTCAAGCTAAGCCTTGTGCACACCACCCAGTTTTGTAAAGGCCTCACCGTAAAATATTCCTGAATCCCATTCCTAATAAAAACCAAGGGGGCTCATTGAAAGGTCCTCCTGAATTAGGAAGTTGTTTCTAGCATAAAGGGAAACTTTCTTCTTCTCCTCTGAAGGAAGGAAGGGGTTGCACAACTAAACCCTGGCTATGCATCAATATAGTGCATGCCGCTAACTCAACTAGCGGGGCATGGAAAACCAGCTCCCCACAGGTGCCAGGGATAAATAAAAGCCATTTTGGTCAGCCTGTGTTACTGGAGTGGGTAGCATAGAGACACTGAAATAATTAATATCAGCCTGAAGGGGGAGATATGTTGAGAAGGAAAGAGATACATGAGGAAATCTTTTTTGGAAGAGAGTGCTTAGGGACAGGGGTGGGTGGTTTTGCTATGAACCCTGTGCCACAAAACTACAAACAAGACTATTCTGCACCAGGAAATACAAAGTGTGATGTCTAGCAAACTATTAAATAATATTCAGTATGTAAGCTGGTCAGGGTGTGTGTGTTGGGATGGGGATTTGGGTTTCTCATTTGCTTTCTCAAATTACAACTGTACGGTCTTTTTTTTGTACTTTTCTTCCAAAACAATAAATATACAGTCGTACTTTAGAAGCCAAATGCCTTGGAACTCCTACGTTTTGGCTCCTGAACGCCACAAACCTGGAAGTGATTGTTCTGGTTTGCAAACTTTCTTTGGAACCTGAATGTCCAGCGCAGCTTAAGAATGTTTTGGAAGTCAAATGGACTTCCAGAACGGATTCCGTTCGACTTCCAAGGTACGACTGTATACAAAAAATAATAATAATTAATGGGTTAGGCTTTCCTTTCCCACCTTTCCCCAACCTCTCCTTCCCACACCTCCCGGTTAAGTGACGAGGCACATGGATCCTGAAGTATACAAGATGCTCTTCAACAAAAAGAGCAAAGAGGTTCGGAAATGCCTCACTGCATTTTCCTTTCAAAGGAGCACTTACTTGCTTGCGAGACTGAGCAGCTCGTGTCTATCTGCCACTCCCGACTTCTTTTCCAGCTCCCAAAGAAGAACGTTGATGAGGTAGGAATTCTTGATAATGATCGGCACCTCTTCAAACATGTTTTCAAAGGCGATGTTTGCTTTTTTCAACCTGCAAAGAGAGAGGTCCCCATAACAAACTTGGCATGCTTGTGCATTGTTGATGGGTTCACCTGGATCGAGGAAAAATACTCCGCAGGTGACTAGGGAGAGTCCCAGCTTTTTTTCTTTTTACCCTTCCAATTCAGCAAACAGTCAAACTTTTATAGCAAACTTGGGAAAGCGTGTGGAAAACCCTTTTTTAAAATTATTCTGGGAGCTTGTGAAATACTTGCGGGAAACAGAGAGAAGCAAATTGGCTTGGATTCTAAATACTGTACAGTACAGCAGTAGCTTTCAAAGCAAGAGTACCTTTTAAGCTCACTAAAGGTCCCTTAATGAGGAAATCAGTAATGGTGGAATAAATGGCTCTGTCCCAATACTGATCATTTCCAACTGCGTGTAGTTGCTGGAGTGTATTAGGAGTGTTCTAGGGCCATAGTCTTTAGCAGGCCTGGGCTGTATTCTGTACAAACTAAAGAGTATATGCCCCCAAATCCTCTGCAACAGGACCTTTTCAGTGGTGGCACCGCAGCTTTGGAACACTTTCCCAGAGAGGTTTGCCTGGTATCAAGTTTGTTGCCTTTTATGGTTCAAGAAGAAAACACTACCTTCTCCAGGCTATTTAGACCTCCACTTTGAATTCAGATTTTATCTGGGCAGGTCTGCTCTTGCTTTTGTTCATTTTCACTTACTGTATTTGTTAAGTTGCACAACAACCTGATGTTGAAGTTTTATATGCTTAAAGTCAAGACACTATAATAAGATCCAGTAAAATCTGGTTAGAGGTGCTGGATTGGAAAAAGTTTCTAGCAGGTGCCTAAAAAATTATATAGCAAGGGTGCCTAGGTAGAGAGTTCTAAAGCACAGGTTCCGCCACACCAAAAGACCAACAGCTTGTAGTTAGTGAATGAACATTATGTGGCACCTGTAAAAGATCCAAGTGATCGAGCAGAACACACACAGGGCAAAGCAATCCTTCAGGTAAGCCGATCCAAATCTGGCTTTACGTCGCAATTTATGAACTTGGTCTGGTAGCAAATTAACATCCAGTGCACATCTCGGAGCATGAGGTGTGAGGTGCTGCCAGGATCTAACCCTGTTAGTAACTGAGTTGCAGCTTTCTGAATAGCCACAGTTTCTGGACCAACCACAAAGGGACCCCCACCTAGAGTGCAATGCACTGACTACTGTGGTCAAGGTATTATGGCCAAGGAACAGGTGGTGGCAGGAGTGCCAGCTTGGCCCTGGGACCGTGGGTGCCAGGGCCCGTGGGTGCCATGCAGCGTGCATGGCTCTGGCACTGAAATTTGTGGGTGCCCAGCCCCTTCATGGGGAATTTTGTGTGTGCAAGTGTACCCAGGGGCCCAGGGAGTTGGCACCTATGGGTGGTGGAATCTACTTGGAAGTCTACCCAATTACAAATCAGAGAGGCACCATCTCTGTTGTCTTTTTGCAGCCTATTGAACACCTTTCTCTTCCCATAAGACCTTCAAAGTGGAGATTTTTATCCTAGCCTGTACCTGTGTATTTGTTTTTATATGTGAATTGGTTTTACATACGTTCTTATTGTTAAATCGCTCGGGATGCTTCACAGGAAATGGCTCACAACTGGAATGAACTAAAATAAGATTAGCCAATATCTGAACATGTTTTCTGGGAGGGTGGTGGTTTCTTTTGCAAAATTTTAAGGTAAAGAGTAAAATGATTTCTCACCATTCTTTGCCATTTTGCTTATATTATCTTCCCAACTTTTCTATTTATTTTTTAACTCAAACAATTCTTGAGACTAGGAAAGAAAAGGACAATCTGTTGGGTTTGGAGGTGGGCAGAGTGCTGTGTAAATATTTGTTTCACAAATTGGAGAATGAAGTGTTGGTTCCATCCTTTTAGAGACTGCAAAAACCATCAGTGTGTATTTGAAGATGGAAAAAAAATGTGGCAGAATAGTAATTGGGTTTCCTTTTGAGAGAAAAAAAGATCCCTTTGGGCGTACTGAACAACTAAAAACATCGAAGAAAATGCAGCTTTCTTCTTAATCTAACACATAATAGAAAGCAATATCACAAGAAGAACGTGTTCTGTAATGCCCATTAAAACACCATCTCTCAACGAGAAAATGTTTTGGAAAGCATATTTACAAATATATTTGAATAGTTTATTTTTCAACGTTTTTCTTTAAAGTGAGGAAATCTGTTTCAAATTCTGAAAATGGGTTGACATGCTGCATAGAGGACAGCTGTTTGGGCAGGGGGTTGTGAGATAAAATGCTGAGATAGAATCTCTCTCCTGAGAACAAGGCAATCTTTTACCCTTTCTGTCCAATATATTTTTACATTTATTTATATTATATCATTTTTTAAATTGCATTTATATCCCACCTTTCCCCTAAGGAGGTCATGTCCATTGTTCTTCCCCTCTCCATTTTTAACCTCACAACAAGCCTGAGAGTGACTAGCCTAAGGTCACCCAGTGAGCCTCATAGCTGAGTGAGGATTTGACGTCTGGTCCTGAGCCAACACTCTAACCACTGCACCACAGTGGCTCTCAATAGCTTTTGAGTGGTTGAGATCTGGCAGAATGTCCCAACTTAAACCTTCTCCCACTCCATTTTGAGGCTCAAGATCCTCCAGATGGGAGCTGGAACCCAACATCAGGAGATCACTGATTCTGCGCCCATGTTATAGACCCCAACATCGGGCCCCTTTTTCTACTTGAATAACAAAAGGCAACCATCAAAAACACACTGCCCTTGGCTTTCTGCAGAGATGGCTGAAGGACTACAAGGAGGGACGATTCTTTGGGGTTTAAGCCATTCAGAAAAAGCTCCGCGTCCATTTCTGGCACAGGGCTAGTATTCAATTCAGATTTATTAATAATCCAAAAGCATTTAATAATCACTCTCTCACACATGCCACACGTACAGAAAATACAACAGAAGAACCCATTTCTAATCAAACAGATTTACTGAACTGGGGCTCTAAAATGAGCCTGATTCCCTAGTCCTAATTGTCATCAAGTTCCTAATCACACCGCTAAAATGCTTTGTGTTTAGTAGGGCAAATGAGGCTCCACATCTGGAAATCGCTGGTAAATTGTTGCTATTTAAAAGATACATGATGTGGGCTATTTGCAGTCATGGAACCATTCTGGTCCAAAACGGAAAACAGCCATATCATCCTAATGACTAGATAAAGAAGATATCAGTATATGAAATAATGGGAGCATATACTCAGTATTTCCAGAACTGGAGATACAGAGAGAACGCTCAAGACTAATTGCCTGGAGAAGGACCTACGTAGACCAGTTCACAATCTTATAAGTTGGAACAGTTACAAGAGAAGACACTGCTGCCACAAAGATTTCATAACTCAGCTCTCAGGCTCAGAACCCTGAGCATCTAATTTCCTCTCTTCCCTGCTCAATTTGTTTGCCTTTAACACTCATCTTCTGTTTGGGATGACAGAGTGCAGCACATCTTTCTGTGGCGAAGTAAATGCTGCATTCTTTAACCCTATTCACCTGCGGAGGCCTCTACTATTTGCAGCTACTGAGAGAGTACATGCATCATCCGAGGCTGCTACAGGGCTTTGCTGCGAGGGATTTCATCTCTTCGCCCCCTTTTTCTGCCACCCACATTCCAAAACATCCCCTCACACTTACGCTTCTGGAGAGAAATCCTTCTCTTTGCAAACCTCCATCAATTTAGGTGTCAGCCTGTACGCTTTTAAGGAAAGGTATCCGTGGGCAGTTTTTATAGGATCTAAGAAAGAACAAGAGGAAAGCACAAAAGATACCGAATATTCATCAAGAGCACTTTTATCTGAGCACTTTCCCCTGGGCGGGTTTCATTTCATTTTTAGACATGTTTCTAAAGTTTTGCTAAAGAGGATTTTTTTTTTAAAGTCAACTTTGAGGAACATTGTAATGCAAACTGCATACAAACACACCATGCAAAGTCTTTTCCAAAGACTCAAAGCAGCAGACCAATCAATAAAAACATTTAACAGTGGAAACAGATCCCTCCAAATGAACAGTTGCAAAATCCGCAACCCTTTAATAAGGTATTCAGCAAAATAAAATGAAATAAAAATCCAGATTAAGAGGATGATGAAAAAAAGAAGATTTCCTGTAGGCTTCCTTCAGGGAAGAATCTTAATAGTGGAGTTGGTGCACAATTGGGGTGGGGGGTGGAGAATCAACTCTAAGCCTTAACCTCTCATGGTGGCTGGACAGGAGAAATCTGTTGCTGGGAAATGTTACTGGGCTCAGTGTCCTGCGCTCAGAATGCCAAGTTCTGTACCTCCATACAGCTGTAGCTAAGACTACGCTGCAATTCTGTTATGAGGTGCACAGAGACTATACCGCGGGGATTCCAGTCTTTAGAGCTGCAAAGACAGGCCTGTCAACTGCATGGGCAATGCTTGGTGACAATTCATCTGTTTTGCACCCAGATGGGCCCAGGTTTGGCCCAAGTTATCTCCAGCTAAAAAGAACAGGTAGCAGAGGATGGGAAAGACAGATGTGCATGGCGAGAGGTTGATTAGACTGGGCTAGATGCACACGTAGCCAATCACTGTGTAAGGCAGCGTCTTATGGTTTCTTGGTGATAGCAGAATAGGATCTTTTCTTCCCCAGTGGCCAGAAAGCAAAGACTTCTGTGGTTTGCGTAACTTCTGCCTCTTCCACATGCCTCACATGCTGCTACTAAAATGCCACAACAGTTTTGAGTTGTTGTTTTTTTTAAAATAACTAATGCCAAAAGCACTGTATCAATCCATCGATATTTACGATTTCCCCCCACAATTTATGCTCTTTCTCTACATAAGAGACTTCTTCCTTGGAATGGCTCCTACATGGTATTCAGCCCAAGATCACTGAATGTATGGCCTACCAGGAGATAAAGCTGTGTCTTAACCTGGGCTAGTTCGGATGAGGTGTGTGTTAAGTGTGCTACGTGACCAACCGCTCTTCTGTCATAAACTAGTCCATGCATGTAGAAACTTAGCACTGTCAGGGAGAAACCTGGGCCAGAATATTTATCCCTGACATCTAGTTTCCAATATGCGAGCTGGGGGAATTTGCATGGGAGGAACTCTTAACCGTGAGAGACTCCTACTGCAGTCTGAAGTGGTACAAGCCAGGTACCAGTTTACTGCCTCTGTAAAAACTAGAGTTACTTTACAGTGACAATGGAATAGACCTCCTGGGTCCTGGCCTCAGACCTGCACCTGGTCTGGCAAACTCCTGGTATTCTATTAGGAAAATATTTATTTAGGTAACTGTTTCCAGTTGCATTCATTTTTTATTTTCTTATGTGTACATAGTTTTCATGCTGACATGCTATCGCGAAGAGTGGAAAAACTGTATGAATAAAAAAAACCTATTTAATCTCTGGACAAGGAGCTTAACATCTGTAGCAAGATAGCAGCCGAAGTAGGCTTGCCAAATAGTAAACTCACTTTTTTTGAAAAAAAAAGTTAACATTTGTGTTGTCTGAAACGGAACATAGTAAAACCTTTAGCAATCAGTGATAAAACGAAAACCAAAATAGACTGAAACAAGTGGAAAATTCATCAAGATCTGATGATGCAAAGTTTCCAGCCGGTATAAGTATACTTTAACAACTTGTTCTTTACTGTAATCCAATTGTTAACATACTGAAACAATTTTGGGGCAGCTCATAAGATTGATCGTATTCATTAGTATTTTTTCTGACAGATACTCAGGACGTTACATTCGCTTCTCAGCTGGAAACTATATGCGAGCCTGCCAGATATGGCAAAACTGTGAGTGTTTGGGGAGGGGAAGGCTATAAAGCTGTTAAATTGCCTACGGTTCTGATACAGCGCAGAACATCTGGTCTGGAGAGCTTGAGGAAACGCCATTAAAAAAAAAAACCCGGCAGAAAAGAAAAAAATCTTTGTGCTACGGAACAGGCCAGGTTTTGTACGCTTCTGTCAGATGCATAAAAAGGAGGGGAAGAAAGGGGGGGTTATACTTGGCAAGCTGCAGGATGATTGGTCAGTCACGTACGGAGCCAGACGCTCTAGCAAGCAGGGTTTGTTAAGACATCTGGTCGAGTTCCACCAGCCGCTTCCACGACGGAGGGGAGAGGCGGAGGGATAAAAATGAAGCAGCTACCCCAGCATTCCAAAACGTACACATCAGGGCTCTGATAGCAAGAAAAATAAACAGAGAGAAGGAAACCCTGTCTAGACTTCGCTGCTGCTGAGGCTGCTGCAGACACAGGGTTGGTATTTACTTGGAGAAGGCCTGCCAGGGCCGCTCTTGCAGGCGAGGAGGTGGGGGAAGGCAAAAATAGCCGTAATAATATTGGTGCGCGCGTGTAAAATAATACAGGAAGCGGCACACTGACCGTAAATGAGAACGACAGATTCCTCAATGGCGTGCTGGTAGCTGAACTGGGAGTCCAGGAGGGCACGGGTGACAAAGGAACCATAGTAGGTGGACTGGTACCAGCCAACGTGAAGATGGTCGATGTTGACGTGGCGGAGGCTCCTCATCATCTCCATCTGATACTGAACTGGAGGGAGAGAGAGAAAATCAAGCACTTTAAAGGAGAAGCTCAGATTTTCATTACCCAATGTTGGTGAACAATGCACCGAATAAAGGCGATTTGCTACTGGTGGTAGAATGGGCAGGAACTTGAACCAGGAGCATCTTGAGGCTGCACAATTGGAAAGCAAGGAAGAGAGTCATTCTATTCATTCCTGGCATGTTTTTAGGACGAACATGTCTCTTTTTTTGAAATAGGCTTGGGCAGGTCTGCTGCCTTGACATGAGAGATCTAGCAAAAGAAGTGGGGGGTTTGCTCTCAATATTGAGGGATAAACTGCAACTCCGTGGTAGAGGACACGTTTTGCTCGCAGGAGATCTCAGCTTCTGTCCCTGTCGTCTCTGGTCATCGGCCTAGCCTGTTAAAAGCTCAAGAAGAAAGTGGAGGGATGGACCTTTGCTAAGAGTCCTGTGAGCTGCTGTCTGTCAGGCTGCAGACAATACTGCAGCAATGGGAAGCAGGCCCATTCCCTAGGCTCTGCTGAAGAACCAAACCCTGAAGGTCGAAACCCCTCAGGCTCCTTCAACTGCCACCTAGCAGAAACTATTTCATCTGGCTGCAGCCCAGGGAGGCTTGCTCAACTGTGTCACAAGCATTGTCTAGACCAGGATGGCTTCCATTTAAGGAGGTCGTTACCAAAACCCTGCCAGAGTGTGCTGCTTTCCTCTTTTCCCCTCATCCTTTTTTCCTTTTGCGCCACATCTCTTAGATTATAAGCCTGAAGGCAGGGAATGTCTCACCTCACTTGTTATTTATGTCACGTTAAGCTGCTCTGGGAACCTTTTCCACCCAAAAAGCAGGTTAAAATGCTTTAAATCGGGGCTGGAGAACCTGTGGTGCCTCCCAATGTCATTGGACTACAGCTCCCATAGTCCCTGACTACTGGTCTCGCCAGCTGAAGCTGATGGGAGTTTTAGCCCAACAGCATTAGAAAACCAAAGATTCTCCATCTCTGCTTTAAACAAGTTCCTATTGTGAGAGTGTGCCAATCGAACGGCCTTCCCCATCTGTTAAAAATGACAGCTTCCCTCAAGTATGCATTCCCGAACATGTCAGAAATATAGGATATTGCCTTTTCCTACATGGCTGCTGCTGTTTTTAACCACTGCAATTTTTGGCAGCTTCTTAGTCCCTCTCGCTGCTTTAGTTTTCTCCCAGCTCTATGCTTAGTTCCAGTCAGCATCCTAGACAGTCCACTGCTGCCTCCTGATCTAACCTAGTTATTATATATGCTCCCAGGTCAGGCCTGTGTTTTCACCCCAGCAACACCCTGACTCTTGTGTAGCTTGGTGTCCTTGCCCGTTATATCTGCCCGTCCAACCCAACTCTCTTTCAAGTCCAGCAGCTTCCCCTCTCTGCTTCTATTCTCATTCCAGCCCAGCTTGGATCTGAATTGACCTCGCTACAATCCACCCTTGTGCTCCATCCAATTCTAGTCCAAACCCTGGTCAGGATTCCCATTTCAATTCCGCTGTAAGCTCCGTTTCCTACTGCCCAGAGATAACAGTCTTTCCCTCCTCTCAAAGAAACCCTATGAAGCCAATTTTGTTTTATTCACAGTAGATACTTGTTTAAAATGTACCTGTAAAGTATATGTGCAGGGTGCATACGTTTGTGCTAATCAAATCTAACCCAGGTACAGTGGTACCTTGATTCTCAAACTTAATCCATTCCGGAAGTCCGTTCGACTCCCGAAACGTTCGAAAACCAAGGCACGGCTTCCGATTGGCTGCAGGAGCTTCCTGCACTCAAACGGAAGCTGTATCGGATGTTCGGCTTCCGAAAAACATTCGAAAACAGTAACAATTACTTCTGGGGTTTTGGCGTTCAGAAGCCAACTTGTTCATCAACGAAGCCGTTTGAGAACCAAAGTTCCACTGTCGAAGCATAGGAATGGGTGGGCAGTCACATCAATAGGAAACCAATGTTCTCATAGCCAGGTGGGTGGAACTTGTGGAAGATGCTTGGAAAACAGTGACACTACTGGCCGTGTGTTGAAAGTGCAGGGCAGTGGTTTTCACTGAGTAGCGTGTGTCTACTAAAAAATACTTAACTTCAGGGGGCCCTCGTGCCAATTAGTACTGGACACAGATATTCAGCAGGGAAATCTTTATTAAAGTATAGTTAGAGCAAGTGTGGGGGAACTACCACATTGGCTGTGCTGGCTGCGTCTGATGGGAATTGGGAGTACGGGCATACAATTTGGGACCGTTTACATGCTTAGATACACTTGGCGGTGCTTTTTTCACTGGTAGATTCCCAAGCTGACCCTTAGCTGTGTTTACAACAGAAAATAAATAATGAAACCAAGCCCTCTACAACAGGAGTGGGTGGGTGGTAGGTCTCCGGCAGACCTCTGGTTGAGCTGTAGTATATCAGCAAGGGGTCCCTTCCAACACCCCACTCTTTAAGGATGGCAATGAGACAACCTTTTCTACTTCAATGAGCCTGCTGGCATGAAGAAAATCAACAAGGTGAAAGAAAGGATGGTGAGTTCAGATTGGATCAGATTCTGGGGCGGAAATTACGTTTCTCAGAATATACTCAGAGGCATCCTGCTATTTTATTCTGTGTACTATGGGCAGACCCACACAATACATTTAAAGTACATGACCCCCCCCCCAAAAAAAAATTCCAATGAACTGTAGCTTTGTGAGAGGTAAAGTTACGTGCTTTAAAATTAAATGTCTATTGAATATGCTGCTGGTGTGACCTATGTCTTTTGCACCTGATTCTGGTTGGAAGGTCATGGGATTCGGGGGGGGGGGGGAGAAGCACCCTTCAAAATAGCTCCCACAAGCCTGAAGTCTACACAAACCTGTTTTACAAAACTTAGGAGGCCTAGCCGCTACAAGGAACTTGGAAAGAAGAAATCAAGGTGCGCGTGAATAACTCAATTTAAAACAGGCAGTTAATATTTTGTGGGGAAATGAAAGAGGTAACAGAGACCTAGGGACACACATACACACTCAGGAAAGGTCAAGACACAGAGAGCAGCACCATCTGTATCACACATTGAAAGCAGTATTATACCACTTTCTCTCCCACCCGCCTAATAACTCTGGGAAACCATGGTTTGTTAAGGGTGCTGAGAATTGTTAGATGGCCCCTACTTCCCTCACAAAGCTATGATTTCTAAAACTGGCATGTCTAAGCAACAATTTGGACCTTTCTCGCCTCCAGTCCCAGCACTCGACCCACTGATTAGTGGCATGCTTTTCAAAAGATGGGAGGGGGGTGCTGTCCTCTTATTTGTGACATGTTTTCTGGGTTAAGTGCAACAATATGTCTGTGAAGAAATGGTGCTAATTTCATTGTTTCAGGGTGGTGACAATAAAATCAGTTCTCTCAGTGGACAAGTCTTCCCTCAAACTGGAATTTACTTTGCAGTGTTAATAATTAAGTCAACAACAGAAGCTAAAATGTGTGGTAAAGGCCTTCAGCTTCTTCCTCACACAAGCAGGATCCAGTTAGAGAATGGAGACAATTAATATACTTTCATATAATATTCACACATACACACACACATTTCCAAAAGGCTAAATTACATTTTTTAACTATTTGCAGAGGAATATGAAGGCTGAGTATGTGTGTGCTAGATCAGTACCATTTTTCCCTTTGTTAAATATGTAAAATATTAACCTATGTTAAATGTAGACCTGTAATTGAGAAAATGTTTTTAAAATTAAAAATCTGCAATACATCAAAAACAGAGCTTGTTCATCCTTAATTCTGCTTTCATTTCAAATTTTCATTTTTAAGTAAAGGCACTTAGAAAAGAATGGCAGGGACTGTGTGTGTTTTCAATTGTTAGCCCTTTAATTTTGAAACTAGCGTGCAAATATTTCCCACTGTTTCCAAACGTTGGTTTGGATGAAACATTAACTTTAGTAAACAAGTCTTGCCGCTCTCAGGCTTTCAGATTCCCCCTTCCTTTTTCTGCCGTGGCCTCAGAGAAGAGTTTGGACAGTTCTGGTTAATCAAAACCATAGCCTGAGCCCAGATAAACTGTGGTTCATCATAACTAGTGTTAAACTAACTTAATGCCACAGTTTATAAAACTGGCTTGTCTCCACTTACTATAGCTAATATTCACCACAACTTGAGCTCAAAGAACATGCTAAACTGTGGTTTACCTAAAATGGGGAAACGTGCATGCCCAGGAAAAAGAAACTAGGCTCATTCTCAATTTTCTAAACAATGGCTTAACATTATGTCTGAATACAGCCAAAGCCTGGGCAAGAAAGATGCTTTCCACCAACAATTTAATGTCCAGGTTGGATATAGCAATGAAGCCAAGGTTTGGGATCACCAAATCATGCACACCGTCCCTCAACCCACATCAAAATTCCAGATGTCCCCATTTACCTGGATTAAGAATAAAGTCTCAATCAGTGTATATGATCATAGCTAGGCTAGGTTTAAATAGTCACATGTAACACTGGAAGATGGGAAGGAGAAATCACATGAGAAGATGTACGCAATCAACCTACTAGCTTCTATCTAGCCCCTAAATTGTAGCCCCTGTTATGTTCAGACTACTCCAGAGAACTAAAATTCACAGGTGTAGCTTCTCTACAGATGCATTCAGTCCTAAGTAGATTCCTAGAAACATGCTTCAGTAAAAATGAATAGGGTTTACTTCCAAATAAATGCATTTAGGATTAGGATGGGTGTATTCAGAAGGTTATTCAGAAAGTAATGAATCAGGGCCATATGGGATCAAGAGTTTGAAGGAAAGGCCTTATAAGAAGCTTCAAGATAACTGGAAGTCTGAAGGATCAGGTACAATTGATTTCAGTGTGTGTTTCATTTGCCTCCGTTTAGGTGAAAGATGCGGAAATATCCTATTTCTAGACTTCACTAGTAATAATCCGTCTGTCTAGACCTGTGTGTGGCACCAGACTTGTACACAGTCACCTATGGGAAGGAGTGTGTCTAAGCAACCAAACCAGCAAGTTTTACAGAGCTGGTTTCCTCGGCTTTTTATTTTAGGCCATCAGCACACGTGACGTCAGAGGGGGAGATCTGATGCATCCTACGGCCCCTAGAATGCTGTCCCAAGGAGTCAAAGAACTGAAGCCCTCAACTCTCTGTAAAAAGGGTAAGTTTTAAAAGTTTATTGAATGCCAGGACGGAAGACGCCACGCAAATGTTAACTAGAAGAGAGTGCCACAACTGTGGTGCTTATTATTCTTTGCTTTGAGCTTTTCTGAAAACGAAGGAGGTCATAAAGCAATGAAGAAACAAATATCAAGCAAGGCCCGCAATATATTTTGTAATATAAAAGGATCTATGTGTCAACAGTATGGGTAAACCTATGTATTATACAGTTGTCAGTGAACTGAGATTGGTTGCAGCTTCCCATGTGTACATTTGGTGATAAAAGATGAATTTGCTGTTGTTAATCTGTGAGCTTCGGTTCTTAAGAGTACAGAGAATGTCAGTATGTGTAAAAATAACCTGTATGGTAATTTTCTCATAAGAATATCTCTTTTGCTTCGTAAGTTAAATAATGTGCTAAACCGCAATTCAGCTTGGAGTACTTGGAGGCCTATTGATATCAATGGGACAGTGTAAAGCACATAGTTAACTCTCCAACTGAAAATGGTGGTTGCCCACTTTGGCTAGACCTTTCATCGTACCCTTGAAAGAACTTTTTAAGGTAGTTAATTACACAGAACCCCCAACAAGGAAGCAAACAGGGGTAGAGGAACTGAGCAAGATTTTACTCAAATGAAAAATATTTTCTTTATTTTAGTTTTAAAGGAAAGCTAGGATTGGCTTGCCAATTCTGTTCTCAGCTCCAGGGGGATGTAGATTCTTACCAGACTACAGACTATCACCTTTTTACAAAAAAAAGGGGGGGTAAATGCGGCATCATGGCAAGGCATGCAAAATTTTCACAAGGTGGGGAATAACCATACAGTACTAAGATCAATGAAGAGAGTTACTTTCATTTCTGCTACTCTCTTCCTAAAAACAAAAATCCAAAATGTGTAAAAGACGGCTTCTTTTTTTAAGGATGGGGAGTTAAATAGTATACTGTCCTGAGAGTATATAGAAATTGTCTGCCAGATTCTAAGCTGCAGTTCAGTAGTGGTTAAGGAATGGCAACTGAGACTGAGTACCTGAAGTGCTGATTGCACATATTCCACTGGATAGATTCCAAAAGCCATCAAGACTTCTATCCAGCAAAAACATACAATTTCAATGCATGTCCACCCATGGCAAGATTTATCTTCCTTGATCTAATTCGCCAAATATTGACAAAATTGCATGCTTTGCCACATACTGCCAACTTACCTTTGATCCTTAATACTGTACAACATACTTTTACTAAAGCCTACTGACAGCAATGACCATTCTCTAAGTTTAAGCCTTTGTTTCTGCTTTTCTAATGAACAGATAAAATTAGTAAATCTGTGCTTTACTAAAACACACTGAACAGTTAAAAATAAGATTGAAGACTAGCGCAGATGTCAACACAAAAGTTGCAAGGGTGCAAAATAGCAATATTTTGTCTTTTTCCTGTTCAAGCATAGGTGTTCAAAGCAAAATTAAAGAGAGCCATTGCATGTCCAGACATAGCAGTCACCTGGACCATGAGATCAAAGGCAATGCCACGCCAAGTTGTAGTGTAGACTCAGGTACATTCCATGGTCCAAAGAGACAGGCTGGAATTTTGACTCGAAATGCCAGGTTTTATAATAGCTGGCAAAGAGATCATTGCACCATCTCTAACAAGCCAAATGTCAACCTGCAATTCTATTTGGGCCTCGTTGGACCCTCAATAAAAGAAACAAATAAGAAAAACAAAATTTCTTGTTATCTCTAGCAGAGGTGAATCTATAGTGTAAAACACACCACTAATTCAAATTCTATCAAATTATACATCTAATGACCAATATGAAAAAGATTGATTTGCATGAAACACATGCATGGGATTATAGACTCAACTAGCTAACCACAGTGATCTTCTAAGAATGAATGACTTAAGGATGCTATCAACAGCACAGGATGATGGCTTGAGGCCTCATTCAGTAACAGATCTACAAGAACACCATGCCTTCTCTCAAGGTAAAAACGAGATCATCACTGTTACACAATATCATGAATTGTTGGTGTTCGTTGTTTAATCGTGTCTGACTCTTCGTGACCCCATGGACCAGAGCACACCAGGCACTCCTGTCTTCCAGTGTCTCCCGCAGTTTGGTCAAACTCATGTTGGTAGTTAGAAGAACACTGTCCAACCATCTCGTCCTCTGTCATCCCCTTCTCCTTGTGCCCTTAATCTTTCCCAACATCAGGGACTTTTCCACGGAGTCTTCTCTTCTCATGAGGTGGCCAAAGTACTGGAGCCTCAGCTTCACGATCTGTCCTTCCAGTGAGCACTCAGGAATGATTTCCTTAAGAATGGATAGGTTTGATCTTCTTGCAGTCCATGGGACTCTCCAGAGTCTCCTCCAGCACCATAATTCAAAAGCATCAATTCTTTGGCGATCAGCCTTCTTTATGGTCCAGCTACTGGGAAAACCATAGCTTTAACTATACGGACCTTTGTAGGCAAGGTGATGTGTTACCCACACAGAAATCATTATGGTGTAATGTACATAGCCTGCAGCACTGGACCTTGGGAGAACTGGGTTCAAATGCCTGTTCAATCATGAGACTCTCCTTAGTCATGTTTAAGGGTTACTGTGAGAATAGCAGGGGATAAATCTTATTCAAAATATGTTGCCCTCCTTGGAAGAGGGTGGGATTTAAACGTGGCAGGGGAGAAACATTCCAACATGCTATCTCAGCTTAAGATGAGAAATACACAAGACTTGTGTCCATGCTGGCCTTGTAATGTCTCTCCCTCCCTCTCTACTTGCTAGACAGAAAGCAATCCAATAAGTTTCTGCTAACCATAGTTTACTGTATAGACAAACCAGGAAACTGTGGTTATGTGGTTGAACAAGTCAACTTTGCATCATGGCTTAAAATCCTGGCTTGTTTTTTTAAAAAAGAAACATAACCATAGTTTCCTCTACACCCAAACTTGGAGGGTTGACTGCTGTATGCCAAAGACAGGAAAGAAGGTGATGAGAGAACATCTTAATCAAGCCTAAAATGACATACAACAGGGAAAATTGGTGACCTTGCTCATCCGTTAAATGTAGAACCTGACACTAATAACTCACATATGTGACTTCAGCTGACTAAGGAGAGAAACCTAGGATTAAGTGTCGCAATAATGAATTGAAAGGCTTAGCTTGATCTATGGGATAACTCATTTCTGTGTCTGCATATAAGCAGTCTCAGAGATGATTTGTCAGAAAGAATCTAGAATTTATAAATGTGCCATTACAATAGCAGGAAATGCAGACACTTAAAATTCTGTGTAAAGTAATGGCTGTTCACAGGGGAAAAAATTGAACTGCACTAGTCTAATACAAATATAGCTTTTGTTCAAATGCTACTTTATTCAACAGATGGTGAAGCACGACAGGAAGGAAACTCGTTCATGCTTAGGAGACGGCTCACCACCAAAATGGTGTCATCTTTACTAATACAACAATTGGGAAGAACGAAATCGTAACTTATCTTAGAAGTACAAAGTCACAAGAATAGTGAAAGCTGCCTGATACCTAGTCAGGTCACTGGTCCATCAAGCCTAGTGTTGTCTAGCCGGACTGGTAGCAGTTCTGCAGCATCTCCAAAGAGGTTCTTTCCTGGAGATGGCAAGGATTGTACCTGGATCTGTGCCATAGCTCTGTGGGTCAGCATCTGATTACATGCAGGAAGCCCTGGGCTTAATCTCTGGAATCTTCAGTTAGGGCTAGGAACATCTCACCTTGGAGAGCTGCTGCCAGTCAGTGCAGCCAGTACTGAGTACTAGATGGACCAATGGTCTGAGTCAGTATAATGCAGAATCCTGTGTATACAAAGCACATATTCTGCCACTGAGCTAAAGCGCTTTCCCAAATGTGCTTCACAGATTTGCAGGTCATGCTTGCACAGGGTCTCTGTTTCATTCCAATTTTAGTATAAATTAGGGTTGAGGAACCTCTGGCCTGCATGCCAGCAACTTTGGGCAAGCCACACCCAGCTGCCCTATATCTGGCATCATACAGCTTTCTAAATAATAATTTTTTATTTATACCCCGCCCTTCCCAGTTCAAAATCTGGGCTCAGGGTGGCCAACAACAAATCCAAAACACCTAATTGTAAAAGCAGCACAAAATACAGTATAAAAACATGAATAACAATAAAATTCAAAAATATCAATTTAGGGGAAATAAGCATTAGATAATCCCCAGGGCTAGCTGGTTGAATTGGTCATACTTGGGCCAGCTAAAGCACAGAACATGGGGCTGACAATGTCCCTTGCAGTATGGTCCCCTAGTTAGAACTTCAGACAATGGATTTGCACAGGTGGGCTGGAAAACACACCCTTCAATCATGTGGTGCCATGTGACTGACGGGCGAGTGGGCCTGCCAACTTTGGTCTGTGAAACTGATCCTAAATAAGGATCTGGTCCACAGCGCTGAAAGGGCCCCCCACCCTTGGTATACAACAAAGCGAGCAACTCTATTGGAAAACTGGCATTACGGTTCGAGATACAGATTAAGATTTTTCCCCCTTACTTTCCAGAACACCTCCAGTCCCATGGCATGTACTATACAGGAATAAAACTGGAGTGGAGACTCCATATCTTGGATCCCAATTCCAATCAGGCTCAGCCACCATGGCCAATGATCAGGGGTGATAGGACCTGCAAGAAAGCACCCCAGTTTTGTGGCAAGAAGCCAGACCCGAACCCTTATGAGGTGTAAAAACAGGTGGTGGGGAGGGAAAATGCCTTCCTTTCTGCAAGTCTCAAAAAGCACTGCAAGGGAGGTTTTCAAGAGGCTGGGAAACTGCTGAAAAAGAAAGGGATCACGTTTAATTTGACCATGACAGTACACAAAGGGAGAGAAAACTTTTACAGGATCTATATTTGCACAGCAGGGTTTTAAACTGTGCAGCTTTTGCAACATCACAAGGAGGAGATTGGAGACATCTAAGTAAAGACTTCAAAAAAAGAGAGCAACTGCTATTCATAATATTATCACTGCTCAAGTGCAAAAGAAGTTTTCTAACTTAGTATCTAATTTTATTTCCAATGTTCTTTACGAGCAGCACCTAATTTTAGGACAGCAGGGAGTTTTTGCTTTTAGCAGGGCAAAACCAAATTTCCTCGCACTGCCATGCCTGTGAACAGCATTTTCTTATGGGTTTAAGAAACAACAGCCATTACCCCTCGCGCACACATGTACACACAATTTAACACTAGGATGCTACCTAAAGAAAAACGAACATCTGGCAAAACATGTCATAAGCTCGGGGTTCCCAGCTGCTACTATGTTTAATTTCTTTGCTCTACAGCTGTAAGATTTGTTCATAATTCTGAAGAACAAGAAGAATAAAAAGACGACCCCAGATTTAAAGTGCCCTCCCATCACTAGAACAGGCAACCATTTCCCCCTTCAGATGAAATATATTAACAGGGCCCTTCATCTTAGGTTTTTTTTGTTTTTTAGACATTCAAACTAACTAAAAGAGGAGGAAGGTGATTTGTGTAACGTCGACGAGCAATTTAACAAATGTTTCTTAATATGCTCTTTTGAATATAGTTAAGAGCCACATTTTTAAATTTAGATTGTTAGGTCCAAGGCACCAACTTTCATAAACTAAACAAAGGGAACCCAAAAACAAACCACCCACCACTTAATGTTCTGAACTTGACAGCATTGCCAAGCCAATACAAAATAAGCCAAGCTATTCCTCACGGAAGTTTTATAAGGTCTTTTGAGAGAATGCTTAAGTATTAACAATGCATTGCTGAATTTTTAATATTCCCTGCCATAAACTGAAGAAAGTGGTTACAGGCAACAAACTGCTGTGAATCTTGCAGCTGAAAAAAGGCCCTGTAGTGCAACAAGGATATATATATGTATATATTCCTGATTTGGAGTCCCCCAAAATAGGGGGTGTCATATACATGGGGGTGTCCAATACACGGAAAAATGCAGTATATATTTTAAAAAGCAAGCAAAGATTTGCAGAAGAAGGCAACGCACACTTGCATTTTCAAACAGCTGCGAAAGATCACTTCTCTGATGGAGCGGAAATCAATAGGAAGTTCAAAAACATATATAGGATATAAAATATTCCATCTTCTCACATGCTCAGCCACTTGGACAGTATTGAGCACGGGGGTGGGAGGAGAGTAGCCTTGTAAGAATACAGGCTAATTGGAAAATGAGTAGGAAATTAGCCTATTGAAAGCAGAAGGAAAGCAAGAAATAAATGTTAGTGGAGTTGTTGCAGCTGTGAATTTATTGTTTTACGATTGTTAAAATCAGTGTTTATAGCCAATTGCGTGATTACTAAATGCGAGATATTTATCCCAGTTGTTATCTGCATTGCAAGGCTGGGGGACCTTTGGTCTTCCAGATGTTGTTGGACTACAACTACCATCAGCCTCAGCCAGCCAAGCCAACCATTGGGGACGAGGGGAGCAGCAGTTCGGCATCATCCAGAGAGGTCACAGGTTCCCTAGCCCTGCTGTGCTGGAGTTGAACTGATGCTATACATGTGCTATCATATTAAACTGTGTTTATACATCTTTTTTTTTTTAAGAACGGCCTATAGATGCAATTGTTTTAAAGGTGTTGTATGCTTTCACTGTAGTGCAAATTGCATCAGGATTCCTCATGGGACACGATTCATAAATGAAGTAATACTCAGAAGCAAGCCCCACTCAATTCAATGGAATGGGTTACAGGCTTAACCTAGGAACTGTTACACTTTGCTGTGGGGCCTGCCCCAAATTTTCCTGCGAGCAGTTCTTATTTCAGGAAGCGTGTATGCATTTTAAAAAGGTCTGCACTGTTACTCAACATGACTGATACACCTGTCCATTAAAGACCGCAGGTCCAGTGAGCAGAGTGGTACAGCCTTCCTTAGCTTTGAAATGCCAATCTGGCAACGCAGCTCCTCTACCCACTTAGCATCTGTATTTGTATCTCTTTGGCAGTGACAACTGCTAACAGCGGCGCACCAGGAAGCATCAGTTTCACCGCCAATGCAAAATAGCAGATGGAAGCAGAGGGAGCTCCCATGCACGCATGTTGGCACCAGGTATCATCGTGCCACCTTGCAAACATGTTCCCAGGGGGACTGCGATTAAATTCATTTACAATGAAAATGCAGAATACAAACAAAACGTACTCAAAATAAAGGGCAACTAGTTGGCAAAAGGAACAGGACTAAGACTGTATCTAAAAAAAAGACAAACACTAGCAGGGGAGGGGTGGTCTTTTCCGAGTGCCGCAAGATAAAGTCTCCAGGCAAACCTTTCTGGGGACAGTCTTCAGCAAGTTGGGGGCCACCAAAGAGAAGGCCCTCTCTTTGGAATACAAGCTCAGCTCAGATGGTAGAAGCACCCACAGTGTGGTGTAGTGGTTAAGAGCGGTAGTCTCGTAATCTGGTGAACTGGGTTCACGTCTCTGCTCTTCCACATGCAGCTGCTGAGTGACCTTGGGCTAATCACACTTCTCTGAAGTCTCTCAGCCTCACTCACCTCACAGAGTGTTGTGTAGGAAGGAAGGGAAAGGAGATTATTAGCCGCTTCGAGACTCCTTAGGGTTGTGATAAAGCAGGATATCAAATCCAAACTCTTCTTCTTCTTCCCTGCATGGAACATCTTAATGCTTGAGTAGGTGCATACTGAGACAAGTGGTCCTTCGAGTAATCTGTTCTAAAATGTAAGTACAAAGCTTTACTTACATGTTCCTAAATGACTCTGTCAAGTCTCCCTTGCACCTTAGGATTGCATGCTGCCTACACACACACACACACACACACACACACATGTATGACCTGGGCGACTGATGTGCACGATTCCAACCAACCTCTTTCTACCCAAAAGTAAACAGCAGGTTCAAAGGGGCTGGGCAGCGTGAACACCGGTGAGCTCAGCCCTAACTATATATATGTGTGGGTGAAAAAGTCACAAGCCCACCACCCCAATCCAAGTTGGGAAGCATGCAAACAACCCCTCAGTGATCTGTGATGCTACAGTTTACTCGACAATGCACATGTGAGGCATTCCCACCTAAAGGCACAAATGAAATTAAAAAGCCAACATCCAATCTTTCCTGTTTGCCCAGTGGGAACCCAACTGAACAGGATTTCCGGTTTCTCTTCTCCCCACCCCCTTCTGGTCCCCTACAAAATCAACTCCAGAGGGTCCCCCAACCAGTGTTTCAAATTCCCCAGGCGACAGGAGCATTTTGCTACTGGCGCAGGTTCGACTGCAACTACGTGGAGATGACTGGGTGCCAGGCTGGCGACTGACATCTCTCCACTGAGCCAAGTGACTCACACGCAGGAAAGGAACGCACGTCTTGTGCTTCTGCGCTGCCACGCGAACCACAGACCCCTTGCTGGGCATCTTAATGCTCCATCATCACATCAAGAAAAGCAAGTGCAGGGCTGAGATTGGATATACAGTGGTACCTCGGGTTACGAACTTAATTCGTTCCGGAGGCCAGTTCTTAACCCGAAACTGTTCTTAACCTGAGGCGTGCTTTCGCTAATGGGGCCTCCCGCTGCCGCTGCGCCGTCAGCGCGCGATTTCTGTTCTCATCCTGGGGCAAAGTTTGCAACCCGAGGTACTACTTCCGGTTAGCAGAGTTTGTAACCCGAAGTGTTTGTAACCCAAAGCGTTTATAACCCGAGGTACCACTGTATTTGATTGTGCTGCAGCCTTTCCATAGGACTCTCAAATAGAACTCACAGACCACAGTTTAAAAAACCTCTGCCTTAGTCCGTATTTCACTCCATTTCCATTTCCACTGTGTGTGGTTTTTTCCTTCTCGCATACTGGGACTACTGAATTGTTGTAAGAGCAAGCTACAGTCAAGCAATGCAGCTGAGATCAAAGAATGGTAGAACTGTAGAGCTGGAAGGGACCCTGAGGGTCAACTAGACCAACCCCCTGGAGAACAGACATTCTGCTATGATGACCGTAACCTTGGTTTAAGGTGCCATTTGGCACCTAGCTTATATACGAGTTTGTAACATTGCCCCCAACTCACCAGAGCAGATATAGAGGGTGTCCAGGGGGCTGCAGGGGGGAAGGAAAGGAGTGAGAAACCCCCCTGCACATGCCACATTGGATCTCATTCTCCCTTTTGAAATTATTCACCCACCCACCCCCGTGATAATTTGTTTTAATTCTTTTTAATATCGAATTGTAAATTGCTGCAATCCACCTTGGGACATGCTGGTGAATGGCGGGTGATAAGTTTAATAATAAAAGAAATTAATTATAGATAACCTTTGTTGTGGCTTTCCTCCCAGATGATTCTGGGATTAGTAGTTTAGCGAAAGTGCTGGGAATCCCCAGTGAGCGATCCTGAGGACTGCCTGGGTAAATGGAATGTTGGTAGTTTAGAAACGCCATGAATATCGGCAACCAAGAGGAAAGGTGCATGGGAGTTAAATTCCTTTTAGCAAGACATGAAGAACACTGTACAAGTGCCGTTTCTTGGTTTGTATTGTTCCTAGAGGGGTGATGGGTATATTGGCTTTATAAGACATCTGTTTCAAAGATTTGCTTTGCTTTTTAACGTTACCGATCCATTCTGCTTCTTTAGCACTACACTGAGAAAGACATAAATTCTAAGTTGCAAGAAAGTACCCTCAATGGTTCCCTAATCCACTTGCTGGTAATCCAACCAAACTGTAAACCTGTTTCGTTGGATCCGGTCTCGTTCCAGAATGCCCTGTAGTTTGCAAATCTCTTAAAACCTCAAATGGGGTCTTTTAAAAATATTTCTCACACTCGCCTATATAGGGAACATATTTCGGTTTTGTGAAATTATCTGTGTTTTCCCTCAAGTCAAATTAAGGGCTACCAGCCTATTTTTCTTAGCACATTTCTTCTCAAGAGATTACAATACAAGCTACCATTTTTCAAGGCTCTGGCACAGTGGCGCTCTCAGTAATAAATTACACATTGTTAGCAATTCAGCTGCTTTTATTTCTTTTGTTCCTTATTAACTTGGATCAATGCCATCTGGTTCTCCTGATTTATTACTAGTTACCTTCGTTTCCACCTGTAGGTCTCCTGTATCAACCACACAGCTGAGCTTCTGCGCACATTCCTACAAAAGCCACACACTAACCACCTGGGGATAGAATCCAAATTGCAGGGCCATTACCTCAAACTCAGGCCTCCTTCCCACAGACATGAACACCCTCAAACAACAAGCCCTTCTAACCAACCCTAAAATAAAGAGATTTACTAGATGCTAATGCTGACGAACATTCCTAAATTATTGCGGCAAACTGCCCCCAAACTACTGAAACATTAGCATGAAGAACCCTATATCCCCCCAAGGGGAGGGGAGATATTTCAATTATTCATTTCAAGGAATCGTTATGGGTGAAGCAGGAATGCTAATTGACATTAGCAATTGTGCAGAAAGAGTTATTCTAAGTTAATAAATTCCCAGACAAGAGCATAAAAATGCAGTCATTAAAATCTATGCATATTGAATTATTTGGGACTAAAGAAAAGTTCATCTCCAGTCCAGTACCATGTGAAACACATACACCCCCCTTTTTAGAGATTTCTCTTTGTAGTTAAAAGCCTTCTATGAGGAGAGAACAGTGTTTTGGATTTACTGCTCCTGAGCTCGTCCGACTTCTCAAAACAGGAGCAGAGTATAGCTTGACCTTCAAAATTATCATTCCAAACTTTCTGAGCTACGGACAAGTGTTCTAACTTTGTGTGTGTGCGTGTGAGCACACACTTCGTTGAATGCACAAAACTTAACAATAGCTGCTACCCCGAGACAATCAAGGTTTGCAAGAAAAAGCAACATATGGTATCTTGCAGAGCTTTCTGCACCTTGATTTCCTAGCAAGGCAACAACTGGTGAAGGCTCAAACCAGAACAAGAACAGCAGGGCTTCAGGTATCCCGTTTTGCTCCTTGTGTGCTTTCCAAGGCAGCCACTATACATCTTCCTCCGCTGCTCATTATTTATCCCAGTTCAACACCCATTCCCTGTGTGCCCAAAAGTTTAGAATTACTTCTGAATTTTGGAGGCATAATGCATTGGAGGTAAATATAATCGTATTTCATTTTACATCAGGCATGTGGCTGGAATCCAAAGGAGGCTTATGTCTGAAGCACCCGTGGGGAGGTGGACAAGCCGTCTATGGTTATTTGTGCGGTGTAAAATAATGTTCTGGAAGGTGCCTGAGTTTTCAGAAGAAGCTTTTGTGAGGAAGGGGGTGTAGGAGAATAGCAGGGGTCTCCCAAGTGCAAGACCACATACAGTGGTACCTCGGTTTTCAAACGTAATCTGTTCCGGAAGACTGTTCAAGTTCTGAAACGTTCAAAAACTGAAAACTCAATAGCTGACAGCTAGGGCTCAGGATCTTGCATTCGGCGGAAGCTGCATGGCATGTTCAACTTCCAAGGCGTGTTCAAAAACCAAAGCATTTACTTCCGGGTTTGTGGCGTTCGAAAGCCAAAATGTTTGTCAATGGAGACATTTGAAAACCGAGGTACCACTGTATGTCTGTTTGAGAACTGCCAAAAGATCATCATCGCAAAGCAAAAACTCTGGATCATGCCATGCAAACAGTGTTCCAGAAGCAGTGGGAAGGTGCTTATGGACTCAGCTGAAAAGAAGCCTTGCCAATGTCCCTAGAGGTTTATTTCTCACAACACCCAACACGAGGACCATGTGTGGTATGAAACGTTGGGCTACCCTGAGCTAGGCTATCAGTGACTAAGTTCTGCCACCACTTTTGTAGGTTGAATGCCTCTGAATACATGTTACTGAGAATCTCGGGTGCAGAGAGCGCTCTTGCACTCAGGTTCTGCTCGCAAGGTTTCTCATGGGCAACTGGACAACCACTGTGAGAACAGGATGCTGGACTAGATGGGCCACTGGCCTAATCTAGCAAACTCTTCTTATGTTCTTAGTTAAGTACCGTTTCCTGATTTCTTAAGTACATCATTGTCCTCTAAGCTAAATGGCTTATCAGTGCTGCTACACTTCTCTCTCTGGGCAGAATTTGAGCTTCTCTGATGCACATACACCAGCACATAACCCCAGCTACCACTGGCTGCAATTTGCAGTAATAATGTCTCAATTTTCCATTTTTATGAGTATATCCCATCACACAGTCCAAAAGGTCCTCATTATCCCTTTACCCAAGTTTCCTTTCAACACAGTACTTTTATTTAAGTAGCAAACTACAGTCTCCCCCTCGTGCAACTCCTACATGCGATTTCAAACACACAGATCACCAGGATCATCCCCCTAGATAGGCATTTAATATGCTTGTGGAAATCAAAAACAGCTAATTCTCTATTCAGAATGGTATTTGGAGGCATTAAATTTAATAAAATGACCCCAATAAAAGTTAATCAGAAGTGTTTAAATGTATCGGCAATAAAACAAATTTTATGGCTAGCCGAGTCAGTTATCTTCTGTGACAAATTAACTGAGCACTCAAAATGAGATGCATCAGTACCATTTTAATAATGAAAAATGAATGCAAATCAAACACAGTCCGAAAAGGACCTGCGTGCCACTTTGCAAATGGAAATCCTCGCAGAAGAGGATTTGCCCATTATCGCGAAAATAAGGGTCAACAAGTTCTGGCTGGCCTTGACGGACAACTGAAAATAGATAATTACCAAGACCTTGTCCCTATGCAAGAATAGGGGCCTTCTTCTCGACCTCACACATCTAAAATGGGCTGTGGGGTCAGGAACACCCCCCTGCCTTCCCTCCCACCCCTGTGCTTTGAGAGAGGTGGGAATTTGCCTCCAAAGTTGCAGCACATTTCCAAAGGCCTCAAAAGCCCAGCTCAATTGCATAACGGATTGCTCTACTTTTGTGATTTTTTAAATCATAGCTTGTACACTGCACTGTTATACATCTGTGGTTGCCAACATGGTGTCCTGCAGATTTTGCCGGACTCCAACTCCCATCAGCCCCCACCACAATGGCCAATGGTCAGAGATTATGGGAGTTGTAGTCCAACACCACTTTGGAGGGCACCTGCTCTACATCATATTAGTGAAAACTGAGAATACACTCACAGAACTTTTATGAGTAACTGCTATAAGCAAAACAGATGTAAGAAATTAGGTTTGGGGAGGACAATGTATGTAGTTTTGTATTCCTTGGTTATTTCCCTGAAAAGGGGCAGGACCTTTTGGCCATCTAAGGATCAGTTCACCTTTGGCTTGCAATTCTTCCTTCCTGACCCAATGCCTGAACTACTTATTCCAGGGTTAAGGCTCCATTAATGAAAGGTGAGCTTTGTATCTCCTTTAAGAAGTCCTTCCTTTAAGAAGCAGTTGCATTTAAAACACAGCTTGCATCCTTATTAAGAGAGAAGGTGGATGAGGAGATAACGAGAGCAGGGCAGGGCAGCCTCACACTGAAAGTGTGTGCAAAATTAGAGCCGCTTGAATATGCAACTTGATGGTTATGCTTGGCGGCCTGATCTGCATCGTTGCTTATTAAGAAACAAGGAGAACATTCTCCTGGGAGGATGCAGCAATGGCCAAATGGAACGATTAACACCAATTATCAGTCTTGTCAAGTCTGCAGGATCTAGAGGGAAAGTTCCGTTCATTTCCCTCCTCTCCAACTCCTACAGTTTAGCAAGCTGAAGGTCAACACCGGATTTTGGCAGGCTCCATCTATTAATTGCAGATTCTCTCTTCCGCTCATCTCTTCCTATAAGGATAAACCCAAAGGGAAAGGCTGGCATGTATACTGAAGGCAACACATTTTTAAAAAGACTTGGGGATTTTAGAGAGGTAGTTGATATTCAGATTGAACTGTTCCAATATCTTAACTGCATTGTGATTAACATAGATTCGTCATACTTTCTCCATTACAAATGCCCCCCCCATTCCGTCACCCCCACTGAAGATAGTAGAGCCATTAGCAGGAACACAGATCCACAAAAATGGAATGCCCAAACACATATGATGGGCAAATCTTTTTCACAGAATTAGGAAATTACTTTTCCCCCTGCATTTTTTAAAAAAACATCATAAAACCAGCCACGTTTTGTCTCATGTACTGTGGTCAAAAAATCAACATAAATAATTCCTTAATAGAATTCCTTAACAGAATGGTCTGAGGGCATCACAATCCTGTACCAAGAGAAACTGTGAGTTTATTCAAACCAAGTGAAATCTGCACATTCCTACTCTCTTTTCCCCCTGCTAGTCATGTGGAAGGGCAAGGAGCCATGGCGGGCCCTAGGGCTATTTCTAAGAGCTCCTTCCATGCACGCATGGGAAAGAAGGACTGCACCCAACAGCTTCGCCTCCAATATCCATGTATCTCCAGCTTCGGATGTTCTGCCCAATGCGCAGCTATTGGGAGCAGCATGGAACTAGGAAGTGCACCCTTGTTTCACTTACCATGCGTTGGGGAAAGACCGTAGCTAAGTGGTAAGGAATCTACTTTGCATGCAGAGGGTCCCAGAATCAATCCCTGGTACCTCCGGGTAAGGCTGGGAGAGATCCCAGTCTGAAATCTTGGACAGCTGCTGCCAGTCAGTGTTAATAGTACTGAGATAGATTGACCAATCGTCTGATTCAATGCAAGTCAGTTCCCTAGGTTCCTATGCATTGACTATAGGCCTGGAGGGGTGTTCTGATGAATAGCCCTATGAGGTCCTATCCTACTAAATACCCCTTTGGACAAACACACACACACACACACACACACACACACACACAATCATGTAGATAGAAGCTTCTGGGATTTTTCTGATTAGATGCCACCCATTCCCTAGAAGCGGCTTCTGTGCAATAAAAGTCGTTCTAAATCAAAGCAGCAATGGGCCAGAAGACAAACAGCTAAGGGCTTGCAAGAAGCGGACCCTCAACCTAGCAAAGCGATGTCTGCCACACACAAGCAGCCTCTACTGAGAGTGGAGCTTCGGCCTAGAAACGCCACACCTTTCCAACCTCAAATCCACAGCCAAAGCCGGTGCAAAAGTTTTCATGTGCTAACAAGTTTCCCCTTTGTTCTGGGGTCAGCGCCCGTGTCTGAACTTGCACCTCCTCAGAATGTACACTGGGCTTAGCGTGACACCTTCCCTTTCACAAGCCTCAGTTGAGTTATATCAACCTGAGGTCTAAATCACAAAAGGAATTGTAGCCGTTTAACACAGACAAGTCTTGAAATAATATTGTGATCAAAGTAGAAGGCAGCCTAATAAAACCCAGGTGGCTTGGGCTTATCAAACATGGTACTCATTACTCCAATTGCTCTGTTTAATAGATTGCCTGGTGTCAGCAGAAGGAGGTTTCTGGTATTAATTCCTCCAGTTATAATCCTACATGTGTTTTCTGGAGCTCTCTGATAAATCAGCTTTGTCCAGGAAAAACTTAAGGGGGGGGGGAATCTATTTTAGAAGTTCAGACCTTTTGCCACTGCTGGCAAAACCACAGAAACCACTGTGAATTTGCTTTATTCACTATTAACACAAGGCTAAACAAGGTTCTTTGGGAGGTTCCAGATGACTCAAATCTGCCGAAGTTCTGTGTGGGTTGATGTGTTTTTCTGCCCCGCCCCTGCCCCACCCCACCAACCCACATAAAAATGCTAACTTTGTTGCAGGAAATGTTCTATAAATTCCAGATAAAGGTGGCCTGTTATTTTCAAATCTGTCACTCCATTGAGTTTGCCATTTGAGCTGGGTTCGAAATTAGCAGGGCGCCAGGCACCGTTTGCGCCTAAAGATTCTCCATTTGCAAGCACCTCCAAAAATCTGGGTGCCATTTTTTTTGCATCTGGTGGAAACTGAAATGTATGAGCTTTGAAACCTTGAAGTGTATGTTAAAGATAGATAATATGTTAAGAAGTTTAACAATAAAGAGTAGAGTGCTTTGAAAACTGAACTATGGTACCAATATTTTTATTGTAAACAACCAAATGGAACATGTATTATCAATTTCTGTTAAAAATGTGTTATTAACAATGTGTCACTTATGTGAATTGTATATTCATTCATGCTTATCAAAATAAAATAATAGTAAGCGTTGCCAAAAGAATGTTTGTAAACCGGAACAATCACTTCCGGGTTTGCGGCATTCGGGAGCCAAAACGTACAAGTGCCAAGGCATTCAGCTTCCAAGGTATGACTCTAAACACAATGACATTTACACCGACAAAATATTAAGTGAAGAACACACACCTTATCATGATCTGATCCCACACAGAAAGTCATAATAAAACGTAACTTTAAAATGGAACTACATCAAATAAAGTAACATTCAATAATTTATCAGAATATAATAGTACACAATAAAATTAACTCTCGAAACATCAGCAAATAATAACACCAGCCCATATTAAGCCATGTGGACTGGCATGAGATCAGCATGTCTAAAGCCCAGTAGCACACATAGTCCAGGTTCTGGGTTCTATAATTTGCAGTGATGAAAGCGAGGAGCTTTGGAGCAAACTAGAGTTGCGATCCTGTTACTGCTGACTATGCAAGCTCCTTACGATCAGAGAATATTGAAATGGCCCCTTGGTGCTTCCTCCAACGAGGGAAAGAGTTCTGCAGCAGGCAGAAACCTAGGGAGGGCCAGCTCAAATGCCTTAATCATTTATTTCTGTTCTGCGCAAGTACCGTATTTTTCGCACCATAGGGCGCACCGGACCATAGGGCGCACCCAGTTTTTAGGGGGGGAAATCAAGGAAAAAAATATTTTTCCCCCACAGCCCCAAAGAGCAGCGTACAGGCTGCACACAACCTCTCCCTGCCAGAGGGGTTGTGCGCAGCTATGGAAGAAGGCAAGGCAGCAAGCGGGATGGATCCCGCTCGCTGTTTTGCCTTCCCCTTTAGCCCCGTGCAGCCTCTCCTTGCCGGGAGAGGCTGCGTGGGGCTAAAGACGCCATAGCCCCGTGCAGCCTCTCCTTGCCGGAGGGGTTGCGTGCGGCTATGGCACAAGCCTGCATTCGCTCTATAGGACGCACACACATTTCCTCTCAATTTTTGGAGAGGAAAAACTGCGTCCAATAGAGCGAAAAATACGGTAATCCTGGATGCAGTATTTCTGGTGAGAGGCTACTGGGATCCAAGGCTCCGGGGGTACAACCATAACTGCCAACACCCCCTGTAAGCTATTCTCCTGAAGGTATTTTTTCCCTGCCCATGCAGAACTTACCTTCTTCACCATCTTAGCAGAGCTTCCTAATTCCCCAAGCAATGCTGCTTTGAAACAAAAAAAAAAGGGGGGACCTCTTTATAAGTCTGAACAGCTCCACACACAGTGCTGGCAATGTACATGCAGTAAGATAAAGTGCAGAGACAAAGTGAAAAGCCAAAGAAAAGACTGCCAAGCAGTGCCAGGTTGACCGATTCAGTTTATCCCTTCTGGGATTTTGTGGTGTTGTGTTTTAACCCCCCCCCCCAGCAACGCAACGTGCTACTCCCAAGGATGAACCGTTTTCAAAGCCTCCCAAATAACAAGACTTCCATTTTCAAGGCTGTTTCTTGTTACAACTTTTTTTTAAAAAAAATATTTTATATCTATATAAAGGTGCTCTTTAAACTGGCTGCAAGTGTTTCAGGAGTGGCACCCAGTGTCCAAACAGATTACTTACACCAGATTCCTTACTTGGCTCCCAACAATTGTTCCGTTCTATTTCAGCATCTCTCACTTCACCACCTACTGGAAACAATATTGCACGACTCTGTGTGTTCGGAAACACTTTAATATTAGTTTTCATGCGTGATACTCAATCAGTAGCATGGGGCTCTTTTTAAAAAAATAAAATAAAATCCAGCTCCTTAAGATAAAGAACTCCAGGCTATTCTGGTTAACGTAATAAGATATGCAATTTCACCTACAGTTTGTGCTAAATTCAGAAATAAGGCATAAAATAAGATTACAGACCTTATTTCCATATTTGAGTTAAGACAACACTGGCAAGGTAAACAACACACTGATCTGATGCTAAACCTCAATATAGTTTCCTAGTATGGCTAAGATACCTACCTGCCTTGAATGAGAAACTACAGTGGTGCCTCGCAAGACGAAATTAATCCGTTCTGCGAGTGTCTTCGTCTAGCGGTTTTTTCGTCTTGCGAAGCAACCCTATTAGCGGCTTAACGGATTAGCGCTATTAGCGGTTTAGCGGCTATTAAAGGCTTAGCGGATTAGCTGCTAAAAGGCTATTAAAGGCTATTAAAGGCTTAGCAGATTAGATAAAGGGGGGGGGAAGCGGAAAAAAAATCTCAAGACTTGCAAGACATTTTCGTCTTGCGAAGCAAGCCCATAGGGAAATTCGTCCTGCGAAGCAACTCAAAAACGGAAAACCCTTTCGTCTAGCGGGTTTTCCGTCTTGCGAGGCATTCGTCTTGCGGGGCACCACTGTACTTCTGCTGGCAAACCCACAAAAGACACTTGCTAACATACAGATGATTTGACTCTACAAAATTTGCAATAAATTAGTTTAGAGAAGACATGACTTTAAGTGGCTATTTTTATTCTGTTCTTACTGCTGTGCTTTAACCCTAAAAATCGGTCCTTCCTAATTTATAACATTGACTTGGTCCAAGGCACTTTCTACACAATAGCCCCCAATTCCAGACACTATTATGCCCATTTTTCTGATAGGAAACTTGTGCTGAATATCTCATTCTCCACAAACGATGAAGTGTTTCGGGTAGTTTTAACACTCTTCACAGCACATCAAACTAAACTGGTCACATTGAGCCTAACTTTCTGCGAGAGAATCCTTTTGAGAGCCACAGGCATCTTTTCAAGCTACACATAAGCATCTCAGAGGCAACACACTGCCCTCTCCTGTATCAATGCAATTTTCTTTACAATCAGTTTATTCACAGAAGGGCTTTTTTCTGTTGCTTTATTTTGTTTTAAGAAAACAGGACAGCTATTCTAAGAATTGCAAAGCATTCATAAATTCACCAAAGTGCTCGTGTTGGACATCCCAAGCACGTTTACACAACTGTGTTCCATACTTTGACACCTTCTGCTGTAAAATAATAATAATAATAATAATTGTGGTGTCGGGAACAGCTGGCAACAGAGTCAGGAGACCCAAACCCTTTGTGGTGAGTTTGGGTTCCACAACGTAATAGTCTCAGCTTGAATGGCCATAAACACTAATAAATGTTAAATCCATCCTACAACTGAACGCTGAGGACTTCAAATGAAAGTCGCAAACAGCACTGGGTTTTCTTTTTCTTTCTTGTAGGGATGCAAGCGTCTGTACGCGGCAGGCTTTTGAAAACGACAAAAACCTTACTAAAATCTCAAACTTCTCTATAGACTCTGAAGTTTTACTATCAATTCCCAAAACCGGAGTGGGTGGGTGGGATTGAATATATCACTTCTGATATACTATTTTCAAGCTGCACATCACAGATTGGGTCATGTTCCAAGTACTATTGCAGTTTAAGGAATTAAACTAAACATTCTTTTAATATACCTCCAAAACAGATTTTTCAATTCTTTCACTTTTTAATGTGACCCAGGGGCTTTCTTGTTAACCTACCTACTAAAGTGCACCTACTAAAGAGAAGGTGAAGTTACCCTAAACAGCAAACCCTCGCAGGATAAGAAACTGTAAAGGAAGTGTCCTGAATTCAGTTTCAGAAACTAAGGACTGAACTCGTGCTTCTGGGGCTAAATATCCTATACTACAGGATTCCTACCTGCAACTCAAGAGTCTCCACTTTCTCTGCCAGTAGAGCATGACACTCTTAATCTCAGGGTTGTGGGTTCGAGTCCCATGTTGGGCAAAAGATTCCTGCATTGCAGGGGGTGGATTATGATCCTTGTGGTCCCTTTCCAATCCTATGATTCTAAAGGATTCTATGTGCAGGTTTTTACACGGCATCACAGGCAGCAGATGAGGCTCTCCTAACTTTGGGGTGTAGTTTCACTGGTGGTGTGGTCAACATGTAGTAGTCTAAGTCATACCCTCCAGTATTTTTTTTTCTTCGAGTACAAGAGATGTAGTAACTAAAGCTTCAAAATTGTGGTGTTGTCAGACACGCCTTCATCACCCACCTTTTATTTCTATTATCTCTAAACTTTACTCCCTGGGATGCATGGTAGCCAAAAATGGGAAAAGGTGTCGATTGCCATTACCCCTTGACTTAGCCGAAGCAAATTATACCCTATGGTTCTTACAGAGGTTTACAGCACAATCCTGTTTACTCCTAAATGTCCTATGAAGCTTACTTGCAGGCAATTGGGGTTAGTACTACAGCCCTAGAAGTTGAAAAGTATGGTAAACGTATAGAAACAAAGGATGGTGGTGACACATACTACAGGGGGGGAAATTCCCTGTCTTTAGCTAACAAAAATCAGCCTGCATTAGGTAGTTGTAACCACAAATTTGATTCTGGTACTCAAGAGTTACGTCTTCCTACCACCATTCCCCAAGTACTGGATCACAGCCTGTTTTCATATTTATCAATAATAATATAATTACAACATGTGCACATGTTACTGTATCTGGGCAAAGTGAGTGACTTGTTTAATTTAATTTGATAACATCCAAAATTATGTGCTGAAAGCTATTAGTGGACATCTGAACCTTTATCGGCAAGTTGCCAGGTTAACGGTTGTGCTAACAATTTTGCATGATCCAGGCAGATAGCATTTGCTGGTGTTTGATTCGCCTCCAACATCCTATTAACTAGATTAAATACTGGCATTTACCTGTTCTCCATAATCTGATTGTGCGCATTTTCAGAATACCCTCAACTACTGTGTCATTCGCTTACATCAGTTATATTTGTTTGTTGCTCTCGCTTTAAATTGTAATGACTGACTTATCACAGTGAGTGTTAGATGGAGCAGTACAAAGTTTTGTGCAGAGGCTTCTCATTCTTCACAACTATTAAAAGGCACAAGGTCTCTGTATCGTAGCGAATTAAGCAAGTCTAGCCGAGGGAAGAGTTTCTAAACAAGTCCCAATCTCAATCTGCTGCACAGAACTGTAGCTGAACGAGGGCTAATATTCTGCAATATTACAGCTCCATGGATATACTAAAATGAAGGTATAATCTGGTTTGGCAAGAAAGAAAATTACCTTTGGCCATTTTATTTTATTAAAAAAGATAAAGAGCAATGAATTCCCTTGTCCCTGTCCCTCCCTAAAAAAATGTTCAGAAAAGCTAGTTGCGCTAAAACTCGAGTCTTTTGAAGCAAAGCTTCAACGTTTCCCAAATGATATTTGCACTTTAATTAATTTTCTCTCTATCCCACTGTTTTCCCCCTTTCTAAGTGGATTAATCACATTTCCTTCTACCTCTAATTGGTTAACCATGCCATAAATATTTACTCCTGATATATCCTCAGCTTTTATTTTACTTTACTTTTGCAGAGACCAAGTTCATTATGCTCCACTTGCCACAAAGGTTCCGACACTTATTGAAGCATTCTTATTGCTTCTCATAACAAAGGTCTTGTTATTATTAAAGTCTATAAGAACCCTGGTCTCTTCAGAAGTAGCCTTGAAGATGGATGTGTCAATGGACATAGGCATTTTTTAAAAAAGTGAGCTCAAAGAACCTTGGCTTTTCCCCCCTGAATTTAATTCACACGTTTCATCTTTGGTCAGGGTTTGCAATATTGACATAATGGAAGTTCTCAGTTAATTCATTTGAGTAATTAAATCTCAAGTGGAAGTGGATTCCAAAGGTGCGAAAGGAGGGGGGGCGGGACAAAGGTGTTGAAGCTAGAGTTGGGGGTGTACATAAATCACAAACAAAATATTCATAAAAACCTGAAAAATATATTTTAAGAGACAGCCTGCGAAGTGTGGTGCATGAAAGAATAAGGAAAAGCATGTTCGTAAGTCAGCTTTAATTTCTTCATATATAAAACTGCCAGACATCCCAAATATATAAAGGTAAATAAAATATATATTTATATTTTACTCAAAAGCAACTGCTGGGGAGGGGAGCTTTTTCAACAACAAAAAAGGGGGAGAAAACTAAGACAACAGTTTGATTTATGCAAAATCCAGCTGATCCTTACAGAATGTATTGTTTCATATTAAAACTAGTATAAACTGAAATTATATGTCCTTCAACTGACAATTCTGAAATTCACTTGTATGCGCCCTGTTTCTCTGATCTCAAATTTGCTCTAGAAAGGTTATCATTAAATTCTAACACCCACACCTTATGGTTTCTGGGGAAAAAAGAATTTTTGAATTTCAGCTTTGGCATTCTAACTGAATGTTAGCAATGCCAAATCTGAAAGTATTTTAGATCAACCTAACAGCTGGACACTTCATAAATCTCAACCCTGTAAAATATTTTAAGTTTGAAAAACCAAGTACATTTTTTTAAATAAAAAAGCCTTACCTTATGCAGCCATGTATTAAATATCAGAATACACTTACACTTTGTTTTACTATGAAAGTGATATTTTAATGTTCCTAACTTTTAAATAAATACAACCATATAAAAATGTACAATCCTTTCCTTTTAACATATTCACAGCTCAAGTATGAACGGATGCAAGAGAAAAGCCATTAATATTACTCTTGATACGTCATATTTTAGTTTCAACCCTCATATTTCAACTTTAAGTTATCTCAGCTGCTGGAGACTAAAAGGGTTTATATATTTTAAATTTCAGTTAAACGGTGCCAAGGTCTTTCCACAACTTATCAGAATAACCTACAAATGGAACATTCAACACATTTCTTACCAGGAACGTTCAACCGTAAGCCAATAAGCCATAATAAGTTAACATTTTCAAAATATTGCCATACGCAGCAGATGCCCACACAGGACCGAAAAATATTAATATTACATATATATTGATTATCTCTAGTTACACACCTGCACCATTTCCTATGCTTTTTCTCCAGAGATTCATTCTATCAATTTAGGAAAAATGTGGGGTTTTAAAAATAATTTAGAAGATTAATAGAACATTTTTCCCCATAGAAGCACAGCCACAGAAAGGTGATGAAGTTTTGTGTTAGCGTTTTAGACCACAGGAAAAACTTTTTTTCTAATTAAAAAGAAAAGGTTCTTAAACAGCTGTTTGTCTTGTAAGCTATAAAATGCAAACAAAAATTCATAGAGTACACCGCAGGCTTGTATGTCATATAATTATGACTAATGGGAAGGAATTTAACTTAGTTGAGACAAGCATGCTACAGAGGCAAGACCTGCAGGCTGTTAATTTGATGAGAACATGCATATACTGCAATGGAATCAAATGAAAGATACCAACACTCTGAGAGGCAGAGTGAGTGGATAATTCTTCCAGAGGGTTGACCATTTTCAGCTTCTCTCCTTTTAATAGACAAGGCAAGGGCATGGTCCTTTATGCCTAAAACAAATGCTAAGGATGGTGTACCCCTTTCAAAACAGGCTCCCAATCCGGCCATTTTGTGTCATCTTCCATCCTCTCTCCCTTGCCACTTGCACAAAGGAAGACTCAACTGGCAGGTGACAACCACAATACAGGGAATTATTTTAAGCACACCTAATGGCTTATGTGGGGACGTGGCTGGCGCTGTGGGTTAAACCACAGAGCCTAAGACTTGCCAATCAGAAGGTTGGCGGTTCGAATCCCCACGATGGGGTGAACTCGCATTGCTTGGTCCCTGCTCCTGCCAACCTAGCAGTTCGAAAGCAAGTCAAAGTGCAAGTAGATAAATAGGTACCGCTCCGGCGGGAAGGTAAACGGCGTTTCCGTGTGCTGCTCTGGTTCACCAGAAGCGGCTTAGTCATGCTGGCCACATGACCCGGAAGCTGTACGCCGGCTCCTTCGGCCAATAAAGCAAGATGAGCGCTGCAACCCCAGAGTCGGCCACAACTGGACCTAATGGTCAGGGGTCCCTTTACCTTTAATGGCTTATGTGTGCCCCCCCACAGGGAACTGCCTTTGCTGTCATTCAAAGCACACACAACTGCAAGGGTCCGCCAGCCTAGTTGCACACTAGGGCTGTGGCCCCACAGTCTGTATTAGCCCCAGACAGCACAGCAATTAGTCGAGGGTGACAGGAATCGCAGTTCAACGTCTGAAGGGACCAGGTTGGCATTCGCTGGTCTCTGCGTTACGAAATCATATGCCAGCTGCCAAATGGCATTTCTTCCGCATCATGTGAAAATGGCTACATGCTTTTTATTCTTCATTTTAAATGTCTTAGCAATATTCCTGTTCACATCCTTATGGCAATGCTTTAAGCACCCATCACATATTCCTGCACAATACAGACTGAAATTTTGTAAAATGAGGACGGGCTGAGAAAGGAAAATCTGATGCTCGCTCAGACAAGTTCCGCGAGCCGTCTAAAAATACCAGCGAGCGGTTTATGGAACCTAAGGAAGAATAGTGGAGATTAAACATTAAAGGATGACGTTAATGTTATTCTGGTGCTAGGATTCTGCAGTAAAGCCTAACACACGTCTAGTTAACGTCCGGAAAGAGAATCACCTGGTAATCTGCAAAAGGCCCGTAACTCTATTTTCTATAATGCGAGTAGGATTTGAGCACTTTTGGAGGCAGTATGCCTTTGAACAGCAGCTGCTGGGAACCACAGACAAGATGAAGGCATCAGCACTGGGGTTGCTTGTGGACCTCCTATGGACATCTGGGTGGACTAGAGGGGTCTCTGACCTAATGCTGCCTGGATAGCTCAGCTGGTTAGAGCAGGCTTCCTCAGCCTGGGCCCTCCAGAAGTTTTGAGACTACAATTTCCAGCACCCCTGACCACTGGTCCTGTTAGCTAAGGATCATGGGAGTTGTAGGCCAAAAACATCTGGAGGGCCGAGGTTGAGGAAGCCTGGGTTAGAGTGTGGTGCTGATCACACCAAGGTTGCTGGTTCAGTCCCCACATGGGATAGCTGCATATTCCTGCTTTGCAGGGGGGCTGGGCTAGATGAACCTCAGCGTCCCTTCCAATGCTATAATTCTAAGATTCTATTATTCTTACATTCTTATGAATGCTACACAGCCAGTTATAGATGAAATGCAAAAGCAGCATTATAATGCATTATCTGAAATAGGCTACTTATCAAAGGAAAAATAATAATAATATGGACGTCACTTAAGATCCAAAAGAGGTGTTATGAAAAGGATATTGGCTCCTCCCTAGTAACGCCTATGAAAGCCAATGCCTGCTGTGATATCACCATGCTCAGAATTTCCAAGCCTCCACAAGCAGCAGCCAGTAAGGGACAGGGAAAGCGGAGTGTGATGACTTCACGCTTTTTAAAAGCAAATGCTACTAAGAATAGGTTGGGCTGCTGCTCTCAGTTGCAGTTAATGTGTACCTTGCAACACCAAGTTTGAAATGGTCACAGGTCAGTGGAAGAGTGCATGAAAAATGGCCCCAGCTTTAATCCCTGGCATCTCCAGGCAAGGCTGAAAAACCTCAAGAGCTGCTCCCAGTCAGTACAGACTGTAGACAGTTCTGAGCTAGAAGGACCAATGTTCAGGGTTAGAAACTCAGATATATAAGCTAATCACCAAATGGCACCCTTAACCTAGGCTATGGTCACCAAAACGGAATGTCTAGGCACCTTTTTTCCTCCAATGAGATTTATTATTATTATTATTATTATTATTATTATTATTATTAATTTCATTTCTGTAGCTCTTTATATTTTAAAGAAAAAATTTGAAACATCAAATAAAACAATCCAAAATAAATCAAATTCAAGCTTCAAGGAAAATATTTCAGATCCTTCTCTAAGTGACATTTTTCTTTACCCATATTCATTTACCTACTTAATTCATAGACCTGTCCCATAGAAGTACTCTAGGAAGCCAGTGTGGTGTAGTGCTTAGAGTGTCCGACTGGGACCTGGGAGATCAGGGTTCAAATCCCCACTCAGGATGTTCAGTGGGTGACCTTGGGACACTCAGAGCCTCTTAACCTACCTCACAGGGTCGTTGTGAGGATTAACTGAGGAGAGAGGTAAACCCTGTACTCCCAGGAGAAAAAGGTGGGATATACTGTATTTTTCGCTCTATAAGACGCACCAGACCATAAGACGCACCTAGTTTTTGGAGGAGGAAAACAAGAAAAAAAATATTCTGAATCCCAGAAGCCAGAACAGCAAGAGGGATCTGGCTTCTGGGATAGCCTCTTGCTGTCCTGGCTTATGGGATAGCCACGCGCAGCCACTCCTGGGAAGGGGAAGCCTTCATCCCCCTGCCTGGGAGAGGCTGCACGCGGCTAAGGCAGAAGCCAGGACAGCAAGCCGGATCACTGCGCAGCCATCCCGCTTGCTGTCCTGGCTTACGGGATAGCCCCGCAAAGCCTCTTGAGGGCAGCGGAAGGCTCCCCCAAGAGCCACACTTCCTTTAAAGAGCTCGTGGAGCGTGTGTGCGGCTCTTTAAAGGGAGCACTGAGCAGAGCCTCCCGCCTGCATTCGCTCTATAAGACGCACACACATTTCCCCTTACTTTTTAGGAGGGGAAAATTGCGTCTTATATAGTGAAAAATACGGTGAATGCAATAAATAAGCTCTCCTACTTACCTGCTTAAGAAAGCTGGAGGGGCCAGGCAGATGGAGATGTTAGTCGCCAATGTGGCACAGGGTCAGCATTGGACCCACATCAGTTGCAAAATGTGCCTGGCTAATTTTGAACACTGCCGATGATTTCATACAGTAAAAGGCAGAGTCCTGTGTTTCTACTATCCTCTGACAGAATCGTCAGCATTGGAAGGGATCCCAAGGGTCATCTAGTCCAGCCTCCTGAAGTGCAGGAATCCTGCCCACCACCATCCCTGGGTGGGCTTGAGCCGCTAACCTTCTGGTTAGCAGCCAGGCGCACTAAACCACCAACCCTACAGCCCTTCCCCACCACTAGGTTTCGTTCAGCTTGCGATGATACAGTACAACTGTAAGGTAAGGTAATGCTAAGGTAAGATCTTGAGACTGAAGCAAGATGGAAATTACAGTGGTTATTCATTTGCGGAGGAACAGGTGGCGTCTGATGAACCCATGGTCTGTCCCTAAAGGGGTTTATTAGCGCAGAGTGGAAAAACTGTGTTGGGTTTTACACAGAGTTCTGAGATAAATGCACACTGGTTTGCAGAGATTACCTTAACCACCTGCGCTTTCTAAGCTAGCAGAGTTTGCCTGAAAGGACAGCCAGCAAATTTATAGGACAGATATTTAAATCAATGCGCTGTGTATCATGCTTACAGAACCTGGTTGTATAAAACAGTAGTCGAACCTTAGCAAATGAAAATAGCTCTCCTTTTCCCGCCCCGCTCTGCCGGCACCCGTTTGCGAGCCTCACTCCTAACACAGCCAGCATACACAAATGAGACGCGACTGGTTTTAAGCTGGGTAACAGTGCCCCCTAATGGGGCTTTTAATAAACAGCCCATTTTAAAAAAAACAACCCCACCTTGTCTCAATTTTCCTTTCAGTTCTTATAACAGCCTTGCTTAATTGCCCGAAATAGATTTATTTTGTAGCTTGTCAAGTAAAAGGAATTGTAGCAGATGAGCCTTCATCTTGAGGGGAAAAGATCCCAATGGAGGCATGTGAGAAAATAATTCAAAGTAATATGCTTTTGAAGCCCCACAGAAAAGCCTTTCCGTTAACAACATAAAAGATAAAAGTTTAAATGAAGAATTATATTGTTTGTTCTAGATTTATTGTCTGCTCTGTCTGAGGAAATTCACAGAGCTGATAAATCTCATTCCCGCTCTCTTTGGCAAGTTCACAGTGAGAGTTGACTCCTTATACCCCAAAGGGTTCACAATCAGCAGATGAAAAGCTGAAGAATACCTGTTTGGCATCTGGTTATTTGGAAAACCACAACGAAAGCCTCCATGGGGTAGCCTAGTACAGTGGTACCTTGGGTTAAGAACTTAATTCGTTCTGGAGGTCCGTTCTTAACCTGAAACTGTTCTTAACCTGAGGTACCACTTTAGCTAATGGGGCCTCCCGCTGCCGCCACACAATTTCTGTTCTCATCCTGAAGCAAAGTTCTTAACCCGAGGCACTTTTTCTGGCTTAGCGGAGTCTGTAACCTGAGGTACCACTGTATTGGCCATGCATGTGCAGCAGGCTGTCTTCCAAACCACAGAGCCACACCAAGAATGGACAGACATCACTAAGAAACAGGCCCCAAGTACCTGAGAAACCACTGCCTTCCTTATAGACTACTACACTTAACCTTTCCAATCTGAGAGCAGCTATTTACAGGTACAAGCCACAATCGCCAGCACAGTGTTAATTTAAGACTGCAGGATAAAGAGGACAACACCACACCATTGAGTGGTGGCCTTTACAGTCATACCCCGGGTTACAGACGCTTCAGGTTGCGTTTTTTCGGGTTACCGACCCGCCAAAACCCGGAAGTACCGGGTTTCGGGGGTCACGCATGCGCAGAAGCGCTAAATCGCACTTTGTGCATGCACAGAAGCGCCAAATCGCAACCCGTGCATGCGCAGACGCGCCGCTGCGGGTTGCGAATATGCATCCCACATGGATCACGTTCGCAACCTAAGTGTTCACTGTCCTGCATTGAGTGCAGTGTGCTTTTAACATAGGAATAGACAACATGGGCTATCCCTCTCCGTAAGCTGCTGCTGGACTCCATCCAGAGTTAGCCAAGGGTCAGGGATGGTAGAGTTGCAGCCCGACCAAATCCGGGTACCGCACACTGGCTGCTACCCCTGTTTTACAGTTACAAAAGCTTTAAATCTAGTTCCTTGTAGGAGTTTTCTACAGTTTTGGAGAGACAAGTGCTCACTTAATAATCAGGCCAATGTGGGTTTGGGGTCTTGGGAGAGCAGTGTCGGAGGAGATGATTCATCTGAATAGATGATTCATTTCTCAGAGATGATAGTTTTAACAGTACAGTTCCTAAGATCACCATCAAATGGAGTAGAAGGGTTTTTCTTGCAAAGTCTAATCTCAGTTTATATAAAAGACTCGCTGCTCAAGAGCTCTAAAAGGCAGTGTGAACAGAACAGACACAGAACTGCATTACAAAGTTAGCACCTCATAAGCATTTGTGCTCCTGAGGACTTCAGCATCCTTCACATTCATCTCTGCCCACTTCCCATCAGGCAAGTTAGCAGTCCTCGGGATATGGGGAGAATTTAAAAACCAGCAAAGCTTGCCTACAGACATTTCTGGATTCAAAAAGTGGAGCCATGACCTCCTCTCCCCCCAGTAACCCCCCCCTTTTTAAGTACCCATTTCTCTTTTTCAACCTCTATCTCTACATGGTAAGGCCTATAGATCTGCTTCTGTATGAAATTTTTGATTTAGTTCTGTACCTGAAGTGTTATTTCATGCCCCAAAATGAAGGGTATGGCTCTGTGGTCTAGAAACATGTTCCACTTACATGTCTGATGCAACCTTAACAATTCAGATTGCACTGTTAAGATTGAAACGGGACGGTTTGCACACTCACATCAAACCATAATTAAAAAGAAATAGTGGCTCAATGTGAACATGCAGACTTTTGCCACGTGAACAATTTTACTATAAACGTATGGAAGGTTTGCTTTGATTTTTCCAAGCATTCTGAAGTTGCTCGGGCTACTTTCGTAAGTGCCAGGATCGAAAGTGATAAGTGCATACAGCAGGAACCGAGAGCCCGGAGTCAACAAATGCTGTGGCTCCATCATCCCTGATCACTGAGCATGCTGGCCGGTGCTGATGGGAGTTGGAATACAGCAACATCAACCGGGAGGATGGAACACAGATTTGCCACCCCCCAGTGTACAGCTGGAGCTTTGCTAATGCTTTCTGCCTCAAAGCATTTCTATTTTCTGCCTCACATGCAGATACCCCCCCTTCCCCATTGCCAAGGGAGTTTGTCTTCTCCAAGTGTGAGCATGCACACAGATACTGCCAGGTGCTACAAGTTCTCTTCACTGTCTTCCTCTCTTCTCAGCTTATATAAATAAATACACTACCGAGATTCAGATTCTGCTTAATAAAACAAAACCCAAGTGGTTTACAAAAATGATACATAACACTCCTAGGAGAGTGCCAGTAAAATCAATGGGCTTTGGAAACAAGTAGACAAAAACAAAATTATCAAAATAAAGATAAAACCAACAGTTATATACATGTGGCAGGTAGGCTTGCCTAAAGAGAGAAGTTTTTAGCAGGCCTTGTAAACAGTACAACCAAGGCGACTGCCTAGGCAGAGAGTTCAAGAAGGTTAAGCTACTTGGGTGCTATTCAGAGAAATCATTCCAACAGCACAAGGATTTTTGGCTGTGCAGTGGAACTTCCCCTCTCCTTCCTCTTCCCACAAGCCTCCAAAATCTGTCCTCCCAGATTTCTCCAAGCCCTTCAGAGCAGATTTGGGGAAGGCGCAGCACATGTGTGTAGAAAATGGGGAAAAAATAGTGGCGCAATTGACTTCCGACAGGCACACAGAGTGCGAACAAAACTGAGTGTATGGCAGGGGGGCTCGTTTAATTTCACTGCACACAGGTGGTGTAGTGACAATAAAGGTTTATTTATTTATTTTATTTAAAAGTGGAGGGAGTTATGTTGAGTATGCAGAAATCTTTATGCTAATGGAGCATGTGCATTGGCTACCAGCCTTAGTCCTTCCTTTCAAACTTCTCAATCATTCCAATCTACCCTCCCTTCCCCATCCCCCATATGCTGCTCCTCACAATATTTGCTCTAAGGCAGGTACAACCTTCTGCTTGCACCTAAGATTGCCCTCTGTACTCCTCTCTCCCAAATCCCTTCTCCCTAGCAGAGTCCTTCCTACATTACAATTGCTCCTCCACCTGACACTGAATGTTATTATTACACTGAAGTGCCTCCCTGAGACACATCTGGCCGCTTCATTTTGCTCTGCTTTCCCCCCAAACATGCCCCATTTCTACCCTGAGCCTGCAAGCCTGGGGGCAGGCCGCTTGACTTGCAATGTTTGCCCCTAGCGATTTTAGGGATCGTCATCATCTATCTTATTCTTAACCATTTGCCAATAGGAAGAAAGAGCAATCCAAAGTATCTGCACGGAGCTGAAATCTGAATAGGAGATGCTTAGATTTTACATAAAGCTGCACATTAGGAACCCAGGGCTGAATTACAGTACAGTGGTACCTCGGGTTAAGTACTTAATTCATTCCGGAGGTCCATTCTTAACCTGAAACTGTTCTTAACCTGAAGCACCACTTTAGCTAATGGGGCCTCCCGCTGCTGCCACACGATTTCTGTTCTCATCCTGAAGCAAAGTTCTTAACCCGAGGTAATATTTCTGGGTTAGCGGAGTCTGTAACCTGAAGCGTCTGTAACCCGAGGTACCATTGTACTGCGGTGCATGCCTACCCGGCTGAAATGGGATTGGTTACCCTGCTGATACTTTTCTAGGGCCTTCAAGGCCAAGACAGAATCTGAAAGCATGCAGCTTTCATTTTTTTGAGAAGTCACAAATCCTCTTGACTGCAGAGGCATATTTTAATAGGCAATGGCACATTTGGAATGTATTTCTCGGTGTCAAACAAGATACCCACCCCTAATTTTTACAGTTTTTATGTATGTGATTTTCTCAGCTTATGCTAGAAAACCTTGAGTTAAGAATTTATCAGAGCCCAGGAGATAAATTTAGATACAAGACACAACACAGTAGGGAAACTGATTGTGTTGGAGTAACAATAATTTTTAGCAAAGAAGAACAATGGTCCACAGAGATACTAAGAAAGACGCAAATGCTTTCTGATTTAGGAACAAGATATAAAATGCTAGCTTTTTTTAAATTAACAGGTATAAGCAAAGTTAACCAGATCTTTAGAACAGCAATATGAATTTTCTTTGTAAATGCCACCTATATTTATCGTTTGGCACTTCAAAGCTCAAAATGTACAAAATTTATAAGGAATAATAGTATTTATAACACACCATACCTTCTTTATTTCAATAACAATTATAGCAGTTAAGTAAAGTAGAACAGTATTAGCCCCATAGGTCGGGGCAGCAACTAAGGTTGAGACTTACCTAAAGCCATCTTGTGAATTCATGGCTTCTAAACTGAGGTGGTTATGGTAGAAACTGAAGCAGAACACTTCTGGCTCTGCCCACCACTTGTCCACCTAGGGTATCCAACATCTGGAGGGCTCCTCCAGATTTGTTCATCCAACGATTAACAAATGTTCTTGTTGTGTTTCCACAGACAACTCTGATCTCATGGCAATACTACCATACGGATATAGATATTGTTGGAGCTAAGAAACTGAGATCATCCTCTGAGGCCCTTCTTCATGTGCCTTCCCTTTGAGAGGTCTGGAGGGAAGCAACATCAGAGCAGGCCTTTTCTGCAGTGGCTCCCTGTTTGTGGAATGCTCTCCCCAGGAAGGTCCAGCTGGTGCCTTCGTTATACATCTCTTCAACCAGGGCTTTGGCTGATAGACATCAGGTGCCCTTTTAAATGTGTTGTGTTATTGGTTTGTTTTTGTTCTTATTTTTATTACTTTTTTATATATATTGTAATTTTATGTTGTTGTTGTTTTATGTTGTGAACCGCCCTGAAATCTACCTTTCAGGGGTAATATACCAATTTAATGAAGAAGAAACAACTGAACTGTTCATACAGCTTCTGATGAAGGAGACTTCTCCAAAATGCATTGGGCTAAATAAACAGTGCATTACCAGAAGAGCTGGAGATTGCCTTCTTCTTGTTGCCATTTCTTTGATGCTTGCTCCCTCTTCCTGCCCCCCCCAACCCTGCTAAAAACAAAAGAATTCCTTCTGGACCAAGCTTCACCCAATCCAACATGCTTTTCAAGTGGCCCAATAACCAGCAGGCAGCACAACAGAATGGACCAGCGATACACCAGAGGACCTTGGTGTGGTTTTCTACCTGTCCCTGCCTTACATTACATATACCTCTCAAACAGAGCAGGGGCAGCCAATGGGGTGTTCTCCCGATGCTGCGGGACTACAGCTCCCATCATTCCAGACCACTGGTCGTGCAGGCTGGGCCTTATGGGAGTTGGAGTCCCAGCTCCACTTTGACGGCCACCACATTGGCTACCCCTGTACTAAAGACACTTATTTACCCAAGGAGAACCTACCTAACAGAACATATTAGTGGTAGGTTCCTTCTCCCATATGGTCTCCAATTTACAGTGTTTTCAGCAGGCATGATAGCCCCAGAGCGAGACTTTAAACATGATTATTGTGAATTGTTACCTTCATCAAAGTCGGCGTCATCCTCTGTATGCTGGGGGAACGGAAAGCAGTTGGTGATTTCGAGCCTGTCTTCCACCACTAGCCCCAGCAGCACACCCTGGACCACTTCATTGCCCTGGCCTTCTTCCTGGTAATGCTTGATGATCTTCAGCACTACCTGAAAATACAGATTCCAAGAGCCTCATTTAGAACAGATCATTCGGTTCAACTAGCAGGTAGTTTCCCAAGAAAGACAGGGGACAGAGCCAAACATGAATAATTGAAGCATTCCACTGCCCAAAGTTTGACACCACGTCCAGACAATCTAAATATACTAATAAAATTAAGAAGAATAAGAGCAGGTCCAGGAGATATGAATCAAAGAGACGTTAAGACATCCCATGTACTTTGTCCTGCATACTTGCTCAAAACAAGAATAAAGTAGAGGATTTGAAATTTAATTTTTACCTTAACTATAGGGTTAGGAAATGGACTTGCTCTAATGGAAAAGCAACACAGAAACATAACATGTCAACTACATGGAGATCAGTCCTCACGAGGGTCAAGGAATCTAGCAAAGGTAATCATAGCGAGAGCAGATTTTCTTTTCTGGAAAGCCAACTCAAGAGTCACATATTCTGCTCAAGCTGAACTAATTGCCAAGCAGAAGAGCAGGTTTCATTAAGTACCGTATTTTTCGTTCTATAGGACGCACCGGTCCATAGGACGCACCTCGTTTTTGGGGGAATGAATAAAAAAAATCCCCCCCCCGCGGCTGCCGCCCCAAGCCTCGCGTGCTTTGGGCTGCAGGCTACCGCCCCAAGCATCGCGCGCGAGGCTTGCAGACACTCGCCCGAAGCACGGGGAGCCCTCCGGAGGGCTCCCCGTGCTTTGGGCGACAAGCTGCAGCCCCAAGCCTTGCGCGCTGGGCGGGACCTCCCGCCGGGCGCGCAAGGCTTGCAGACACTCGCCCGAAGCACGGGAGCCCTCCGGAGGGCTCCCGTGCTTCGGGCGACAAGCTGCAGCCCCAAGCCTTGCGCGCTGGGCGGGACCTCCCGCCGGGCGCGCAAGGCTTGCAGACACTCGCCCGAGCACGGGAGCCCTCCGGAGGGCTCCCCGTGCTTCGGGCGACAAGCTGCAGCCCCAAGCCTTGCGCGCTGGGCGGGACCTCCTGCCGGGCGCGCAAGGCTTGCAGACACTCGCCCGAAGCACGGGAGCCCTCCGGAGGGCTCCCGTGCTCGGGCGACAAGCTGCAGCCCCAAGCCTTGCGCGCTGGGCGGGACCTCCTGCCGGGCGCGCAAGGCTTGCAGACACTCGCCCGAGCACGGGGAGCCCTCCGGAGGGCTCCCCGTGCTCGGGCGACAGCTGCAGCCCCAAGCCTTGCGCGCTGGGCGGGACCTCCCGCCGGGCGCGCAAGGCTTGCAGACACTCGCCCGAAGCACGGGAGCCCTCCGGAGGGCTCCCGTGCTCGGGCGACATGCTGCAGCCCCAAGCCTTGCGCGCTGGGCGGGACCTCCCGCCGGGCGCGCAAGGCTTGCAGACACTCGCCCGAGCACGGGGAGCCCTCCGGAGGGCTCCCCGTGCTTCGGCGACTAGCTGCAGCCCCAAGCCTTGCGCGCTGGGCGGGACCTCCTGCCGGGCGCGCAAGGCTTGCAGACACTCGCCCAAGCACGGGGAGCCCGCCGGAGGGCTCCCCGTGCTTCGGGCGACAGGCTGCTGCCCCAAGCCTCGCGGGCTAGGGGGGACCTCCTGCCGGGCGCGCAAGGCTTGCGGACACTCGCCGGGCTGCAGGCTGCTGCCTGCAAGCCTTGTGAGCCCGCGGGAACTCCCACCGGGCTTGCAAGGCTTGCGGATAGCTTCCTGAAGCCTGGAGAGCGAGAGGGTCGGTGCGCACCGATGCCTCTCGCTCTCCAGGCTTCAGCGAAAGCCTGCATTCGCTCCATAGGACGCACACACATTTCCCCTTCATTTTTGGAGGGGAAAAAGTGCGTCCTATGGAGCGAAAAATACGGTATTTTTTTGATGAGGATTAACCTTCTGCTCAAATACCCTGTTAAATGAAACAGGCAATTGGTATGCAACGCTGTCATAGGATGTGCTTGTGCATTCCCATAGAAACGATGTCACTTTCCCAGTCATGGCCACCAATCACTGAAGTAGTCTCTCAATGTTAAGCATTTTGTGCCTGGCTATTGGCCACTTGCAACCAAGTGAAGATGCCCAGGCGCCAGGATGGCACCTGAAGTCTCCACCGGAGATGCATGCCTGCTGATCTTTGGATCCTGGCTGTTTTCACACACTAGCAACAAATACTGTAGAATTCTATCCATTATATTTTATCTGCACGATCAGAATGAATTTCAGGAACCAAAAAGTCATATTGAAAAATATGACTTTCAAGCCATCTGACCCCAAAATGGCAGCTAGGCATTCTGTTTTGGCAACTGCAATCTTGGTTTAACAAGCCATTTGGCGCCTAGTTTATGTATCTGAGTTTCTAACACTGCGCACACAGCTAGCAAATACTGGAAACAGAGTTCAGCTCAACGTGAAGAAAACAGCCCCTGTAGCCTGAGAGTCAGAGGTGATGGATGCCTGCCAGAGTGTTCTCCCAATCTCGAATCCCTAGAACTCTCCTATGAGGTTCATACGATTTCTTATTAATCGCCCCAGCCCCTGCACTGGTGGCATGCGTTTTAAATCGGCTAAATTACAACTTTCAACTTAAACTGGAACCTTTTGCTTGGAATTAATTTGGCAGAGCCATCTAGCCCCCTAAAAAACATTAGGGGCAACACAAATTGATCCTGTTACATGACAAACTGGGAATAGTGAACTTGTCTAGTGAGAAGGATGGCAGCAGGAGGCTCCAACCCACCATTTTCACTCGGATTATTTATTTATTGTTTATGGAATTTCTACAACACCCTTCATCCGAGCATCGCAGGGCGATTTACAAGATAAAAACCACAAAAATGCATACCATTGTAACAAACAAAGGCAATAACCTCCCCCCACCCAAGTAGATGTCTGCATAAAGCAGCAGTAGGAACCCTGCGGCCCTCTAGATGTTGTTGACTACAATGTCCATCGTCACCACTGGTTATGCTCGCTGAGAATGATGGAACATGGGGGTCCAAGATCATCTGACAAGCCACAGGATCACCAGCCCTGGCATAAAGGTCTATGTGTGAACATACTTGAATCAAATCGGGAGGCAACATGATCCTGGAAGTTAACAGTACTGTACGCATGTCATGAAGAAATGAGTTTTGCTCCCTCTCTCCTAACGCTGTAACTCATGAAGGTTGGAAGATTTAGGACAAAAGAAAGCACGTCTCCGCACAGTGCATAGATCAACAGGAATTAACTCCCACAAGAGGCAGTCCACCAACTTGGATGGCTTGAAAAGAGGATTAAATAAATCCCTGGAAAGTAAGACTATCAATGGCTACTAGCTTCACTAGTTTGACCTCCACTTTTTGGAGGCAGTCATGCTTCTGAATATCAGTGGCTGGAAACCCCAGGAGGGGGGAGTGATGTGGCATTCAGGTCCTGTTTGTGAGATTCCCACAGGCATTTGGTTGGCCACTGTGAGCGCAGGATGCTGAACTAGATGGGCCACTGGGTTGATTCATCAGGGATCTTCTTACGTTCAAGCAGCTGTCCCAGAACTGGCTCCATGCCTAGGGACCCCACCGCAGCCCCGTTGTTCAAGGATGACGCTTCCCGGCTTGTGCAGTGAGACAACCAAGGCTTTCTCCATGCAGCCGAACCTTGAGCCGTATGCATCACAGCGCCAGCCAATGAGCTGCAGTGGTGGTCCCCACAGAGGCACGAAGCGCACATGGGTGGTGGGAGGAATAGCTAAAAGGGGGAAAGCATCTCCTCTTTGCCTCGCCCCTGCCCAGAAGTTTTTTGCAAGTCCCCACTTGCAAGCTATCTAACATTGCAACATGACAGCGGCAAGACATTTTTACATTCTCCAAGCTGCATCGCTATCAATCACTTTTACGCTCCCTTTGTAAGTGCCTAGGTCTGCAGGAAATAAAGCTATTGAGCTTTGTACCTTTACAACATGTGCTATTAATCTTGTGTAAGCAGCACTGAAGGCTTATTGATCTGTCAAAGAAACCAGGTACGCAGACGGAAGGCCTGGAGCATTCTTTTTTCCTTTAAGGGCATCCGTGTCCTTAACAGGGCACCGCCGTGGCCTGTGAGACCGCGAGTCAGTCTGCACTGTGACAAGCACAGGCTCTTACAATCCTTAGGGTGGTTTGACCAAAATGAAGTTTAAGGTTTTGAAAAGCAGTGCCGAAAGCGGCTGATCTAAATGTGGAGTGCCATTGTACCCGTTCCACGAGGCAAGTTTATTGCCATGGAAACTGCCGAACAATTCCACTGTAGAAACATTTCTGAAACAGGTGCCCTGAGATTCCAATTCTCCGAGCTCCAGAGAATGCGGGCGCTCAATACCGTTACACTGCAACCATCAGGGCACAGTAATAAAATCCAAGAATTTCCTAGCTGAGCTGTTGGTGGTTCTTTCTCCCCTTTCAACCTTAAACAAAACAGGTTCAGAGTTTGCATTGTTAAAAAAACAACAACTTATGATGGCTTTCTTTAATCAATGTATCACTGTTTAAATTCCGCCTTTCTTCCAAGGAATTCACATTGACAGACATGGTTCTCCCCCTTCAACCCTCCATATTTTATCCTTTTAACAAACATGCGATGTCAATTCAGCTGGGAGATAAGCCTCCCATCCACTCCAGAATATCCCACCACATGTTATCACTGAATATTTCAGGGGACAGTATCTAAAAAGCCAGAATGAGCCTCGTGGCAGAACAAGGATTGCACCTGTTTTCCTTGGTCCCAGTCCAGTACTCTATCCAAGGGGTGGAGACTCTATGGTCCTCCAGATGTTGCTTGACTCCAACTCTCATCAACCTCTGACAGCATAACCAATAATCAGGGATGAGGGGAACTGGAGTCCAAAATCTGGAGGTTCTTCACCCCGCATTATCCACTACACCATACTGCCTGTCCAAAACAGATGACAAAAATACAGCCTCTCTGATAACATATTCTCAAACATGAGAAGATGAGGCTCCTTAAACTTTGGAGGGGAGGTTCCTATTTTATTCTCCAAGACTTAGACTCTAAATTTTAGAAACACAATAAAGAAATGCGCATATAGTAAAACCAACACTTAGTATACAGCTAAGGAAGACAAACAAGGAGGGACAGAGTCAAATGGGAAACCCAGTAAGTGTTTTTTATAAAGGACAGCCAACGTTAAAAGGCTAGGGAAGGTTGAGCCTCGCAAAAATAATTATTTCTCATGTTGCTTCTTGTTTTCCTGTTTGGATCATGACTTTCCCACCAGCTGCTGGAGGAAAAAGGTGAGTTGGGGCAGAAGGAGGAACAACACCTATTGTCACAATGAAAAGTACATTCACAACAGGAATTCTGTAAGTGATTGGGATATAGCCTCTTTCTGTACGCAGAAACTATCTCCTGGCAGGGCTACAGCTATGGAAGAGGAGAAACCATACAAATATATGATTTTAAAAAGAGGAGTCCCCAAATGCATGTTTCAGTTAAAGGTGGATCCCTTGACTGAAAACACTGAAGGCTACTGGCCTAGAGGGCTTTAAGCTCTACCAAGGAGTAGGTCAATGAAGCACCAAGTTTCTTAAGAAGCAGGTGTCCATAAACTAAGAGTTCCTGGGTTACCAGCAGTGCCTAGAAATGTAATTCTATCAGGAAAAGCTTCTACTAAATTCTGCCTGAAGCATAACAAGAAGCTGAAAAAACAGAGGCAGAGTATGTTTCTTTCAAAACAGAATCAGGCTGCATCCTTTGCCAGGACACAACAGCCGTGTCCTACAACAGGGCCATATGCTGCCTTCCTCCCAGTTGGAGGGCTTCCATCTTCACAGTCTCACCCTCAAACCAATGGATTCAAACTCTAAGAAAGGAGATTCCGAATAAATATCAGGAAGAGCATTTCTGACAGGAGAACGGACTCCCTCGGGACGTTGTGGCTTCTCCTCCATTAGAAGTTTTTAAGTAGAGGTTGAATAAGCTATCTGTCATGGTTCCTGCATTGCAGGGGGTTGGACGATGACAAATGGGGAGTCATTCCACACCCACAATGCCACAATTTTTTCCTACAAGATTAGGGGTTCCAAGGGTGAACCTGTGTCCTCCTTCAGCACTGGATGCCCAACTTTAAAAAAAATCTTTTAAAAAACAGTAATATACTGCTTTCCTGAACTATTTTTTTTACACCATTGCAGATACAGTGGTACCTGAGGTTACAAACACCTCAGGTTACAAACACTTCGGGTTACAGACTCCGCTAACCCGGAAGTAGTACCTCGGGTTAAGAACTTTACCTCAGGATGAGACCAGAAATCGCGCGCCGGCGGCGTGGCGGCAGCAGGAGGCCCCATTAGCTAAAGTGGTACCTCAGGTTAAGAATTGTTTCAGGTTAAGAACGGACCTCCGGAACAAATTAAGTTTGTAACCAGAGGTACCACTGTACTCCAGTTGTTACCAACACCTGGAACGAGCCTCCACTCACAGAACACGACTTCACATTCCTCTCCTTCCCCTGTGACCCTCCAGAGAATAGTTTGGAGGCACATTGTGGGGCAGGAAAGCTGCAGGGAGGAGGAGAAAGGTGAAGTCCTGTTACATGAGCAGCGGTCTGCTTGTGCTACGTTGGGTTCCACCCTTACCTCTAAAAACCAATACCTAATATATTGTCACTCCAGTCATAGTCCTACCTGGCAGCCCATTCTCATCACCCACATATTTAGTACATATGAGCGTAGGTCACCTAGTAGATTCGCAGTTATGTCAAGGCATGAACCGGAACCTTCCTAGTCCACACCCTGAGCTGCTATGCTACATCATCCAAGGGCAGAAAGTGGAAAGTTCTTTCCTACTCAGATTATATCATCAGGCAAGCCTCTGTTTTCTGATGCACTCAAGACACATCAAAATTAAGCTAGGGACAAGTTGACATCCCTGTCTCATACTGTGAGAAGCCTCACTATTTCACAGCATACATGGAATCTTAAACATACCACATAATTTGCTTTTTGGAAACTTTAGAACTGCTATTTCGTCTTCAACAGTCTTCTGTTGAGTAACTAAGAATCAGAATTTCAGCTGACAGCTGTACACTGAGATGCGTTCTGCTACCCTACTGAAATACCAGCCTTCAGTTATTATTATTTTTTGCTGTACTCATGAGCTGCTTACTACTGCCATCTGTGCATAAAAGCACTACTCTTCAGGCTTCAGCTCCCAGCAGTCGCATGTGTGAATATTTTGAGATGACAGCCAAGTGCAGCAGCAGTTAACCTCATCATCATTCAACAAGCCATTTTTCACATGGATTTGAGCTGAATTTCTACTGTCATTTTGAATTTAGAGGAAAGAGCCTGCAGGGAGGGGGCCGGGAAGCATTCTACATATAATCTGGCCATCAGAAATGGTTGGAGCGGAAGGCAGAAAGCAAGTGCTGCGACTGATGTCTGAATGATCTATTTTGGTTAGCCTAAATTTAAGCATGCCTCAGCCCATCTTAGGATCTCATCCACAACACGGCAATTTAAAAAACAAACAACCCCAGAGCAAAAATACAAGTTAGCCATTGGCTATGCCAGTCTATCTTAAAACAGGATTTCAGCCTGAATTTTGAAAGAGCTGTAAAAGCATTATGATAAGATGCACCAAGTCCTCTGAAGTTCATGGTCTGATATAACATGAATAAGCCTTGAGTTCACATGCTCCTTCCACCCTCTACTTCTCATGCTTCAATCAGTTACTTTGGCTTTTGTGCAAATCCTCCAAATCAGGATTGCAAACCATGATCAAACCATGGCTAGGAAGGATCATGCAAACCATAATTTGCCTGCTGAAACGCAATGGCAAACTGTGGTCTCTGAAAAAGAAACTAGAGAAGGGTGCATCTGGAATAAGTCCCACTGACTTCAATGGTGCTTACTTCCAATTAGAAATATGCAACTGAACTGTAAAACTGAATTGTAAATAATTTCAGGGGAAAGCCCACAAGCACAAAATTCTCTAATGTGACCTAGACGTCACATAAATGAAGACGTAGTAAAGAAAATACCCATCTAGCCTAATGTTCTGGCCATTTTAATAAGAAGGATGGCCTGCAAAATAAGAACAGAAAATAAAGACGTGGATCTGTGTCCCCCACTCCCAGAAAAGGAATTCTTTTACCTTTTCAACCATTGTTCAAGAATTCTTCACAGGATTTTACAAGCTTGAATATTGCTTTTTGAGACACTGCACATCAAGGCACGTCCCCAAGAGACACTAAATGAATAGTAGAAGGGAATAATTTTTACGTCAAATCAAATGCATACAATCTTCTAATTACAGAATGAGGGAAGCTGAACTGCTGCTTTTTTCATCACTTGTGAAAACTGCTGAAAATAAAGACCCCTATATCCTGGTCTAAACCAATCCATGTGTGAAATGAGCTACTCTGTGTTCAGCCAACTGGCTCCTCTGCCCACCTTTTGAGGAAAAGCTCTATCTACACTCCAGCCCAACATCACAAAGAGGCTGTAACTTGAGACCAGAAGTGGGTATGGATACAGGAAAGAGATGCCATTACAAACAGACAACGGAAATCCCTATCCATATTAGACAGTTTGATGTTGTCGTGCATGAAACAAGTGGCTGGTGCTACAGATGATTCTGCAGGCAGCAAAGGAACTTACTCAGGCAATTGACAGCTTCAAATATTCCATAAAGTTAAAAATATATTAAAAGAGTTGGTCTGGGTAAGTGGCAAGAGCTATTGTGTGCCTCTGGAGTCTGGATCATTTGCTTATACCTGCATTTTAGAAGCAGGGGTCCGTCCCCCCATTTCCCAATGAAGCAACAATTCTACCTAGCCAAGAGATAGGAATCCTTTGGCCCTCCAAATTTTGTCAGATTCCAACTCCCATCAGCCCAGTATAATCAATGATCAGGGATGATAGGAGCTGTAGCCCTCCAGATGTTGCTGGACTCCAGGTTCTCCATCCCTGACCTTCCTCAATACGTTAGTTGTAGAGAGGACACACCTCCATGTGACCTGACATCACACTATGAAACATCTGGTAGATGGCAGTTTCCCCCCATTCTTTCTGTTCCCTGTTAGTGTTCTAATTAAGGGTTGTATCCAAGCTTTTACTCAGAGTAGACCCTCTAGATCTCGTCCATTAATTTCAATGGGTCTGCTCCAAGAACAAACACCACATTCAACCCAAATGCTTGACTTTTAACCATCACTGATGGGTCAAATGACTAAAGGAAGTTTTGACTAGTCAAAAAAGCTAACTCTAGAGTGACTTGTATTTTGACACTGTTTATCTAGATGATATAAATACTGCCCCTTGCATAGGGCGGTTTATAATAAAAGCAAGTAAACAAGAATACATAAAACACTGTCCATTAAAAACATACAACAAACCACTCAACGGCAACTCCTAATTGCACTGCAGGTCACCATACCATACTTTTAGAACTGCAGACCACCGGCCACTAAAAGAAAAGCACTTGTAGACATAAAAAGAAGCCCAAAATGGCACCCCTACCCAATACCAGGCCACTCTTGAAAGGGGGAGGGGCAGAGTGGTGAAAGAGAAAGCATGCTACCCTTTCCATAATGTCCTATAGTTGCAAGAACTATATGGTACTTCCCAATTCAGTTGTATTGCCTGCCTGCCTCCCTCCACATCTCCTACAACTATAATCAGTAAGAGAAGTGTGCAAGAGTCCCCAATTGATCTCTGCAGGGTCTCAAAAGCTGTTCCTTCAATCCTTGCAGACCCTGCAACACTCTCACCACTGAATGCCATCTCAAGGCTGATCTGTCATGAAACAAGCACTAAGCAGGAGCAGACTCTGGCCTTAAGATGGCCCCAGCCTCGGACTTAATTGGGATCAGCTTCTTGTGAGCTTTGCACAAGGTTGCTTTAGCTCAGCAGAGCCTTTTTCCCCCTCCTGGAGAAAAGCAGAACATATCTGCTAGTGGCAATGAGAGGATTAGCTGCTAAGAAGAGTGCCTTTTAAGAGAAGTGCATCACCAGCATACCCCACAGTGCTTTGTGGATGTAAGTGGAAACACACATTGTTCACGGCATTTGTAAGTAACAGCCCGACAAACTGGCACCAAGAGACCAAACTCCATCAGCCTTTTCAGCTACGCATATATAATCGCAACACAAGGGACCCATCCGATGAGAGAAGCAATGAGAAGCCCAACTGTTAAAACCACAGCGGCACAGACAAGACGACCAGTTGCCAATTTTACCTCCAAACAGGAAGCGCTATTGTCAGGCAGAATTCCATCCATGAACCTTGAAGTACGACACGTAGGCCTGATGCTAGCTCACTCTTCAATGGGGCGCTAGCTTAATCATGCCAAATGGTACCAGATGTTGCTCTTTCAAGCTTTTTTGCTGCTGCATGTTTACCAATGGCATCATCCTTTGAGGAGGCGCTGTGCTCTTTGGCATACAGCAGTAAGGATGCGGAGACTTTAACCTCCAGATTGAAATGGAGACAAGCCAACCTAGCCTGGCAGATTTCTTCAGTGGTTTGATTGCCTTGCCTGAAATATCCTGGATACTGTCTATCCCAAGCACAACAAATATCCTCCAATGTGCTTGCGTCAAAAGGTTAGGAGCACTTCAGCACAACTCTGATCTGTATTCCCCCCCCCCGCCAAAAAAAAATTGTTTCTTTGCCATTTGATCCCAGAGGGAGAGAAGGTTTTAGGGGATTTTACTGTATCTTGCGTTTTGTTCAGTTGTTTGGCTATTTACCCTTCACCGTTTTTGTTTACCTATCATATTTCCTGACATTCTGGAGTTGTTGTTTTATTACATTTTTTATTTGCCATTCTTGAATCTGCCATTCTTTGAAACAACAACAACATAAAAGGAAGTGGCAACAGCAGCCTAGAGTTACAACAACAACAACAATAAAGGAAGTGGCAACAGCAGCCTAGAGTTAAAAATGATGTTCTTATGGTAGAAATCTCACCAGCCCCTGTGGTTTGCAGAAGGCTGTGCTTCTGAAGCATTACAACCCTTCCTCAAACAAAACCAATCGGAGCAAAAGGTGTGTATTCAACAGGGTGAGCTAAACGAGCACAGACTGAGAAACGAAGCTGAGAAACAAAATTCCATTCCTGCTCCTTCCCCCAAAAGTCTATGAAAAAGAAGAGTAAGATGTGTCCAAGAAAACTTGCCCAAGGCTAGCAGTATTTGGGACTCTCAAACATTTTTATCTTACTCTTCCTCCAAGCAACTCAGGGGTGCAATACACTGTCTTTCCTCCAGCCCTCTTTATCTTCACAACAACCCTGAGAGGTAATGTGAAGCTATGAGATAGTGACCGGTTCAGGTTCACCCAGTGGACTTTAGGGCTACAGGGATTCTAATTTAGGCCTCCCTGGTCCATAGTTACTATCTAACTGCTACACTGAATCTGCTTTCTTGTTGTCTAAACTGAAATAAATTAAATAAGCTTGAGAATGGTTGCCCTCACTCTCATCTCAGGCTCAAGAAACTGAAAGAGAAGCAAGCACAACGCTGGCACTATCTACTAACACTGAGGAAAAACTATTGGAAGAGCCCAGGAGGATATGAAAAATCAAACAATTCAACATCTGAATGCCTATACACAAAAAAGCAGCTTTTGAGAAGCAAGGATTGGCCATACTGACCTCCAAGTATGTCGCTAAACCCAGGAAGAAGCTACAGTCTGCACAACTGTTCGTCTTGTAATGATTGGGAAGGCCAATAGTGGCAAAAGGAAAGAGAGCCTGCGAAATTCCTAGACAGTAGCAGGATGTCCCAAGGTATGTGCGTGTCCTGCAGTGCATCCCAACAAACAGCCAGTGTTGGTTAGAGTATTAGACCCTGGGAGACCAGGGTTCAAATTTCCATTCATCCAGGAAGCTCCCCAGGTGTTCTTGAGCAAGTCACAATGTCTCAGGCTAATCTACCTCACAGGGTTGTTGGTTTGTGGGTAAAATGAGGTGTGGAGAGGACTGTGTACTGCTCCTTTGAGGAAAAGGTGGGATTTAAATGTAAGAATAAATAAGAATAAATAAAACTTTGGATCTCCTTGCCAAAAGTATTGACCACCACAGATTCACATTTACAAAGAGCCATTTAGAAGCAACTATAACAGGTCAGTGCATCTTTCCATCCAATGACAGGGACCTGCCCCACTATAATGGCAGTGGGCATTTCATGGCACAATCCTATGTCTACTCAGAAGCAATCCCACAAAGATCAATGTGACTTATTCTCAGGTAAATGGGCACAGCACTGAAGCCCAAACTTCGCTGATATCTGGATAATTAAGCATGGGCTTGCTAACTTGCTAGCAACACATTAGAATATTCCATTCTGGTTTTACACTTGAGCTCATTTTTACACCCAAGACTGACTGAGACTGATATACTTATGCACATTCTAAATTGTGTGCTTATTTTTGTCTGCACAATTAATTCCTCCTCTGTTAGACACAGGAAGACCAAGAGCAATGCTGGTAACTAAAAATGCCCATGGGCCACTGGCAATCGTGCCCAATCCTCCATTCACATTGTGGCTTCTGAAGTCACCAGGCTCACACACTTACCCATCTTTGTAGTCTTAGTAAAATGCTAAATTTGGCACCTGGTCCTAATGTCTGTATTTGTGGTGGGGCCACTGCAGAAAACCAACAGCAATATAACTAAGAGCTGATCAACTAATAGTTCAATCCTATACAGTCGTACCTTAGCTCCCAAACGCCTTGAGAGTCGAATAGTCTTGCTCCTGAACGATCAAAAACTGGGAGTGTTCCGGTTTTCGAACTCTTTTTGGAAGCTGAACATCCGGCACGGCTTCCACTATTGTTTCTGGCGCACCTGCGCAATCAGTAACCAACCGGAAGCCGCGCTTTGGTTTCCAAACGGATTCCATTTGACTTCCGAGGTACGACTGTACATATCTACACAGAAGAAAGCTCCATAGAATTCAATGGGGCATACTTCCTGAGAAGCTTATACAGGGGTTGCATTGAAAGGTGTTATAACGTAATTACATTTGTGGAAACTGCAGCACTTACCAACTCTAAAAGTTCTACGAGCTCAATGTGATTAAATGAGTTTTTGCTATACTATTCCCAGAGAATACAGAAAGCAATATAGGGAAAGACTTCATGCTAAATACTGTAGAACAAAGCATCTGTGTCTCTTGTAGACCTTTCTGCTGTATCTTTGTAACATTTGGGTGGTAGTGGCACCTGCCCTGTGGAACGTCCTCCCAGCAGATGTCAAGGCAATAAACAACTATTTTACTTTTAAAAGACAACTGAAGGCGGCCCTGTTTAGGGAAGTTTTTAATGTCTGATGCTGTATTGTTTTTAATATTCGGTTGGAAGCCGCCCAGAGTGGCTGGGGAAACCCAACCAGATGGGCAAGGTAAAGATAATAAAAAATATTTTTTCTATTATTATTATTATTATTATTATTATTATTATTATTTATGTGCTGTTTGAGCACTCATTGAGATATACCTTAACATACATATGGTTACTTACACAAAATGCCCACCTGAACTTGCAACTCACAGCATTTGCAGTACCTGAAACAATGCATCTGATAATCAAATTGGCAGTTATATGCATAACGCTGTCTATCACAATTCAAAGGAATCTGTGATATATAGAGAGAGATAGAAGTGGGATCATCTGCTTTGTACGCAGCAGGTCCCAGGTTCAATCTGGCATCTCCAGGGATGAGAGATGCTCCTGCCTGAAACAATGGGGAGTCACTGCCAGTCAGTGTAAACAAAACGGAGCAAGTTGGACCAATGATCTGACTCCATATAAGGCAGTTTCCTATGTTCCGCTAACTCCGGGCAGCCCAACTTTACATACTGCAAGAGTACTTCAACACGGAGCCCACGGGGCACACACTGCTTTGTCGCAGAGGGGGAAGGGAGAGAGGCCAAAAAATGACACCCCAGTCCTTGCGCCACCTTCCCAAAGTTAAGTAAGTGTGAAACTGGGCTTTGGGAAATAGGCATGCGGCTCTGGCAGGGTCCTAGAGCTCTCCCACCTCTGAGAAAGCCCTAACTAGGTTTGGGAAGGAGGTAGGAGGACTCTAGGATCCTGTCAGAGCCTTCACACCTCCTTCCCAGAGCCCAGCACCTCCATACCCAGCTTTGGGAAGGCTGTGCAGAGGGAAGGGGAAGGAGAGGGGGCGTAAAATGTTGCCGACGGTCACCCAAAAAGACCTCAGGTCCACATGCAGCCCTCCGGCTGCGCGTCGGACCACTCTGCTCTAGCTGAACTGAGATTGCATTTTTAATAATACCTAGACTGCATCTTCGCAGTTTTGTCCAACCTATCAGACACCTGTACATCAGCCCAGCCAATATGATTTCAGTAAAATGATTAAATTGCCTTATAAGAGGTGAGCACTCTTTTGTTTCCGTGCCGGTCACAGGGAAAGAGAACCACCCTCTTCTGCCGCAAGCAGAGAAATACAGGCTATTATTACCAAGTTATAGGAATGCAGGGCGTCTTCGTCAATTCCAGCTCAGAGTCTAGCAATTCTTGGCTCTTCTTTCCATTCCGTCTGGTCATTGCAATACAGTGGTACCTCGGGTTAAGTACTTAATTCGTTCTGGAGGTCCGTTGTTAACCTGAAACTGTTCTTAACCCGAGGTACCTCCTGCTGCTGCGCCGCCGCAAGATTTCTGTTCTCATCCTGAAGCAAAGTTCTTAACCCGAGGTACTATTTCTGGGTTAGCGGAGTCTGTAACCTGAAGTGTCTGTAACCCGAGGTACCACTGTAATTCTGAAATAAAGGCCGGTGCCAGAGCTTGTCTTCCCCCTCCCCCCCCCATCTTTTTCCTTTTATGTCATGTATTTCAGATTATAAACCTGGGGGCTGGGACTGTCTGATCACTGACATTTGTAAACCATTCTGGGTTCGGCTAGATGACCCTCGGGGTCCCTCCCGACCCTGTGAAGAACACGCGGCAGCGCGCCCGGCGGCTCAGGCGCCTCTCCCGGCTTCCCTTCCCTCGCTCACCACGCCGTCGATCTGCACTTGCTTGACCGCCGAGTCTCCCGGGGCCGCCTTCGCCTTGGCTTTGACGGCAGCCGAGGAAGAAGCTCCGGCGCCGGGGGCGGGTGTCTCCTTGCGCGACGCCATCTCTGGGAGAGGAAAACGAGAGAGGGAGAACGCACACCGACCGGAAGAGGAAGAGATCGAGGGGGACCGGAAATGGATCCCACTCAGAACACCTTCCGGGCGGAAACCGGAGGACTTCCGAAACACAACCCCAAACATGGTTCCGCTTTCATATAGTTCCTACAGGACTCTTTATGTTTGCATTTTGCTTTTCCTCTGCGCCGATGCCGTTTCGTCCGACGGGAGCTCGATCCCGGATAGCTGCCATTAGCCCACCAGGAAATATAACCCGCCTAGTAAATCTATGGAGTGGTAGTTTATGGACTGCATTTATTCCCTTTCTTCCTCCGATGAGCTCGAGGTGGCGCACGTGGTTCTTCCTCCCCCCCCCCATCTCATTTAACTCCCCCTACAACAACCCTGTGGGGTAGGCTAAGCTGAGAGAAATAAGGAAATATGCAGCTATCTCATTTCTAAAAGTCATCTGAAGGCAGCCCTGTTTAGGGAGTTTTTCATATGTAATGCTGTATTGTTTTTAACACTCGATTGGGAGCCGCCCAGAGTGGCTGGGGAAACTCAGCCAGGTGGGCGGGGTACAAATAAATTATTATTATTATTATCGTCCAGTGCCCAAGCGAGGGCTTCATGGCCGAGCGGCTTCCCCCAGAGCCCCAGCCCGATCCTCTCAACCACTACATCTAGCCTTGATTTGCTTTATCCGTGTATTATTCCTGCACGGCAGGGGGTTGGACTAGATGACCCTCAGGAGTCCCTGGTGGGTTCCATTATAACCACATTTTCATCATGCTTTCTCGGTCGCAGCAATAACGCCAGTAATTCAACAAAAAGAAAGCATCTGGGGCGAAGAGTCAGAGCGTGATCGCTCCTGGACGCATTACACATCCCTAAACACGTGGTTTCCCCGTCGGCTGCTGCACTGCGCGTGCGTCAACTTTCGTTACGGTTGTTGCTTTAAAAAATAATAATCCGGCAAGGACTTCCGGCGGAAGTAGTATAGTATTGCGCCCGCCTTTCCGTCTCTATGGTCCTCCTCCGGCCGCCGCTATGAAGATCAAGCGGCAGAAGCACGCCAAGAAGAACGTGGGCTTCTACAAGCACAACTTCGGCTTCCGCGAGCCCTTCCAGGTGCTGCTGGACGGCACCTTCTGCCAGGCCGCGCTGCGCAACAAGATCCAGATCCGAGAGCAGCTGCCGGGATACCTGGCCGGGGCCACGCAGCTCTGCACCACGCGGTGAGCGCGGGTCGAATGGGACGGAGAGGCGCGTGACGTCAAGGGGGGAGCCGTAGCTCAGCGCGTAGGGCGCCTGCCTGGCAAGCAGAAAGGGGGTCCCGGGTTCGATCCCCAGGGGGGGCATCGCCCCCCACCCCGAAATCCCGGAGGGCTACCGTGTTAGACCAGCCCGAGGTTCCTCCTGGACCACAACTCCCATCGTCCCTGACCACTGGTCCTGCCAGGTGTAGGGATGGTGGGAGTTGTAGTCCTAGAATCATGGAGTTGGGTACCCAAGTATCATCTAGACCCGTGGTTCCCCAACGTGGGGCAATTTGATTTGGGGGGGGGGGGGCAATTCGAGAATGAGTTGGGCCAGGGGTCTTTTTCAGCAGGGGGCCGGTTCACTGTCCCTCAGACCTTGTGGGGAGCCGGACTATATTTTGGAGGGGGGGGATGAACGAATTCCTATGCCCCACAAATAACCCAGAGATGCATTTTAAATAAAAGGACACATTCTACTCATGTAAAAACACGCTGATTCCCAGACTGTCTGTGGGCTGGATTTAGAAGGCAATTGGGCCGGATCCAGCCCCCGGGCCTTAGTTTGCCTACCCATGAGTTAGACCAAGTTAATGGCCTTCTAGGCTTCCTCCACGTGAATAGGAGTCCACTTTTGGAATAATACAAATTATATGTCACGGGTGGGGTGGGGAGGGCATCAGGACTTTAGAGATGCTTATGTGGGGCATGGCCAAAAAAAATGGTTGGGAACCACTGATCGAAATCAACCCCCTGCAATGCAGGATGTCCATGAAAACCTGTGGCTGTACATTTCGGTTTGCCTGTTCAGGGATGGGGCTGAACCATGGCCACTGCTCTCTGAAGTGTACATCTGCCAGGAAAGCTTTAGCTCAGCAACTTTGAAGAAGGCTCCCCCCCCCCCCCAAAAAAAAGCTCACAACTTTGGTCAATCCAAATGGTAGATCACTTCCAGTTTTGTTATATAGTGGGAGTAGATCAGTCTCTTGGGAGTTGGACATATCTGCCATAAAGCAAGACTCCCATTGTGAATCAGGTGGGGAAGAGAATCAGAGGATGGCTGCCGGCCAAGTGCATAAGCGAATGCGCAGGGTGCATGACCCCAAATAAATAAAGACCAACCATACCTGGGGTCCCAAGCTTGAGAAAGGCGGGTGCAGCAGTGCTGAGCCAGATGGGCTGTGTACAAAGCAGCTTCCCATGTATCCTACTTCGGGTGCGTGTCAGTTACTCAGTGGGCAGTGCGGTGGGAGACAATTGGCTGCTTGGTCCTCATAAAGGCGGAGGAGCTACCAGCGTGAGCAGGATGGGTCAAAGAGGCATTTAGGGCAACACTGGGATGTGTGTGAAAGGACTGCCATTTGGAGATGCAAACTCATATGCATAGGTGCAAATGTAGAAGTAATTTGAATTCGAATGCATCTTGCCATAGAAAACCAGACTAGGTGACTTTGTAGGTAGACGCAAAATTCATAAACAGCTGGTATCTTTTAAATAGAAAATACAGTAAGGTAAAGGTAAAGGGACCCCTGACCATTAGGTCCAGTCGTGGCCAACTCTGGGGTTGCAGCGCTCATCTCACTTTATTGGCCGAGGGAGCTGGCGTACAGCTTCCGGGTCATGTGGCCAGCATGACTAAGCCGCTTCTGGCGAGCCAGAGCAGCCCACGGAAACACCGCTTACCTTCCCGCCAGAGTGGTACCTATTTATCTACTTGCACCTTGACGTGCTTTCAAACTGTTAGATTGGCAGGAGCAGGGACTGAGCAACTGGAGCTCAAACTGCCAACCTTCTGATCGGCAAGTCCTAGGCTCTGTGGTTTAACCCACAGCGCCACCCGCGTCACAGAAAATACAGTAAATATCACTAAAGTGGGACTATGGCGAGGTGGTCTGTGGCTGCCAAGTCTGCCGTACAGGTGCTGCTACAGGCAGACAGAAAACCTTAGGGCTCTTCCTTCACCTCAGTGTTCTTTAGTTTTAAACCACACTTGTGCCTGAAAGCCCCTTCAACTAGAGGACTGTCCTCTGTAAAGCTAGGTCACCCTATAGAGGGAACCTATGTATATCCTTTGTGCTCAGTTGGCGAGGCCAGGCAACCAGCAGGCAGAGTCGCCGCATTAAGAGCTGTTTAAATCCCCAACTGAGCTGCAAACCTTGGTTGACTTCAAATCCCTCTCATTCCTTCAGCTTACTTGACCTCACAGGATGGTGAGAGGGTAAAATGGGGCCCGGAGTAGACCATGTATATTAATATCTCTGGCTCCTTTGATGAAGGCCTGCAGTTCCTGGCTTTGCAAACTCCATATTCATGCTTGCCTCTAAGGCAGCGCTTAGCAAGCATCCTGCCAGCGTGAAAATTTCTGCTTGGCAGTGGGAATTGCCCCCAGCTCCCCCCACACGCCATCAAGTCTGTTCTGGGGTTCCCCCAATCTTTGCGCATGGGGTAGACTTGCATACAAGACGTAATGGGAAACTTTTGTTCAGAATTTGAAATGCCTGTGTTGAACAAGAATCTCTGCTGTTATCTTTTCTTCTTCTAGATGTGTCCTGAAAGAGTTGGAATCCTTAGGGAAGGAGCTATATGGGGCAAAACTAATTGCACAGAGATTTCAAGTTCGCAATTGTTCTCACTTCAAAAATCCAGTGAGCGGCTCAGCCTGCCTCTTGTCCATGATTGAGGATGGGAATCCACACCATTACTTCATAGCTACGCAGGTAATGTTCTTTCACTTAAGCTCATGCGAACAAAATGCCTCATTTCCTTCATATTTTGGAATCTGGCCAGTTGTTAATGAGTTTTAAGAATTACATCCACGCTTTCTCCTTCGGCGCTGTGGTGGGAAAACTTCAGCTTATGCAAATTTGAACGGCACCTACACGTTTCCAGCGGTACAAGAGAGTGTTCAAAACACTGCCTACAGCCTTGTTTTAAAACAAGTTTACTTGGAAATGAGCCTTGTTGCGCTTGAGAGGGCTTGCATATGCCTTGGGTGGCAAGCTCTCCTGCAGCAAGCAGCCCAGCATAGGATTAGAGTTGCAGAGGGAGGGCATTTGTAGATAACAGTTTTATTTCACAAAGAAAGGAATGAAGATACTTGGCAGCTTGTTCGCACACTGTAATTAATGTCTTAGTTGCTAGATCAGGAGGCAAGGCACGTCTAAGCATCAAATAAAGTTCTGGGCTTAAAGTGCATCTGAGAAAGGCAAGTCTGCATAGAACAGGAATGAAGAAGTAACCATGCCCAGCTCTGTTTACAGAATAAGTAGCAGGGATGCGGGTGGTGCTGTGGTCTAAACACTGAGCCTCTTGGGCTTGCTGATTAGGTCAGCGGTTTGAATCCCCGCGGTGGAGTGAGCTCCTGTTGCTCTGTCCCAGCTCCTGCCATCCTAGCAGTTCGAAAGCACGCCAGTGCAATTAGATAAATAGGTACCGCTGTGGCGAGAAGGTAAACGGCGTTTCCATGCGCTCTGGTTTCCGGCACAGTGTTCCGTTGCGCCAGAAGCGGTTAAATCATGCTGGCCGCATGACCCGAGAAGCAGTCTGTGGACAAACGCCGGCTCCCTCGGCCTGAAAGAAGAGCGCCGCAACCCCATAGTCGCCTTTGACTGGACTTAACCGTCCAGGGGTCGTTTACCTTTACCTTTTACAGAATAAGTGCCTGTCTCACAAGATGTCTTGCCACTTCTGTCTTGCCCCAGAAGGATCCTCAGAAAAGTGAACTGCAAAAATGCTTAAGTGTTCTTTAGTAGCATTTATTTATGATGTTTGGGTTCTCTTTTATAGCTCCAAAAAGCTTTCATAGCACTTCAGAATAAAAGTCACATGAAAAGCTCTTTGCCTACGTTATCTCAGAAAGCACTTACTTCATCCCATGGTATGGAACCCAATTTACCACACAAGGTCATTTCCCCCAAACCATTAGATGTGGGACAGTTAAAGCCATAGGTACAGAGGAACAATTGGGAGCATGTGCTCTTTATAATTCCTTGGCAAAGAGGACTCGCTCTAAGAGCCAATCCACTGATGGGTAATGACAGGAAGCCCAACAGTTTGAACTCCATTTGCAGGTGGTTTGTATTCAAACAACTTACCAATTGACTTCATAGGTCCTAACTTTATTTCTCAACCAGCTGTTTGGTACAGAAAGCCTTTCCTGTGGTCCACAGCACAAAAGGGATATAATCTTGCTCAAGAAATTGTAGTCTGTTTGCTGGATGAAACGAAGAAAATAGGGATTTGCATTGTTATTATGTATACAAATTTATATACCACTTGACTATTTTATTTTATTTTTAAATGCATTAAAGAATCCTTAAGAATACTTGGCATTTATGCCTCTAGCCTTCAATAACTTTTCCATATAGTAATTGACCACATTGTAGATTTTGCATTTTTATAGAATGTTAAACTAGTTTACCACTATAGCCTTCAGCAGCTTGAGCAAAAGTTGGTAAAGCAAGCAACAGGGACAAGAAAATTGGGTGTTTCCTGCCACTTTGACAGTGTTCTTTTCCAGGGTGGAGTAATCTGCTAGATTTTCACTGCCTTGAGTTTTACTTTGTAAAGAGTGCATATAGACTTACTGTTTGTGTCCCCCACCCCCATTCGATAGGACCAGGATCTGGCAACGAAAGTAAAGAAAAAGGCTGGAGTTCCCCTTCTCTTCATAATTCAGAACACAATGGTTCTTGACAAACCTTCCATGAAATCTTTGGCTTCGGCACAAGCAGCACAGACTAACCGGCTTATTCCAGAGCACCAGAAACTAAGCATCAAACTTCTCAAAGAGGAGCAGGGTTTGGCAAAGACCTCGGAACCAAGAAAAAAGAAACGAAAAAGGGCCAGTGGCCCTAATCCTCTCAGCTGCCTGAAGAAAAAGAAAAAGGGACAAGAGACCTTGCAGCCTTCAGCAGCTAAGAAAAAGGGGAATAGGAAACGCAAGAAAAGGAAACTGGAAGCAGGAGGAGAGACTGTGCCATCAGGGTCACAGAATGTGGAAGCATGAAATCATCCCAGAAAACGGGTGGGCTCGTCTGTTCCATGAACTTTGGGTAAAGCCAAGGTCTATGACTAAAGCAGTGTGATAATCCTTGCATTTAATCATTATTTTATTAAAGGTCTTGGAGTATTTGGGTGCTGGGTCAAAGTGAAACACACACACACACTTTTGATATCATTTTAAATTGTTAAATTGGGTCTTAAAAGTGCACAAGAACAGCCCTTATAGCTAGCTTATCCTTACTGATATCTTTAACTAAGGAGGATGGCAAACTGATAATCATGCCCAAAGCACGACCTGTTTGTGTCATGCAGTGGAGCACATGAAAGATACCAGTTACCTCTTGGTAGAGCAATCAAAGGGGCAAGACTCATCACCTGCTTTGAAAGGAAGCATTTCACAAATCAATCCTGCCTTCCAACCAGGCTTTCTTTCCTGAAGTCTTGCTCACACTATCCCAGATACATGGAAGCTAACTGCAGTTAGTTGCTGGTGAATTCAAAAATGTTCTAGTACAAAACCAGATTCAAGAGTGTGTTTTCAAAAGTGGTTAGGAGAGTAAAACCCACATTTAACTCTTTTTATATTTTCATTATGTTGAGTAATAGCTACATCTGTAATGTCTTCGTTCAAAGTAGAAGCCCTTTGAAGCATTCAATTTATTTCTGCCACTGAAGATTAATTTTCAGTGCATTATCAAATGTAACCCCAAGGAGTTAAAACGTAATCCCATTCCATATCCAGTTTGTTTAATTGCAAGATCTGAAATGGATAAAACCTTTCGCTGGAAATCCTTTATCTTTCCCTATTAGCTGGCTCCAATTCAGTCAGGTTCCTGCCCACTGGGGACTGAGCAATTTCCCCGAAATACCTATTTGTAGTGCGGAATGACAATTCCTGGAGCCATATGATAATCTTTGGAAAATTCTATACATATCACTTGGCCTCTCAGTCAAAAAAGAAAAGGAGGGGTGTGTGATTAATGGGCTGTCCATGGTCTGGACATGATCCATGGTATTAATTACTGCAGAAGGTTGAAAAAGGCAAATACTGAAATGATTACAAGGGTACAGCAAATGCTGAGAGAATGAGAAGTTTGGAGCAGGTAGATTTTGGGTTGGAGTGGGGAGCTGATTATGGATCAGAACCACTTCAGTTAAAACTAGTAGCCATCCTAAATCATGGTCGGCAACTAGAGCTGAGGTTGAATCCTGACAAGACAGAAGTACTGTTTTGGGGGGACAGGGGGCGGGCAGGTGTGGGGGACTCCTTGGTCCTGAATGGGGTAACTACCCCTGAAGGAGCAGGTGCGCAGCCTGGGAGTCATTTTGGACTCATAGCTGTCCATGGAGGTTCAGGTCAATTCTGTGTCCAGGGCGGCTGTCTACCAGCTCCATCTGGTACGCAGGCTGAGACCCTACCTGCCCGCAGACTGTCTCACTAGAGTGGTGCATGCTCTAGAATCACAGAATCATAGAGTTGGAAGAGACCACAAGGGCCATCGAGTCCAACTAGTTATCTCCCGCTTGGACTACTGAAATGCGCTCTACGTGGGGCTACCTTGGAAGGTGACCCGGAAACTGCAATTAATCCAGAATGCAGCAGTTAGACTGGTGACTGGGAGTGGCCGCCGGGACCATGATGCTGACCTTTAAAGCCCTAAACGGCCTCGGTCCTATATACCTGAAGGAGCATCTCCACCCCCATCGTTCAGCCTGGACACTGAGGTCCAGCTCCAAGGGCCTTCTGGCGGTTCCCTCATTGCGAGAAGAGAGGTTACAGGGAACTAGACAGAGGGCCTTCTCGGTAGTGGCGCCCACCCTGTGGAACGCCCTCCCTTCAGATGTGAAGGAAATAAGCAGCTATCTTATCTTTAAAAGACATCTGAAGGCAGTCCTGTTTAGGGAAGTTTTTAATATTTAATGCTGTATTGTTTTTAACACTCGATTGTGAGCCGCCCAGAGTGGCTGGGGAAACTCAGCCAGATGGGCGGGGTATAAATAATAAATTATTATTATATATTATACATATTTAAAAGAAAGCCCCATTGAGTTAAAATGGACTTGTGCCCTGGTAAAAAGATTGTAGAATTGCAGTTTTAGCTGCTTAAAAACTGCCTATGCTGCCTGTAGTTAAGTGATGAGACTTGGTAGTGCTATCCAGGAGGAAGGCTCTTCCAAATTCTAAGCACAAAGGGTCCTATCTTCCATAACCACCTTCCATACTTTTGTTGGCAAGCGTAGCCCAAGCAGTCTCCAAAATGGATCGCAATACTTGCCCCAGTTGGTATGGGTGGAAGCAATCCTTGCTTGTAACATTACACCTGTGGGAGAGGTCAACGTTTCCCCTTTTTAAAGGGAAATTCCCTTATTCCGAATAGGATTCCTCGCAAGAAAAGGGAAAAGTTGACAGCTATGGTGGGAGGGAGAAAACATTCTTGGCCCTGCTGATATAAGTTCACACTTGAAACTAAGTATACAAATTTAATAAATAATGATGATAAAGTATACAAATTTAATAAATAATGATAATATGTCACTTATTTCTCTAATCTTTGTAGCTGTGCGATTGATGCCTGGCAGCTGACTATGTAAATGGGCTCTGCTGTAAAGAATTATGCCTTAAGGCGATGTGACACAAAATGAACTGGATGCAAGAACTGAGGTAGCGCTGTGCTTGCCGCATAGAATCACCCCTTTGTGAAATGGATCATCTCACTGTATGGTTCCAAAGAGCGTGTGGGCTAGCTCAGAGCTCTGTGGCTCTGAGCACCTTGTAATCGCGCTACGGTTTGAAGCAAGCCCTCATCGCCACCTGGACCTTAACTCTTGCAAAACACTGCCCAGAGCAACTGTATGAGCCCAAGTTGCTGCACCCGCGCAATGTCGGCGAGGTGAAACGCCACATCCGTTATTTGCCGCACTGTGCCCTTGCACCTGTTCTTTATCCACATCCTGCTTTTGCACAGTTAGGTCACAGAAGCCAGCTGTGATCTTGGAGACGCTATTGTCACAAGGCTTAATGTAAAGGGGTTCTGCTTTTTGAACAGCCACACAATACGAAGGACTAAAGTTGATGCCCTCCATTTCTTACACTGTGTAGAAACATCAATGTTTCCCATTGTTTCAACCGCAAGCCCTTGGCAGTTGTAGCTGCAGTCGGCTCGTATATTCTTAAATCAAGTGGTCAGATCAATATGCCATTCCTTTGGAGCAAACTACATTGGTACCTCGGGTTACATACGCTTCAGGTTACAGACTCCGCTAACCCAGAAATAGTGCTTCAGGTTAAGAACTTTGCTTCAGGATGAGAACAGAAATCGTGCTCCGCTGGCACGGCGGCAGCAGGAGGCCCCATCAGCTAAAGTGGTGCTTCAGGTTAAGAACAGACCTCCGGAATGAATTAAGTACTTAACCCGAGGTACTACTGTAACAGCTTGGAAAGATGTTCTTTTCTCGTTTCTTTTTCTGCATCTTAACAAGCACTAAGCAACCTGGGCCAAGAAAGAGCTCTTTGGAAAACTGATAAGGATTCATTTAATTCTAAGGTTGCAATCCTATACCTAGGTAAAGGTAAAGGTACCCCTGACCATTAGGTCCAGTCGCGGACGACTCGGGGGTTGCGTGCTCATCTCGCTCTATAGGCCGAGGGTGCCAGCGTTTGTCCATAGACAGCTTCCGGGTCATGTGGCCAGCCTGACTAAGCCGCTTCTGGCCAGAGCAGCGCACGGAAACACCGTTTACCTTCCCGCCAGAGTGGTACCTATTTATCTAGTTGCACTGGCATGCTTTCAAACTGCTAGGTGGGCAGGAGCTGGGACCGAACAACGGGAGCTCACTCTGTCGCGGGGATTTGAACCGCTGACCTTCTGATCGGCAAGCCCTAGGAGTAATCCCCTTTGAATGCAGTTAGACTTGGGAGCAGACAAATTTATTTGGATTTTCCTTGTATGTAGCTACTGACAGGGGTACCAACTTGAATAAAATATTGGGTGGCCTAGGTAAGCACCGCCCTGAATAACTGATCACATGACACGGTGCACACACCCCATTTGAATGGCAATGGCCATCAATGGCCGGGGTGGGGGGCTTGAAGATGCCACAAACCCTAGGAGTTGACTGCTATGGACAGCACCTCTGCTCACACAAGATGGGACACCTGATTCTTATTTATTTCCCCTACCCATTCATTATAGTCCTTTTGCCCTCTGAAAATCTTCCAGTGAGGGCTGGGGAGGCCCAATAGAGCAGTATGGAATCCAGTATGGAATCCACTTTGATGCTGGCTAACACAGCTGTTTATCTTCAGCCCCTGAGGTACGCTTCATTGTCTCTTGAGACAGACGGATCACAACACACAATGCTGCCAAAATGGAAAGCTTTTTGGCAAGGGGGAAGCTACACACAGCGGATGCACGTATCTTCACACAGAGTACAAATGGTTACTGAGAGTTTCCTAAACAGCAAATGGACAAAACCCAAATAGAATTGCCGCATCCTGCCCCAATGAGCACCATTTGCGTCAGGTATTTATTCAAAGTGAAATAAGGCAGCTTTAAGCTTCAGCAGGTCTTGAGCCCTTTAAAAAGCAAATGCTGCACGTTTCCAAATGTCCTCTGTCATTTCCAGTACTTCTGCAAGGCTACCCAGACGCTCTATGCAGTTGCATAGAACAGTGGGCCACAGCTGACAGCAGCATCCCTAAACCATCACACTGCAGCTTGGCTCAGAAAGAGAAAGCTGCCTCTGCAAACAGAGGATTGCTCCTGACAGATGCTGTAATTTAGTGCTCACAGGTCCCAAGTTTTCCTCAACTCATTTCAAGCTCCGTAAGCCATCAAGACAACATAATCTGCCTTCTTAAATAGCTTTTAGAGAAGCATCTAAGATTTGTTTTCTGTTTTTAAAAGGGGGGGGCAGGTTCTACAGAGGATGCAGAGCACTTATTTCTTAACAAAATCCCTTCTGCCGTTAGGTTGACATTTAGAAAAACGAGATACAGCAGCCTAGAAACAGACTTGTGCAAACAGTTGCTTCAACTTTTGGAATCTCAGCAGCAAGGCTGAGTGGGATCTATAGCAAAATGTCGCAGTAAGGTGTGCTCTCTGATCCAGATTGGGGTGGTGGTGGTACAGAATAGTTCAAATAATGAGCAATCGGCATTTTATGGTCATTTTCCTGGGGGTTGCCCCTCACTCCCAAGGCTCTTTTCTGAAAACTGCCCCTCTCATGTGGGGACAGTGACATAAGCATCAGAGCATGAACATCGGAAATAGTTTGATATTCAAGATGCTTTGCTCATAAGGAGCCCAGGATGCATATTTTTAAGGCTCATAAATATATCTCTTAACATCCAGAAAAGGTACAAAAGGTGGGGATGCAAAAATGATCAGGCTGCAGCATTTTCCCCTGTAAGATGATGATGATGATTAAAATTTGTATCATCTGAGCATTGCAGTTTAGAAAAACCTGCAGTTAAGAGGAGTGGCAGTACGTATATAATAGAGGTTTGTAAAATTATCCACGGCATGAGGAAAGTGGGTAATTTTTTCTTCCTGTGATGCATGTATGATGCTTCTGGGGGTGGTCTTGGACTCCCACCTTTGTTCTGGGTCCTCCTCCTCTTTCCTGCGGGTGGGGGAGCACCCTGTTGCAACTGTCAATAAAGATCAGGCTTACTAGCTGCTTTGCTTCTCAATTTCTCTGGTTGGTCTGTTATTTTCTCCTACCGAGACAGAACCTACAAAAGGACTCTATATGGGCTCTTGGGTACCCCATAAAGGAAAAGGAGCAGTTTTTTTACTTATAATACTCACGTCCCAATTTGGGTTTGGATGCATTTCTTCTTTGCTGTTTGGCTATGGCCCCCTTCCTGGCGATGCTCCCCTTGCAATTGGCAGTTGGCAGCACATTGGTTCAGATGCAATGGGGCAACTCTGATGGCACAAGGGGCTTTTTGTGCATGCAGAACCTCCTCTTCCTCTCCTGTCCTCAGGACCTTTGTGTGCCCTCGAAATCAGCTCCAGAGGTTTTTGGGGGGGACCCTCCAAAGCAGATTTGGGAGATGTGTGCACATGGGGAGGACCCACTGAGCCGGTGAAACCCTGCTGGTGCAGGCTGGGTACCACACCCAAAGGCTCCTACATTCATTCACTGTCTGCGGGCTTCAAAGAGACACCTGGTTGGTCATGGGGGAGTGTGTCAGTCTGATGCAGCAGAGCTCTGATCTTATGCAGCCAAAATGTCATCACATCACAAACAACAGGGAGGTATCAGCAGGTTGCAAAGGTACAAATAAACTAGCGAAGGGGGGAGATGAGCGCAATAAAGAAATAAAACTTATTTAGGACGATGACTCGCTCAACTCAGATTCAGGTAGGTGGCCGTATTGGTCTGCCGTAGTCGAAACAAAACAAAAAAATTCCTTCCAGTAGCACCTTAGAGACCAACTAAGTTTGTTATTGGTATTTTGTGTGCATGCACACGAAAGCTCATACCAATAACAAGTTTAGTTGGTCTCTAAGGTGCTACTGGAAGGAATTTTTTTGTTTTGTTTCGACTCAAGATTGCTGACTGATTTTGGGGTGGGGAGACAAACAGAAAACTAGGGGAATAGAGTATATTGGAAATGAGCATGGCTGGCTGGAACCCAGAATAGGGGCACAGCACACAATAGACACACTGGGTTGGGAACACCCTAGCTTCAAACTCCAACACCAGTGTGGAATAGCTCACAGAAGGATGCAACAGGATGGGGAAATCAGGGACCTGGAGGGCTGCTTTGTCATGCAGATCGGAAGACATCTCTGAAGCCAGAAATACAATCCACACGGAGAAAGGGCATCAGTATGCAATAGCTTATAACACAACTTTTATTAGAAAAGTTATACATAACAGCAACTATTTTCAAGAATATTAACCTTGAAAAGCAACAAAAACAGACTAACAAAGTTTAACAAGAAACTAATGACCTCTATAATTAAACATTCAAGTTATCTACAATGTCTCTTTGTACAAAGGGGGGAAACCATGGTTGTACAGGCACATCATGTCAAAAATAAAGCTGCAGTAACTATTTTATATAGTTAACTTTCTCAAGGATTATGAAAACATGTTGCAAATTTTTAAACATTCACATAATTTTACACTTGGGTATACACTGAAATCTTAGTTCCAGAAGAGAATCATTTCACAAAAGTGCCAACATTTAAAGTCAGAAACTTTAGTAATTTTGCCCCACCTTAAAAAAAATGTTGATGTCTCCATCAACATAGTCACATGATTTCTGGTATGGCCTGGTCCTGATAATAAGTAGTAAAATCAAATCAGAGTTTATTTGTAAATCCGCTCAGTATTCCAGGAGTGTGCATTATTGTGAAATACACTGTTACAAAAACTGTAAAGGTCACTGGAGATCTATTAATACTTATTACACAACAAGATTATGTTCAATAAATGCAAGTTTCTCCTGCCTCTAAAATATACATATGTAGCTTGCTGTTGTTTCAGGGTCAGTGTTGTGCCACATTTGTAAAAAGAAAGAAAATAAAAAAGGAAAAGGAAAAATAAAAGTAGCATGCTCAAACTGAGACCCTTCTAGCTACCAGCATACCTAAATTAAATTGCCTGTAATTCAGAATTATGGCATTTCTCAAAAGCCTTTAAAATTCTCAATTATTTTCAAATCAACAATTAAAAAAAACACCCTTTATTGCAGTTGGTGCTTTACAGCAGAACTACCCCATCCTTGCAGCTAGCTATCAGAAATGGACCACACTGAGATGGAATGTAAAATCCAATGCCAGAAATGTATTGTCTCTTGCACTTAAATAATATTTTTCAAGGACACCCATTTACATTTAGCCCCAGAGCTGCTTAAACTCTATTCTAAAGATACCATGGCACAGCAAATACTCCTGCCAGGCACTAACATTCATATTGGCAGCTCCAAGAACACCATCAGAAGTAGGAAGATGATAATAAAACACTGAAAGAAATGTGGGGCAGGAAGAATTCACTACCATGAGGAAAAGAGACCACATTTTAAGCATGTTTGGCAAAAACCTGTAATGAGACAATAGGGTTGGCCATTTTGGGTCTTCTGGAGTAGCATTCTAGCTTACTAAGCAGATAATTGTAAAACAATGTATTAGTCATAGTTACATGCACCAATATTGCACACATCTGTTTTGATTTGTTTTAGAAACACTCTTTATTAGGTCCTTGAGTCACTTTCTCTCATCTCTGCAACTGGAACTCAAGTCACCCAGTGCAGAAGTTACTAGAAATGCAAAAGTGGTAAAATGTAATAGAAAAAAAACACAAAACACAAAAGTAAATGACTGTACAGGACAATGGACTCTAGTTTTCTTCTTTTGTAGGCCCTACACATTGGGCAATGTGTAAGTACTAATGATGCTAACTATACAGCAAGCCAAATAAAACATTCAAATAATATGGAATCTGGGACCAGGAGTAGCAATGATGTCACTATACGGTTCTTCCTGTGTCAGCTCAATAGCTTGCTGCTTTTTTAGTACCAAGAAACTGTAGAATTTTGCTGCTGCCTGTTTGCGGTTTGTATTCCTACACAGCTCAAGCAAACTGATGGATTCTGCTCCAGTCTTGGCAAGAGCTCTCTGAAAACAGAAAACAGCGTTATAATTACTTCTGAGCTTAATATAAACATTTACTACTTGATCACAATTGAACCTACTGGAACATCACTGGCAAGCACATATCTTACTCTTCTAAGACCATGTGTCATTCTCTGAAGCCTGAAAATGCTAGAGATTCTTCCTAACCATGTGCTTAATTTTAGAAAGCAAAAGTAGAAATTTTGCTGCTTTCTGAGCCTCTCCCAATTTAGCAAATGCAATACCACCGACACCTCCAGCTTGAAGGAAGGGATGAGGGCAAAGACATGCCACAGCAGTCAAAACTGGGCACATGTAACAGTCAAGACCCCACCCCTCTACCTCAGATGAAGACTGATGCAGAGAGGCAATCTCTGGCTATCATAGCCAATCAAGATGTGTGGACCCCACCCAATAAGTACAGAACCAAAACCTGATCAAGCAAAAACCCAAGCAGCCAAGGGCGAGATTATAAAATATTTAATAGTAAAACAGAAAAAGTATCTGAATGTGAAAGTGCTACTTCCACTCTGTACATGAGTGCATACTAACACAGATATGTTAGCATAATTAGCATGAGCTTCAAATTATGTAGAGGCTTTACTATATGTGGAGTGGAACAATCCCCTGCTTATTAGGGAATCTTTGGGTTTTAGAAAAGAGCACAGAGAGTTTGATTTGCTAGATCCTAAAATCTCTAAGTCACGGGATCCCCACTGCATACTAAGTTTCCTACAACACCAGCTATTAGACAGCAATTATGGGAAGAGCTTGTTGCATTTGTGACCTACGCGTCGGCTTCCTGGCTGGCCTGTGTGGGGAGACTCAGGTGTGTACTATCTGCAAAAAAAACCACGCTCAGAAGAACACTTCATTTACTACTGAAACCATTTCATACCTGAAGACCATGAAGCATTTGTTGAGTTCTTTTGTTCCATCGTCTTTCCTCTTGATCCTGGTCACCACCTGTACCATCTTCCTCCTGCAACCAATCACATTTTAGATAGGGCTAGATAGTCTGTTAAAATGATGCTTTTCTGCTATTCTAAAAGGCCAGATTGACTTGACTTTAAAGCTCAGGGCACAAAAGAAAAGGCACATGAAGAAACTATAATGGATTATGGTTACATGCATGAACCGTACAACAGCAGAATAAAATTCATTGCCTGTAGATTTAGGATAAACAAGAGTACAATGAGCAACTTATGATATGATGCTAAGACCATGTACAAAATATCTGCCTCCATAACTAGTTTGAAGTACATTTGAAAATCTCTCCGAAAATCATTACAAGAGCTTCATAGTTCTTTTTGTTTTAGGCAATGATGAAGTACACACAACTATAAATCCTAAGATCTTAATGTATATTTACCATGCTATCATATAAATATTGTTAAAGGAAAATGATTAAGCGACTTCTTTGAATTCATTTAATAATTGCAAAATGTTCATATACCAGATCTTCTGCACCTTCTGTCTCAGAATGGTTTATTAATAATTTGTACCACTGCTAAAATTAAATAAAGAACTGCTCAAAGGAACAAATGTAACTTTTACAGAAAAAAATGATAGGGTTTGTGATGTTTCTGAACAGTGGTCATGCCTACTCTTTCAACTTTTCTAGGTAAAACTATTTACAGTTTCTAATTTCTATGTCTCTATTATTTTTAAACAACAAGAAATTTCCTTGGTGTGTCTACCTGATGTGTTTTTCAAGTGTCCAATTAGCAGCACAATCTACTCTACTGAGAAGTAAATCCACTAAGCTCAATAGAACTTACTCTCACTGATCGTGGGACTGCCGACTACTACTGTTTAGCCCTGTTTACGGAAGTTTTTAATGACTGATGTTTTAATGTATTTTTAATCTTTTGTTGGAAGCTGCCCAGAGTGGCTGGGGAAACCCAGCCAGATGGGTGGGGTATAAATAATAAATTATTATTATTATTATTATTATTATTATTATTATTATTATTTTCACAAGCTTCCTATAGAACAAATTGTTTAAATGTCTGCCCACATTTTAACTTACTAACTGGCCTGGCAACTGCAAGCCCAGAGGCATGAGAAACATTGCAGGAGGTTGGACTAGATGACTCTCAGGGTCCCTTCCAAGTACAATTCTATGATTCTATACCTCTTCCTCTTTCATGTTTCTCAAACATATCACTAGATGCAAATTTACATGAGGGAGAGAGGGGAGAGATAGAAGAGACACAAGGAAGATCCTGGCCTTCCAGCAAAATTAAACAAGGGATTTAAATGGGTTCAAATATACCATTTAGAACGAGAAACAACAGTTACTCAAACCCAGCTGAGAGATCATCAGCTCATGCATACAAATGCAGCCAAACACATGATTGTAAAGCTTCAGCATTTTTCTATATCTGTAGAAGCAACAAGTAATAAGAGATCCAGGTAAATAAATATGCACAATCCTGTTTCTGTCTGCTTAATTCTGCAATGAATATATACAAAGTAGTAAATGTAATCCTTTTCAGGGGCAAAGTAGGAAAAATCCAAGCATACAAATGTATTCAAATTGTAAAGGCCATTGAATTAACTCAGTCAATAGAAACTCCAGTGTTGCACCCCTGTTATAACAACTCAGTACCTACCTCTTCCTCCTCCTCTTCCTCCTTTTCCTTTTCCTTTTCTTTTTCCTTTTCAGGCAAGAGCTCTAGCTCTGGAATTAGCTGGCAGATGTTTTGAGACTCTTCTGGAGGCAGTTCCACTGGGGGCATTTCTATTGGTTGCAATGGTTGAGACTAAGGAGAGAAGCATTCAAGTTAGAACAACTGAAACTAGATAACTGTATAACTATTGAGTATATAATATATCATAACTTAAAACTTTCAAAAGCTTTGTATAGTCATACTGCATTAAGCATAAATGCATCCACATTCTGTTAAAATCTCTTCAATGACTCTCGCTCACAACTTTCCGCAATGGCCAAATTTGTTGTCATTTATTTACTTATTTCATATGAAATACTCCACTTCCAACTGTAGTCATACTGCTCCTGAATTACATACTCTTAATATGGTATTGACATCAGTTGGTGGAGAAAGCTTCCTTCTTTATAGCAAAAGGAGTAAACTTTTAATATTTATGTATTTTTTTCAACATTACAGCTTGTGGACTCATGTCCTTAACATAGGTGGTAATTTTTAAGTTTAATAATGCTCCCATGCCTTTTACATTTAAGGTTACTACTTTTAAGCTAGCCATTTTATTTGTTATTTCATAAAATTTATGCACCACTGGATTGTGGGTTTGTTTTTTGTTTTTTTAAACACCTCAAAGCGGTTTACAAGACTGTAAAACAAGAAAACCAAGACAAATTTACAACTGCATTTTAAAAACAAACACAAGTTAAATTACAAAAGATACAATTAATTTATTACGCATCTGGAACATAAATATTTTCAGCAAGTGCCTAAAAGAGTACAGTGAAGGCACTTCCTTGATCTAAATAGGGAGCAAGTTCCAATGTGTAGATGCTGCCACAATAAATGTTCTTACAAATGCAGAACAAGTTATAAAAGAGGAGTATCAACACTATTGTTCCACTGATGCAGTGGACTTCTGCTTCTACAACACAACTTCCTTCCTCCTCTCTTCTCTCCTGTAGCCCTCCCCACTGCTCATCTTCAAAAACTGCTCCAGAGGACTGTGATAAAACCCAGGAATTAGGACAGTGCTACTCCCAAGTTGCTGCATTATTCAGAGAGGATAGTTTGAAATACTGCCAAGCATAGCATATACTTTGAATTCACACTTATTTCCTATAACATTCCACATGAGAGTCATAGTGCTTCTTCTGAATGCCCTCAACACATCGAGCCTTGCACAGTTTACAGGTCATTTTCTTCCCTAAAAGTGAACAGAGAGACTCGCCTCACAAGATAATTATGCACAACGTTAGGGATTCAACAGCAAGCAGAAAAGGGCATTGTCACTCACGGGTAGCACAGGCTCTGGTTCCACTTGTGCAACCTTTCGCTTTACACCTGTCTGAGGTGGGGGTGGTGGCATGACTGATTCATCCAAGTTGGTCCTGCTGCCTTCCACGATGGACTCCTGAAGACGACTTGGCTCTTCCAAGATGGGTTCATCTATTGCAAAGAAGTAATGATAAATGGCTACCTTACTCAAAAGTCATTTAGGAGTTTGTAGCCCTTTCTATTTTTGCTTTACTTTTTAAGCATGAGTATTGCAGATTAATGTACTCAATGGGGGGTGGGGGGAGAATACTAATACTCAACATTTTCCTGTTTATGACTAGAACATTGCTTTGCTCTAAACTCAGATGATCCCAGTACACTAAAGTAGCTACAAGAATTGAGCATTAAGATTATTAAGTTTTTAGACGTAGTTAAATAAGCCTCTACAGGTCAGGAAGGATGCCATTAAAGAAGCACAAACCAATAACACTGCGCTGCGGTTCCTCTCTGGGCACTTCTGGATTCTCAAAGTCTTTCAGGAATTCATCCAAGTTATCAGCTTCCCCACCTTTCCTCCTCTTTCTAAGATCTTCTGGTACAAGAGGTGTAAGACAGCGAGTGAAAAGCTACAAGCAAAACAAACAAAGGTTAAGTCTTAAATGTGGAACAGCAGCACTTTGAATAGCCTTTGCAGCCAAGCCACTTCAGGTGATTTAGTATTAAGACCAGAAAGATACAAAATTTTATGAAAATGATTTTAAGCAAAATGGCAAGCACGCACATATAAAGTTAAATACAAAAACAATTCTTATGAACTTGCCATTTGCAATGTATGATATGCTATGGTGTATTTAGCCTAGGATAACTGTTATTTTTAGGGACGCGGGTGGCGCTGCGGTTTAAACCACTGTACTATTTGGGCTTGCCGATTGGAAGGTCGGCAGTTCGAGGCCCCGCAACAGGGTGAGTTCCTGTTGTTCAGTCCCAGCTCCTGCCAACCTAGCAGTTCGAAAGCACACCAGTGCAAGTAGATACAATAGGTACCGCTCTGGCAGGAAGGTAAACGGCATTTCCGTGCGCTGCTCTGGCTTTGCCAGCAGCGGCTTAGTCATGCTGGCCACATGACCCGGAATAACTGTCTGCAGAAGCGGACAAACGCCTGTAAAGCGAGATGAGCGCAGCAAACCCCAGAGTCGTTCGTGACTGAACTTAAATGTCAGGAATCCCTTTACCTTTACATGTTATTTTAAAATATATTTCCCTAAGTTTGGTTTACCTTCAACAGCCTGTTATTCCACAGAGGCTGAGCAGGAAGAGAGAAAAGTTTTTCAACACCCCCAGTCTCTTTCCACATCATTAACTTCTTAGTAGGAGGTGCCAAATCCAGTGTAGTGACAATATCAGAGTAGTCACTGAGTTGGGCTCTTATAGTTTTGCTGTCCAGTTCTTTTACGCTGTCCACAATCAGCTTTCTCTTCCTTTTTGCCTTTGTTTCTTTAACTGGTCAAGAAAAAAGTAATGTGTTAACACCACTCAATCGGCAAAAATAGTCACACTTAGAATCAGGTCACACCATTAACAACTTTAGGATTCTTTACAAGTACTGTGCTGCTCAGGAGTTCCCGAACGTCGACACATCTCGCTCTTGCTGAAAAGTGAAACTAAATTCACACAAAGAAACTGCAGCTTCCGTTAGAAGCTCCTCCCCAGATGTAGGACAGTATAAAACCTTTTTTTAATAAAAAAAATTCTCTTAAGACTTGTCAGCGCTAAATAGTATTAAGGTATCACTCGCAGTTTATACCATATACACCAGGGACTGAGTATCAGCATAATCCTGACCACTGACTAAAAAGGATGTATTTTATCAAGGTCAACAAGCACAAGCTGCTGGTATTGTTTGTTTGCCTGTGTGAATTGTATGTATGTACATACACAGGGTATGCAGGTTTAATTAAAGGATGGTATGGTATGTTTTGTTACTTGAAATTAAAAATAATAAATAAAAACAGCTTTTTTCACTCTCAGTAAAGTCAACCAGGCATCCACCATGTTTATATCAAAATAAATTGGTTTTTAATATGCCACAAGGCTCCTGTTTTTGACACAAAAGGCCAACATGGAAATTCTTCAGTCAAGGTTATTCTAGTACAAAAGTGAAAATAGAATCCAGCATTTACCAGTTATATCAATTGGCTCTAAAGCAAAAGCTTCTTCTTCATTTGGAACCAGTGTTGTCTGATCAGTCATAGTTGGCAATGGTTCAACCGGATCAACTGAGTCTGGACTATCAGGTCCACCCACTGCGAATCAAAGAGATAAACTGAGTTTCCTAATAAATGGTTAAAAGCATAGAAGTTCACACAATTCAACCCATTTCCAATTTTCACACACTGCCCATCCATTTATAATTACACACCATTCAACACATTCCCACACTCAGGCAGTGTTCTTAGAATAGGATAATTGGTGTGTGTGTGTGTGTGTGTGTGTGTGTGTGTGTGTGTGTAGGAGGCCTAAAATTAAGGAAAAGGCAAGTAAGCCAAGCAATGGAGCTGACTTGCAGCTTTTTTGAACTCAAACTGTCACCCTTGCCCTTTATTCCATTAGTGCAATACTAAAAAAGAAGAAATATAAGGCATGCTGGATCAGGCCAAAGGCTGGGAAGCCTATAAGCAGAACACAAAGTAATAGACCATAGACCTCTGGCATTATTGTTCCTCAGCAAGTGGTTTGAAATACCAGACAGAGTTTGCTGGGGGTGAGGGGAGAGAGGAGAGAAAAGAAGAAAAGGAGGAGGAGGAGGAGGAGGAGGAGGAGGAGGAGGAGGAGGAGTTTGGACTTGATACCCCGCTTTATCACTACCCTAAGGAGTCTCAAGCCAGCTAACATTTTCCTTTCCCTTCCTCCCCCACAACAAACACTCTGTGAAGTGAGTGGGGCTGAGAGACTTCAAAGAAGTTTGACTAGCCCAAGGTCACCCAGCAGCTACATGTGGAGGAGATTATTCCTTCCCTTAAAATATGCCTTCCTTTTAGTTTCCAGCCTCATTAGCAAGAAGTGCTTTCTCAGTTACTGTCAAGATGCTTATTAACATACAAGATGTACAGACTAGATGAGTTCAACAGAAGGTCTATGAAGCGCTGCCCATTTTTTTCGGTTTAAAACACTAATTTAAACACTCACTTGAGACATTATCGTCATCATCAATATCATCATGCGGAGGTTGCTCAGGCATCATTACTCCACTTTCTGAAAGAGCAGGTGGGTCATCAAATATGCCTCCTTCATTGTTGCTGAGAAGTTTGTCATCTGAAAGGGCAACTCAAAGGGTTAAGATTGAAGGAGCATGCCATGTAGCAAAATGTGGCATAGTGGTGGGAATTACTACAGGTAAAGTTGACATTAAAGAAAAAACACAGCTGATATTAGTAATAAAAATAATTTGGGCTTTTTGTTGAAAAAGGAAATGAATGACATTTGGACTTAAATATTTTTTTTTTAATGTAACTGGCAGATGGAAAAATCAGACGTTCTTGTTTTTCCCTTTCTTTCTTTCTTTCTTTCTTTCTTTCATTCATTCTTTTCCTTTTGCAGCTGTTTGTCTTTTTAAATTTACAGTAGTTTTCTATATCTAACTGTATTATGAAAAACTTTTATAAAAATCATAATGGGGGGGTGGGAGTGGCAAAGACACTTTCAAAGGCAGCAATATCATGAGCTAGCCTATGATACAAGAGCAGCTTGCAAGGGCTGAAGAAGCCACCTGTGGAATTCCATTCCAAGATGATATACATAACCCGAATCCTTAATCTTCAGGATTTTAAACCAAATTCCCTGTTCACCACAGCCATCCATTTTTAATATCGCCTAGGAAAGAATGGCATGTATGCAAGGGGGAGGATGTCCTTGCACTTTAAGACAGAAAGAATACATAGAAGGATACATCAGGGCAGTTGTTCCCCATACAACCCAGAAAACATGTTCCTATTAGTTACTGGTGCCACTGTCCAATAACCCCACTCAGTAGCTAGCCTGTCTTCTACAGCAGTATTTTCTCAACTAGGCGTAGGGTCCTATCTCATAAACACGAGTTCTATGTTTTGAAAACAGTGAATCAGAACCTCAGGGATTGGGTAAGTACGTGATGCTGCCAAGACGTTCAAACAAGCTTTAAGATTTATATACTATATTCTCTTTAAAACAAAATTCACACAAGGTTGGACCCCTTAAATTATGTAGGGTGACATATGAATTACCAACATACCCAGGATGCCACCATCATTTCCCTCTCCAAAATTGTCATCTTTGTACTGATCTTCATACTCCAAGTGATTAGATTTCTCATTAAGGTGACTGGTGCTCTGCTCAGGTTCCAGCAGAAGGTTGGAAGCACTAGTACTATCCAACATGTCATCCGCAAATGCACTATCTTCTCTCATCATTTCACGATCATCCATTCCAAAATCACCTGTTATAAAAGCAGTCATCATAAATGCAAGTGACATTGAAAAAGACCCTCAACTGCTAATACAATATTATTATGCTACAATTTATAAAATCCTCTACTTCTAATTTTAATCCTACTGCTACTGAATGGCATAAATACTCTTAATACGGTGTTGAAATTGGTCAGTGGATTCTTTATGGCAACAGAAATGAGTTTTTAATATTTATGTATTTTTTGCAACATTACAGTTTGCGGGCTAATGTCCTTAACATAGACGGTAATTCTTTTAAGTTTAATAATGCCTCCCATGGCTTTTGCATTTAAGGATACTATTTTTAAGCTAGTGGTTTTATTTTATTTTATTTATTTCATAAAATGTATATACCACTTGATTGTAGAAAAAACCCTCAAAGAAGTTTGTTTACCGCTATACCTATATATACACACAAAAGTTAAAATACGAAAACTGATATAAAACCACCTCAACTTTCTAAACATCTAGGTGAACTTGTCTAATCAATGATACTTTTAGCAGACGTCCTGCTTGATCTCAACAGGCAGGGAGTTTCAAAGTATAGCTGCTGACACAGTAAATGGTAGCATTCTTACAAATGTGGAATGCGTATTATGTGGCACTTTTAGTAGTGACGATTCCACCGATCGAAGCAATCAAGTGGGCACATGTGGCGTAAGGCAATCTCATAAACTGGACCCAGCAGTGCAGTTCCTTCAGCACAGGTGTTATATGCCAGCAAGGCCTCATTCCTGTCAACAATTGTGCTGCAGTATTCTGCACCAACTGCAGCTTCTGGATCAAGTGGGATAATCCAGTCTTGAAGTAACCAACACAAGAAGACATGAACTACTGTGGCAAGGCTTTCGTGGTCCAGCAATGTCAAACCAGTTGCAGCTGGTAAAAGGCACTTCTAGCCACTGAAGAGGTTAGCAATTTGGGGGTGCTCCTGGAACCAGCTGTCACTGGAGGTTCAGTGCCTCCATCTCACCAGGATCCAAGCTTAGCTTGTTTTTCCTCATCCATTGCACCACTGTGTCCAGGCAATGGCTGAGGGACTGCAGGGCCTTTCCTGATTCAGATGTTATGGAGAAACAAAGCCGAGTATCATCAGCATAATGCAGGCACCTCGCGCTGACAGTCCTAATGACTGACTAAACATCAAGAAGAACTTTCTGAAAGTAAGGGTCACTTGACAGTGCAGTGGACTCCCTCTTCAGGAGGTTGTGGACTCTCCTTCCTTGGAGGTTTTTAAGCAGAGATTGAATGATCATCTGTCAGGTTTTAACGTTTTGCTAAATCTCAAGAATGCCCCTGGAAGGAGCAGCACCTTTCAGTTTGGCAGTAAGTGCTCTGAGAGACTCAACGTTCATGACCAAGCTTTCAAAATCAGAAATGATGGAAATCAACCAAACAGCAATAAAAGTAGCCATGGAAGGGAAATGATCCTCTGCTCACTCCAGAATCAAGCAAAAGCGGGTATTTCCAGCTTACTTCTGTTTCCCATTTCTTCAAGCTTTTCTTTTATAATCTTGTTCTCTTTTCTGAGAAACACTAGTTCTTCATTTTTTTGCAAGCCAATGTCAAGCACCTCTGAGGCACAGGTAGCCATGTCATCAAGGTGTATTCCAAACTGAATCATTTTTGTTTCCAGAGGCTTAATTATCATATTCCAGCTTGTTGCTAAAGCCATTGCAAAATGTGCTTGAAAAAGCCTTTCTTAAGTTACCTTGATCACAATCAGTCTGGATTTGTGTTTAAGGTTGTTGGACAGATCATTGCGTTCTTGGGTCCATTTTGCTCTAGGTGACTTTCGTCTACTTACTCCAATGAGGCCTAAACCTGGTCAGCTTTCTCTACTGGTCTAAAATAGTCAATAAGTTTTCTTTCTTTTTTCCAGCTAAGGGAAGACAGAGCCGAGCAAACTACCACAACACTATACTAACTGCTTCTGTGGTAACTTTATGTAAAACTGTAGTACAATTGCCACATATACATTTAAGAACAAAAGTTATACTTTACCAAAGTCGTTATCCTGAAGGATACTGATGTTTCCCACTTCTTCTCTCATTGTAATTTCTTCCACTCTGCTTTGATTTAAACTGAATTGCTGAGCCACATCAATATCACTTTGAAAGAACAAAAAGAGAGAGAAAGATCTTCAGTTTGAAACCATCTCAAAACACAAATAATAAGTAGTAAAGCTTAATTACAGATCAGGTTTACCAAATTAGTACTACAAAGAGACTTACTTTTCTGATCAACTTATGTTTTTAAAAGTAGTTACAAGTGTCTTCAGACACAATTATTTAAATGTTTGAAAGATTTTAGTTAAAATATTGGCACCATAAAATAAGGAATATACAAGAATGCTACAAGGATACATTCTGAAAGTAGCCTGGGTACAAAAAGCACTATGCATTCAACAGTTTGTATCATTACAGCAGGTTTAGAAACGTGGTAGCTATCCAACTATACAATTTAAAAGACAAATGAACCACATGCAACTGTAGTACATTGAGAATTTGGCATGTGGTCAGCCTCCCACAAAGCAGTCTTAGCTGAGGCATCTGTGTGTCTTACAGGGTTCAAGTGCTTACACATAACACAATTAGAGGAATATGAGAAAATATCAAAAACCATACATTCTCATGGATAACAGTTCTAGCAAACAGCAGAAGACAAAGCAGCTTACTCTAAATCTGGCAAGGGTTGGTCAAAATCATGGAATTCTTCAGGTAAGGTGATAGCATTGTATGCAGCTTCTCTATTTTCCTCCGGCAAATCAACCACACCTGAAAAAGAAGTGTTATAAAATTCGTAAGGTGATACTTTTAAACAAGAAACAACCATCTTGGCACATGGAATTTATTGTGGCAGGAGTCTTTTTAGCCAATGAACTATTCCATCAAATGAAATAAAACCTGCTCTTTAAGTAGTATTTTCTGTTATGGTGACGCATCATGTGCTCACACACTATTGGGTGTTTAAAGGTTCCACATGAAACCTCCTGTAACTCTACGAGCCCATTGAGTTATTTGTGTGGCAACGTATTTGTAGCAACAAGAAGAGCACCTAAATAAATATGCCTCTGGAGAATTTCACTGGGTAATAACTTAGGAAACAATCCTACTTATAAAATATTCCAATATGCAATAGGCCTTACTCCTACTTAAGCATGGAAAGGAAGGCAAATTTAAACAGGCTATGAAAAGTGAAAAATGTGTAAAACAAGTAAATGCTGCTGTAATACAAGCAACCCCCAATTTGCGTGGGGGTTTCACTCCAGGTCATCACGCACGACAGCAGACCACACATAAGCCCGATCCATCCCCTTTTTTGGCCACTTCGAGGTCGCCACAATGCGCAGTCGTGCCCATATGAAGCATACATAAAACCGGTCATTGCCTGTACTAAATTCCAGAGCAATTTGCTCTTTATGTAAGAGCAGTAACTTTGTGAATAGCTATTATGCAGCAAATACCTGGACGGAAAGCCATCTTGATCTTAATGAATGCCTCATTACAATCTGCAAGGAGATATTTAGCTTTCCTGTGATAAATTCTAACGACTCCCAGTAAAAGATGTCCTGAAGTCCGAAGAGCCATCTTCACCTGAAAATTTACTTATAGTTAGTATGCAGCAGTCAATCATATCTGATGGAGAAACAATTTTTTTGGAGAAAGATAACTCCTCAAGCACACAAGTTGGAACTTCTTTTTGCTGTCAAAAATATTGATAACTTCAAGAAGTACTTTGCAAGACTATCCTTCCTGGATCTCCAAAACCATGTTATGATGTTTCTCTTAGAAATTCAGTACAAACTTCACCAATATTTTTGTTTGTTTGTACATGCAAATAGTCACACACAGTGTCAATGATGACTAATGATCATTTTCCAGCATGCAGGTAGGGATTACTTTCTGTAACCTGGCTGAGCATGAATTCTACCCATTCACCAATTCAACTATTGATGTACCACAAATTACTTAAACTGGTATCCACAAGCTTGGGCTTGTAAATTTATGTGGCTTTAATATCAAAGAAGTTCTATTACTATTTTTAGCAATATGTATTTCAGAAAGACCTACAAAAAAACTTGCAGAAGCATCCAGAAGAGGATCAGTACCTGAACAATGAATTACGAGAATAATTAGCTAAAATAGCCAGTTTACATGATGCCATCTTGCCTGGATAATATAGTACCTGGTATATTTTATTGAAGACAATTGGCAATTAATTAAAGCAATGTAGGTTGTGAACATAGAACATCAACAGTAAAGTAAGCAACACAAGCATAGATGAGATTCAAAGCAAGTATGAACTATAAACTTCATCCTGCATGTAGGATCAGTTTCTCATTCTGCATATAGGAAGTCTACAACAATTCCTAGTCATGATAGATAAATGATATCTCTTTGTTGAAGCAAATATACCTCTGAATGCCAGATGCTGTGGGCAAATGAAAAGAGAATGACACATGTCATTCATGCCCTAAACTGAGTGCCCAGAAGCACCTGCCTGGTTACAACTGGAAACAAGACACTGGACTAAGTGTATGTTGGTCTGATATAGCAAAGCAGTTAATGCCAAGTTCAATGAAGCAGCAACTGAATGAATGCATTTTTATATCAACACTTCTGATAGCACATGAAAACACAGAATCCTATTATCTCTAAACAAAATGCTATTACTTTTGTAATACCTTAGGCGAGATGATGCTTTCCACACTGCTCTCCAAATTGCATTCAAACACATGGGCTTTGGTTAGCTTCTTATCCCAATGGGCCGCCAGCCAGATTTTGGCTAGCGGCCCTCGCTTGCTCAGAACAAAGTGAGCGTAGAACATTGTGCCAACTGTCTATGCCACAACCTGTAAAGAAATACAAGTAAATAAATATCATGCAACAAAAAGGAAACAGATTAATTCTTGCAAGTTATTTTGTAGAGGTATAGATGTTTTCTGTTTAGCAGCAAAAGCCGCCATGGATTTACCTATATAAGGGCCACTTTGTACCTTTGTACAATAGGGTTATGAGACATGACACCTGGGAACATGCTCTCTAGAAACACCACACCAGGCCAAACTCCAGCTGTTTTTGGACTACAACTCCCATCATCCCTAGCTAACAGGACCAGTGGTCAGGGATAATGGAAATTATAGTCCCAAAACAGCTGGAGACCCAAGTTTGGCCAACACTGCCATATACCAACCATGAATTTGGAGCACTACTGTGCACAGGATTGTCAGGTAGCAGGTTGCATCAAGTAGTTCCTTAAGCTTGTTTCCTCATGAAACAAGCCATGTGATGCCCCACAAACAAACTTCAAGGCACTATGCTAAAATACCAGAACCTCTCAGCTGTAGAGACAAAAAGCAGAATTGAGATCTTTCTGCTTCAGTTATTATATTACTTTCATTCCAGTAGCACAACAACAATCAGGTAACAAGTACAGCAAGAATCTTAATTAGTTTAAACCTCCAGAACTGTTTCCCTAACCCAGTATGAAGAAACACATTTGCAAACTTCAGTATGAGTCCATATTAGTCTTCCTTTTGCAAAAGTCTTCTGCAAACTATGTAGTTAACTGCAAGCCTTGAAATACAATGCACATTTCATGAAGTCAAACAATTTACAGCAACTAGTCTGCAACTGCATCTGCTAGCCCCCAAAATACCAATATTGCTATGATTTCACTTGCTTGCTCCACTTTTCTTAACTGCATATTATAGACAAACTCCCATTACTGTGACAGCAATAGCAACACTATCAACACCAGGACTTGTTCCCTTCCAGCAACTGGGAGCAGCAGAGAGAATTTTCAACAACAACCAGATATAAACTTTCCCCTCAATAACAGTAGCCCTCTTCTCATATTCTGTACACATTCTACCAAAGTGTGGGAGTGAGATTTTAGCCACTGATCCTCCCTCACTTCATCGGCTGACTGCTCTCCATTTGCTATATTGAGCACATGGTGAAAACATGTTTTATGTATGGTTTGTACTTGGGATCAGGAAAACTAGTAGTTTCCAACTGCATGTACAGCTGTGCCTATATATGAAGTCCATCCTAATCTACTAAACATACATAGATGGAAATCGGTGGGTGTGATTCTGTCTCCCTCCACACACTGATTGAAGTGTGAATGGAACACAAGAGGCTTTATACCCAGAAAACAATAATATGTTTATATGAACTACACATAATCACTACTCTTTAGGAATACTGAAATTATTATGCCTCATTCACACATCACGCTAAGCCAAACCATGACTTAGCATAAACAAACGAACTCCGAGAGATTGAAGCCATTTTGCTTTTCCTTATCATTTTGCTACTACACTGAGTGAAGCCATAGTTTGGTTTAGTGTATCATTTCAATCTGGGCTCATGGTTTAGCTATCTGAAACCAACCGCATCCTGTGAACTCTCAGACAAACTTTATTATAACTTATGTTTGACTAGAGAACTAAACCAAAAGTTTGGGTTGAAATGACATAAGCCAGCATTGTGCAGGACAGCAATAAAACAACTAGGAGTAAAGCAACCACAATCTTCTCCCTAGTACATATCCTCTGGCTGAGAAAAATCAGGTGTTCCCCTTAGGAAAAACTTAATGCAATTAAGAACTCCATTCAAATAATAGTTGCCAGCCACTGATTTACAGTTATTCCACCTCTGTGACCCAATAAGGATTACTATCATGTTAGGTACTTTTCAGAAAAAGATTACTAAATCCACAGCTGGGCATGCTTTGCTGCTTCAGTGAATGCTATCCATAAACTCCTACTTTCATGTCTTCAAGATGGGAAGAGGATCTCTGGCACTGCAATAGTGGGATGAAAACTATCAAGCCTGCTGTAATCCTAATAATAAAGAATCCAACAAGCCTGAAATTCTGGCACCACAGGAATTTGACTTAAATGACCTTTGACATTACTTGTCCTTCCAGATGCAAGTTCTCTCCACTGCCAGTGACCAAGAATGTTTGTCAACACTTCTCCTTTATTAGGAAATGTTTGTGTGTTAGTTTAATTTATATACCACCTTAATCTTCCAAGAAGCTCAAGGTGGTGTACATGGTTCTCAGTGTTCGAAATTCCCACTGTTCTAGGCGTATTTTGCAAAAAGCGAATTTCATTAGTGTGAGCTGTTTCTGAGCTCTGAGGGCACTAAGATTTCAGATTAAAACTGCAGAGTGGAAGGAAAGGAGGAAGTTTTTCTGCCTCCCCACTTCCAGCTATTCTCTGAAGATTGGAAAAGAGACCCTCTTAAGAATATTAGCAGGTGGCCAAAGGAAGGACTAGACCATGTGAAAAATGAACAGAATATTTTAGGTGAAGTTCATTCATTTTCAGCTTTGTATTCTTGTTAGAAAAAAAGCGTACCTAGACATTCTGTTGTTGCGCCCATAACCTAGACTTAAGGTGCCATTTAGCTCCTAGCTTTCATATCCCTGTTTCTTACACTGTTGGTTCTCCCCACTTCATCCTCACAGCAACCCTGGGAGGTAGGTTAGGCTAAGAGATGGTGACTGGCCCAAGATCACCCAGCAAGCTTCATGGCCAAGTGGGGATCCAAACCCTGGTCTCTCAGGTCACAATCTAACACACTTGCCAATACACTACACTGCCTGGACAGTCTAACTCTTTGTAAATTCATATATGCAAGAATCCTCTTCATCCTGAAATTGCAAGCTTAACAGATGACTGTGCCTTGCCATGGGATACCAGCTGAGGAAATCACTCAACTCTGGAAACACACATGAGATTCCCATGGCCTTGGTCTGTCTCCCAATCGCTCCCACACAATCCAAACATTTTAGGAAGCTGAGCTGCCTGATAGCAGAACCTCCAGCTGTCACGGTCCTTCTTTTCCTAGGCATCAATTAATATCTCACCCTCTTAAGCACCAACAGTAAATTCAACCTGCGGACATGTACTACGTGAGGCCATCTTTGCCCCCCTTTTTACAATGAAAGGAATCATAATATTACAATGCTGGGCAAAGCGCAGGAGGAGAATTAAAAACATACACAAGTTAACACCATTATGAACAAAAAGTTTCCAGCACAGCCCTATACCTATTTACTCAGACGTGTTCAACAGAGTTGCATGGGGCTCGCTCTTACCGTGGACTGGATTGCAGCCTTTCGATTTTTCACTTAAATGAACATTTTTTTAAAAAAAAGCACACGAAGAGGAAAAGGGGGGGGGATATATTATATCACTACGTGCAAACAACATTTGCATATATGCCAGTCTAAGTAACTGTTACTTAGTCTAAGTAACTGTTACTTAGTTATTACCCAAACACATATATGGTTTTTTATAAGCTGAGATGGACATCTAGCTACAGAAAGTTATATAGATATATATATTTAATAAACGCATTCAAAATATCTTTACACTTGTCCAGGCAAAATCTGCAAGCAATCCGTCCGTAAGTTGCGAGCCTTGTCCTATCTTCAATGGGGGGGGGGGGGCGACTGGATCGTAGTATTTTTTTTCCTTTTTCTTTTAAGTAGACCATAGGGAAGCAAAAAAACCCCAAAACACACAACCCAATTTTCTGCGGCTCGAGACCTCCTTTTGCAAAGGGGCTTCTTCTTCGAAACAACGGCGCCCGCCGCCTTCGAGGAAACGGGGCGCGCGCCGAGCCAGGGGCGAGAAGAGGCTCGAGGGGCAGAGGCGGGGAAAGGCTTCCTCCTTCCCTGCCGAGCCTCTCCGAACACGCTGCGGCGACGTCGGAGGCGAAGGCGGGCTTGTTCCCCCGTCAGGCGGAGGCCGAAAGGCAGCCAAGGCCGCCTCCCTCCCTCCCTCCCTCCTCTCGGCCCTCAGCGGCTCTTTCCCGGCTAAGCCAGGCGGTTCCCTCAGCGGCAGCGGTTTCTCCTCACACGGGCACCTACCTGGGCCCGAGCCTAGGCCTCTTCCCCGTTCTCAGAAGAGTTGACGGCCCTCCCCGCCCGCCTCCGGCCCCTTACCTCGATTCCTGCGCGGCCGCCGAGGGCAGCGGGCCCCACGGATGAGCGCTGGGGTGAGGGTGGCCACCCGCCGCCGCCGCCGCTGCCCCTTTCCTCGCGTCTCCCCCTCACCCCCCCCTTCCGCGAGACACTCAAACAAACAAGATGGCGGCCGCTCCCCTTCCTGCCGCCCAAACCAGGCGTTTAAAAATCGGCAGGATGTTTACCGTTAAAAAAAATGGAGGGAGGGGGGAGAGAGCGAGGGAGATTGAAGGGCGGGGGGGGGAGTGAGAGCGGGCCCCAGCGCGCCTGCGCGCACGAGCCTCGCGGCGCTAACAGGCCGAGGCTTGCGCAGGCGCCAGTCGCAGGGTTGACGTTGGCCAATGAGGTGCGGAAGCTTGTAGGAGAGACCGATAGTGGGGCGGGGCCGTCGTAGAGGCCAGCGTGTGAGGGAAGTGGGGAAGGCGAGCGGCTTGAGTGTGGCGCATGCGCACATATTGACCTGGGAGGAGGAGCTCTAGTTTGTGTTTGTTTCTAGTACAGTATATGGTATTTCTTCGTTTGGTTACTGTTCTCCGAAAAAGAAGGAAAGAAAAAGAAATGCATTTTGCAAAACATTATTGCATATTGGGGGATTTGATGTGTGTGTGTTGAGCATGTGCAAGTTTTTTTGAAGATGCACAGGAGTCCTGTTTGCTATTTTGCTCAGAAAGACTCCAAGCATATATTTATTAAGAAATAACAGGAATCAGGGAATTGTAGAGTTGGAAGGGAGCCCGAGGGTCATCTAGTCCAACCCTCTGCAATGCAGGAAACTCAGATGAGCATCCATGACAGCTGGCCGTCCAATCTCTGCCTAAAAACCTCCAAGGAAGGAGAGTCCACAACCTCCTGAATGGAGACCATTCCACTGTCTTTACAGCTCTTATTAAAATAGCATTACCTTTTCCTTTTCTGCTGCTGCTGCTGCTGCATCACACTGTTCACTTCGGGTGTAAAAGTTGCAAAGGAAAATGCAAAGCCTTTTCCAGCTACAGTGCTGCAGTGATACCTAGGGGGATTCTACCTTCTATGTAGTCACATATGCAGTCACATAAAGGCATAATCAGCCTTCCAGGGCCTGAACAACTGCAGGTCATAATTCTGCTTTCTTTTTAGTCTGCCTTTCGTCCTGGTGACCAACATTCACTTTCCACTCTGAGCCGCCAGTTCCTGCATTCTCCAGTAGGCTGCCTCATTTGCTTGTCTTTCTGCTGCCCTACAAAAAGCAACTGGCTCACATGTTAACTCCCGTCCATGCCTTACCTGCAGCTTGATAGGCACTCCTCAAATACAGTACAGTGGTACCTCGGGTTACAGACGCTTCAGGTTACAGACTCCGCTAACCCAGAAATAGTACCTCGGGTTAAGAACTTTGCTTCAGGATGAGAATAGAAATCGTGCTCTGGCTGCACGGTGGCAGCAGGAGGCCCCATTAGCTAAAGTGGTACCTCAGATTAAGAACAGTTTCAGGTTAAGAACGGACCTCCAGAACGAATTATGTTCTTAACCCGAGGTAGCACTGTATGTTGAAATGGGCTTCTGTGATAAGTAAAACGCAGTGGCAGCTTTACAAGGAGTCGACAGGTGACAAGACTTGGCCTCCTGCAGCACACCTGCTGAAATTTCTGCTGCTGCTCAGAAAACAAACAAACAAACAAAAAAAACTGGACACACTAATGTCAAACAAAGCTGTCAATAAATAAATTATGAAATAAATGTGATCATGGTGACAGAAGAATTTTTGCTGTTTAAAGCCACCACCTGTGGTTTTATGTTTGAGCAATCTATGGAAAGATGGAGATCTGGACAATTCGATGACCCAGTGCCAGGGCTGGCCTTTCCTTTACACAGAGTGAAGCATATAGATGTCAAAGAACAGAACTGTGTGTGGCACTGCATCGTGCTAGCCTCTTGCCCACAGATGCGGAAGAAGACGCTGTCCTTTCAAAATACGCAGCAAAAGGGGTTCCCAGTATAAGCAACTGAAAAACAAACTCACAGGAACCAAATAGCATATTATGAGAACAAGCAAAGAGAAACAAAACATATCAAGGTGACTAGATAATAAGAAACAAAGTACACCATATTCACCGAGATTATCCAAGCAGTCCACTACAAGCATGTCACAAAGCAATTCTGCAGTGAATTTCAAGAGTTTCAGGATTAAACTGAAGCAAGAGTTTCAGGATTAAAACTCATTTCATGCATCTTCAACCAATGGAGAGTAGGCATGCATTTTGGCTAGCCCCCCACCTGCCTCAGATAAAACACCTGGCCCACAGAAACTTAACAGTTATGTAAAATGAGTTTATTTGATATGTTTGCTTATTCTGCATTGTGTATTCTGTTTCTGTTCGTTATGGAGAACCCTCGTTAGAGAACTTGCTCTACCCCATCTGACTTCTGAGATTGCTCACAGCAGTGTCCATATATTTTGCGGCTATTTTCACAGTGTCAAGAGCTAAAAGTTCCCTTTTGAAAATATGAAAGCTCATTATTTTCAGGCTGCTGAAGGCTGTGCCCCATCCCAAACTCTGCCCTCAAACAGGTCTAGCCTTAGGTATACCACCAGCTATAAATACCATCAGAGACTCCATTAGGCTACCCAGTTTGGTTGCCATACATTATGAATTGCTTAGGGACCACAAATCCCTAAAACGGATGGACTTGGAGCTGAGAGCTCCATTAATCTGTCTACCCTAATAAATGGGGAAATTCTATTAAGCATGTGCTACAAACATTCTGTCTTACACTCCAGTCCTATATATTATCAGAAGTGGGGTCCCATTGATAAATAGGTCTTCTTCCTCAGTTAATTGGGTATGGGATTGCAGACCTAAACACACATCGTGGGGTGTATGGCTGAGTACACACTCATGTTTATCCATTGCGCTCCCGCTGCTGGTTTGGGAAGCGGGGCTACACACCTTGGCAACCACAATCCGTATCTCTCCTGCATCCATCCTTTCGGTTCTTATGAAATGCTAAATTTGTATGCATTTTCCCCAACAACCAACATTGACCTGAATTTACCTGCATTTCAGGCTGGTAATGCATGCAACAATATGTCAGAATAATGCCTGCAGTGAACATTAATCTGAAATAAGCCCATGTCTACTGATTCAGGGACTGCACTCCCGTCTGTCTGTAGAACTCTGGACTAAAACACGGCAGCCAAGGTGCTATGTGGCCCTCCAGGTCTCTTTATCTGGCCCCTAGGACCCACCCCTGGCCACAGTCCTCCTCTTGAATTAATTATGCATCTTTCTTGCCTGAATGGCGGATGCTATGTGTGCAGAAACCTCTGTGAGATAGCTTAGACTGAGGGACTGTGACTGGACCGAGGTCACCCAGCAAGTTTTATGGCTGAGCAGGTCTCCCAGGCCTACATCCAACCATCACCAGCTTTTCTCAACCTTGGGTCCCCAGATATTATTGAACTCCAACTCCCATCATTCCTGACCACTGGCCACGCTGGCTAAGAATGATGGGAGTTGTAGCACAACAACATTTAGGGACTCAAGGCTGAGAAAGGCTTCAATGGCTGATACACCGCACTGGCACATCAAGGCAGCAGGAAAGAGCTAAACTCTTCCTCTTTGCTTCATGTTTCCCAAATTCCTGTTGGGAACCCTAAACCTGATATTTACTCTTGAAAGCTGCACATCAGTTGCATTTGCACGTTCTGTAGGGTGAGCAACAGAGAAGAGAAAAAGGGGATTGTAGGAAATGGATCAGGATATTTTATTGAAAATGCTTGGGACCCCAGTGATCTGATGGACACAAACAGTTCTAGTTTGCTGAAAGACTTGCAGGATTTTGGCATTTTCTGACAAACTCTTTCAGCAAAATCTGTTGTTCCGTCTGAGTCAGAGGTTGCATCAGATAGAGCCTTTCAGTAACTGTTGAAGAGACCTTGCTCTGGGTGTTCCAAGCTGCTGCTGATAAGATTATTCAGGGCTACAAAAGACCTTGGGGACTTTGTGTGAAATCTGAAGCTTTGACTGAATTTAAAGATAGTGTGATAGACTGTGAAATTCACTGTAGAAAAATGGCAAGCAGCCAGCTAAGAGACCACAGTTAAGATGGCCATGTGTACTTCTAGCCAAAAGAAAGCACTCTGTTGCTTTAAAGATAAAGAACCACGAGAGTATTGAGAGCAAGTGTGGTGTAGTGGTTAGAGTGCTGGACCCTGGGAGAGCAGGGTTCAAATCCCCACTCAACCATGAAACTTGCTGGGTGACCTTGGGCCTGCCACAGTTCTCATCCTGACCTGCTTCACAGGGTTGTTGTGAGAATAAAACAGAGGTGTGGGGGAGAGCCATTTGTGCCGTCTTGCGGTCACTGGATTTTATATTTAAATAATAATATATTATATTTAAATAATATAAAAATAAAAGCAGACCCTCTAACTGTCCCTATTTTCCAGGGACAGTCCCAGATTTACAGAAGTTGCCCCAATTTCTTATTTGATCCTAGAATGTCCTGCTTTTCCTTAGGTCCTTAGGATGTCCCTATTTTCATTAGAGAAATGTTGGAGAATATGGAGTTATGTGACCCCCCCCCCCCCGAGCCAAGGAGATACAACCTTTAGAAGACATCTGAAGGCAGCCCTGTATAGGGAAGTTTTTTAATGTTTGATGTTTTATTATGTTTTTTTTATTTGTTGGAAGCCACCCAGAGTGGCTGGGGCAACCCAGTCAGATGGGTGAGATGTAATAATAATATTATTAATAATAATAGAATAGGATGTCCCTATTTTCACCGGAGAAATGTTGGAGGGTATGTAAAAGTAGATGCCATACTCTAAAACAACAGTAAGTTGTCCATCAACAGCTAGCATCTAACAGCAGACACTATGGTGAAATATATTTCTATGTATTTCTAATTGGGGAAGGAAATGAAGAACACATAACAATGTTTTTAAAGGGCAACAAATTGGAAGAAAACAGGGACTAATTTAAAAACGACAGTTACCAGAAAATAGGGAACATTCTTGAAAGCTTTACAACCTGTTTAAAAAAACTACAAATCAGATCGGAAGAATATTCAGAAAAATAGGGTGGGCCTTAAAAGATAGATCTCAAATGTCAAACGCTGTGTATCAACCATTTATAATATCAGTTTTGTCCAAATGCCAGGAAAAAACCAATCAATCAATTTTATTGCACACAGCCTTTAAATACAAGATGAAACACCAACATCATACAAGTTGTAAACCAGAAACAAATTGAAATATATGGGACACACAAAGAAGAGAAA